ACGTGTTCCATATGGCAAGTTTTCGGCCAATCAACGTACACTTACATCACTGGTAGTTCCTATGTGTAGACCCTACTCTGAAGTACGAGCTAATTTAGCCCCCCATAATTAGCTCGTTCCTCCGGTGTGGAAGCCCCTAGTGTGTGTTTGTGCCCATGTGAGTTCATACTTGCGCTGCACATCCAGTTGTTCCTGTAGGGCCTGGATCTCCAGGTTTTGGGTGGAGAATTTGGACTCCTGAATCTGGACCTGTTGACTGAGCCTTCGTGTCTCGTCTTTCAACTCACTGATCATCTACAACGAACAAAATACTTTAAACACCTCACGTAATCCAAACTAGATTAAAGGGATAGTTCACCCAAAAATGAAAATTCTCTCATCAATTACTCACCCTCATGTCACTTCAAATCCTTAAGACTTTCCTCCATATTCGGAACACAAATGAAGATATTTTTTGATGAAATCTGAGAGCTTTCTATCCCTCCATTGACAGCTACACAACTACATATAAAGTGAATGTGTCTCTTCAGAAAATTTGGACTAAACCGCTCAAATCATATGGATTAGTTTTACGATCTCTTTTTGAAGCGTCAAAGTGGTAGTTGCATAGCTGTCAATGGAGAGACAGAAACTCAGATTTCATTAAAAAGATCTTCGTTTGTGTTCCGAAGATGAACGAAAGTCTTACGGGTTTGGAACGACAAGAGGGAGAGTAAATTATGACAGAATTTTCATTTTTGGGTGAACTATCCCTTTAACAAAATTGTCCTTACAGTTTTATTTTTGTGGATGCACACTGCCATTCAAATTCTTTTTTTTAAAGAAATTAATACTTTTATTCATCAAGGACGCATTAAAACAAAACGTGACAGAAAAAACCTTTAATTCTTTAAAGCTGCTGTAGGTAACTTTTGTAAAAAATATTTTTTACATATTTGTTAAAACTGTCATTATGTCCTGACAGTAGAATATGAGACAGATAATCTGTGAAAAATTCAAGCTCTTCTGGCTCCTCCCAGTGGTCCTATTGCCATTTGCAGAAATACACGCTCCCAGTCAGAAACAACCAACCAGAGCCAGGAGGAATGTCTTAGCAGTGTCAATCACGCTCGTGTACGCGCTGATCACACCCCTCTCTTGCACAGCGTGAGCCGTCATTCAAACTCAAGATCGCCGGCGTGCTGCAGCTGTGCTTATGACGGAGAAACAACCTAAACTGCCAATTCTCGAGTGACACCTGCTCATAAAACAAAGAGGTAAAAGGAAAAAGACTGATGACGATAAACAAGCGAAAAAGAAAGAATTACACAGAGCCCATTGACTCGGTGTCAAAACTCTAGCCGCATAACATGTAGATAAAATGTCACGCACTCTGCTAAGCAACAAATAATGTTGCTGAAATAATGTACTAGCACACCTTATCTAGCATTATATATCGCTAGAATAATTACTTACATACTGTAACGTTAGTTACCGTTATATTAACGTTATCTTACTAGCTATTTATAACTTATAGAAAGAGTGCAATGTTATAAAGTTACATGTATTGCAAAATACATAATGATTTGAGGACCAAGTTTGTAGTCAAAGTATGGGCAGGCCATAGTCAATGTAAAGCATATTATTGACGTTTAGTCCCTATTAGTGAATGTGCCATATAACTTTTTATCCGCTGTTATCGGTGGCCCTGTTTACTAGCCTGCGCGTTCACGACAGGCTCCGCTGTGGAGGACGAGCTGTGGAGGGAGGGCTGTAGCGCAGCAGAGAGCAAGGGGGTGGGACCTGTAAGTTGTGCTTGTTCAAATTTTCAGGCTAAGTCAACGTTTTCTCAAAACTCCCTACTGCAGCTTTAATAAAAGAATTCTATTTCCATTCTATTCCTTTTAACTTTCTACTCATCAAAAAATTCCAAACAATATGTATCATGGTTTCCACAAAAATATTTGAAGCAGCACAACTGTTTTCAACATTGATGATAATAAATGTTTCTTGAGCACCAAATCAGCATATTAGAATGATTTCTGAAGGATCATGTGACACTGGAAACTAAAGGTATGGCTGCTGAAAATTCAGTGCATCTGCTGCATGAAATGGTAACAATGGGTCTCATTAACTAAGCATACGTACTGTGTAAGAACGTTTTCACGAAAAAATCATGATTCATCAATAACGTTTGTTCGAAAATGTATTCTAAATGACGAAAAAATGTAGGAACAACTGAAACTCCTCGTATGCAAAAATAACATACTCTTGGTGACCTTATAAACATGTTAAGATAAAATTTTAGCCTAGATATAGATCTTAATATTTCATCATATCAGTAAAAGAGTAAGACAAGGTGCATTATAGCTCAAGCTGCGAGGTGGTTTGGCATGGTTTGGGTGTGTTTTATGTAAATTACTTACCTCTGGCACACAATCGCTCATTTAGAATAATCCGAATTCATCAACATTAGAACGAGGTTAAGAAGAAATGTATTTTTAATTAGGCGGAACGTTTTCGTGAGAAGTTCAAATGTGCATATAAATACGAATAGTGTGCAATTATTAATGAATGATTATGAGACCCAATGTTATTCTGTATTGTCCCCGTCAACTAAAATAAATAAATAACTATGAGTCTTATTATAACATGTTCATATTCGCAGAGGTACATGCCAGTTTTGTTGTCAAATAAAATCCTCACAAGAATTGACTAGTAAGTAACAAACCGGCTGTGAGGCAACCGCCTATTGAAAAACAATTACAACCTTTGATATGATCTCATGTTCTAATAGGAAATAATAATGCAATAAATCATCAATCCATTTTATGTAATAATTTTTATCTAGCTATAAACACTAATAAAAATGAACACACACCTGGTCCGCCTCTGCAAGTTTGCTGTCCTTTTCATTTGCTTTCTTGTGGAGTTCCTCAAGGTTACGCTTTAAAGCCTTGTTGTTTTCCATTTGTTCACTAAGAGCTTGATTTGCTTTCTCTTCTCTTTCTTCCAGACGTCTGATCTTCATCAGTAACTCCCTGTTACGGTCAATTTCCCTCTGTAAATGTAATCAGACAGACACAGACACACACAAGCACAGGTCAAATGAGGTGTATCCACAGCAGAGACTGAATGCACCAAATTGCATCCTAATGGTTTTTTGTCTGCAGTGTCTTTTAAACCCTGTTTAATAAGGTTGCAGGGTTTGATTTTTCATGTTGCAGGAATATATTTAGAAAAAGGCCTGAGAAGACAGCTAAAGAAAATCCTGCAACAGAAAGCATGATTTTCAGCACTATCCCATCTATCGCTCACCTGTAAGTCTCTGGAGCTGCTGTGTGCCTCTTTCTCCAGCTCTATACGGGCCCGTTTGTGACTGAGCTCCATCTGTTGTTTCTCTTGAGTGAGTTGCAGAAGGTTGGTGTGGGAACGGACACGCTCGGCAGCCTCCTCTAACTACCATGTGCAACAAAAAAAATCTGAAATCTGCTCTAAACATACTATATAAGAGATTAAAATACATATATTTATGAGATCACTTTCTTAACATTTAGATATTTCGTTACAAATAAGGACCAAAATATGAAAGGAGTCTGTGACTTGCCTCCACTCGTGTGGTATAGAGCTTCTGAAGGTCGCTTCTTCCATAGGCTGGCTCCGTCTCCAGCAAAGAGCGATCTGGACATGATATCAAACTCTTGAAAGATTTTAGCGTTGAGAAGATTGTGGTGTCATCCTCCATATCATCCATATTGACAAAGTCTTGACAGCCTCCTTTGCAGAAATAGAAAAAAAAAATTATAAAGTGTTAAAAGAAAAACATGAATAAACCTCCTCCCTACCCTCAAGAAGCCCATTATTCAAACCAAAGAGGAAATGATACCAAAACATGTAAAATAATAGCCAGTTCAGTTTAAATTAGTAAGGAGGTATTCTGTACACCTTTAGCATGCCATTAAATTGAAAGTTTATTGTGAAGAATAAGGGATACTTTTCGTGATTATCAACTTCCATAATGTCCAATATACTGTCTTGTTTATTTATCTTTTAATTAAAAAGGCTGATGTTTTAAAAGGTGACACTTGCTCAGTTGACACAATTACTGAGGAAACATTTTCCTTGATGTCATAAGATAAAAACATGGTACTTTGCTACATACCAAGGTAAAGGTCTACCATATATTTAAACATCATGATGACGGGGACAGTGGGAACTTAAAGAGAACTGGGTCCTTTTCACTTGGTTCGCCTCTTGGTCCATTTCAAGTGGTCGGGTTCTTATAAAAAGACACTAGGGTAATTTTAAATGGTCCAAAACATGGTATTGCATTTTCCAGAAAAAAATACTAAAGTACTTTTTATAAACTAAGCACTACTCACAATAATATATTAAATCACTAATTACCACTATTTTAAAATACGTATTCGTGAGGTAAACATTAATTTAAGTAATATATAGTGAAATCACACACGCTTCAGTTCAGTGTAAGTTAGCAACCGTTCAGCTAACGTCACCCTCAATAAAAACTATTTTATTCACAGAATAAACCGCAGACCGAATAAATAGGCTATACAATAACATACGTGTCTTTTTTTTTTTAAAATTAAATATACGGTTCTGAATGGAAAACCCGTAACTCACTCTTCACAGCCGACTCTTTCGGCGCTTGAGTCTCCGATTTTTGAACTCGATGCAGTTTTGTTTTCGTTGGTTGAGAAGCCGCTACTTCATATGCAGCCTCACAACAGCGCCTCTGTGTGGCTGGGCGGAATTGATTCACTCATTCTATCTGCCACTTACATCGGAAATTGAATGGGTTGCTCAAGCACGCACTAAAAATGCCACCGCACATCCATTCTGGTGATTATTTAACTGCTATATAAAAGCAATAACAAAGCACTAGTATTGTTTAGATTGCTGTTGGTTCATGACGGGTTCATGAGCACGTGGCCTGTGACGCACTGCTCAACACGGAAGTTGTGACGTTGCACTGAATGACTGAATGACTCTCATACTGGCGGTTTGAGTCTTTGCAATACTATACGGATCGAAAACTGCTTTATAAAGTTTGCAGATCTTACAATGGCCAGGTCGAACGTGGAGGACCCGACAATACTCTGTCTGTTTGATGTAGACGGGACTTTAACAGCAGCTCGCCAGGTGAGTGACTGAAGCGGATGACGTAAGCTAACGTTACTCTTTTTAACTAAAGTTATCTTTATCTTTTCAGATCTCATGACTCTCATGAGATATGGATCTGAGCAGTATGAAGATTGATTTACTATAATTAATTGAATAACTGAAAACTATCTTTAAAATGACAGTGACGGAAGTAAATGGATGAAACTGAATGATGATCTGTGTAAATGTTTTTATAAAGTCAAATATGTATTGTGAATGCAGTTTTGTGGAGGTAATACAAAATAATGTAATTTTCTTTCTGTCTTGGCACATCCTAAATAACAGTCATAGAATCAGAATAAAGATTTATTGGCATTTATGTTTACACATGCGATGAATTTGTCTTGGTGACAGAAGCTTCCACACAGACAGAATGACAGCGACATGACACAGATAATAAAAATATACAATAAACTGTACTAAATGTACAGTTACAGCATGATACTATACATGTCATAGCTGTCTATTAAAGATAACATGTACTACTTTTAGTCTGCTTCTGGGGCGAGGAGAATTTACATATAAACATTGGACGTCATAAGTTGTTATGGACTAATCTTTTAAACACGTCATGGTTCTGTCAATTACATGTTTTACAATACAACAATTTAAATCAATGATTTTTTATTATTATTTCAAGGCCCATATTCCACAACAATATTCAAAGGCCAACTGACTTTTCCTGTTTTTCTTGATATTCTGGATAAGAATTAAGGATTTAAAAATGTTTTTAACGCACAATTTCTACCTGCTAAAATATTTTAGAGCTTGGCATAACTAATCAAAAATGTATAAAAATGCTAAAAGTTAATTGACATGATTTGTCCTGGTCTAGAAATTCATATATCCAGGTTTTCCAAGACATCAGGAAGCCTGGTTCATTGAAGAAGGGGGAAAAATCGTTTTTGAGGAAGTGAATTAAATTAAGAAATATATTTTTTCTATAAAAAAAGTAATCTTGAGGCACATTTGGAAGTTTGCTGTAGCCCCCGATTTAAATGGCTTAGGAAATTAAAGATTGCAAGTTTTGCATGCATTTCAACCCAAAAGAATAAGTGCTTCTGTTTTAAATATTGGTGCTGAAATTTGATTGTTGTTAAACTATATTGAGTAATTTGACACTCATTTAAGAAGAATAGTTCTGCTTTACCTTGTATTTCAAATGTCGAAAAAATATTAAAAGTAAAAATATGTATCCATGATGAAAGAAATATATTACTATTGCACAGTAGAATGTACTTCTCAAAGTAATAATAATACAATTTATTAAAACATTATTTTTTTTAAAGAATTTCAAACAAGTTTTTGTTTTAATTTAAATAGTAAATTTTCATTTGATTACATTTAAAAGGTTAACTAAATTTAGTTTTATAAATTGATTTGATTTCCTCCATTATTGAGAGTAAATTTGTATTTGGTAAATATGTTTGTATTCTTTGTACTCCTGACAGTAAAATAAGTCTCTATAAGCTTATATAAAGGTCCAGTCATGAAAGACAAAATATACCGTGAAACCACCAGAATTTTAAAAATACTGTGATCCATCCAGCACTAGGCCTATTTAATGGACTTTCAGCTAAATTTAAACATTAAAGCCAGTTTATAACTTTGTGCTTAATGGAATGAATTAGTAACCTCTTTGCCTGTGTATGTTTTTGTCTTTAGAAAGCAACTCCTGACATGCATCAGTTCTTGAGTGAACTGAAACAGCGCGTGAGAGTCGGGGTGGTTGGAGGATCAGATTTGGACAAAATCAAAGAGCAGTTGGGGGATGATGGTGTGTATAACAAATATTTCAAATACAAATGCAAGTATATAAGCAAAAACATTCAGTTCATTTATAGTGTGCATGTTTTCTTAGGAGTAAATGTTTCATGTTTTACAGTGATTGATAGAGTGGATTATGTGTTTGCTGAGAATGGTTTGGTAGCATACAGGTTCGGGAAGATGCACTCTGTTCAGGTAGTTCTGATTCTCCGTTTACTGTTTAATAAGCTCACAAACTCTCTCACATACTGTCCAGCGAATGATGCAAGGGGCTTTTCCATTGTGATATTTTTCTTTTCTTTTTCATCAGAGTATTCAAGCATACATGGGAGAGGACATTTTACAGGATTTTATCAATTTCTGCCTCAATTACCTTTCAAAGTTAAAACTACCCAAGAAGAGGTAAGATTTTTTTTACTGCATTATTTTAAAGTTAGTCAATATTTATTCTCAATATTAAAGTTAATAAAAAAAAAATTGTTGAAAGTATTTCTTATTTAACACTGTTACCTGCATAATTAACTGTATTAAAACCTATTTAAAACTGAGATCATGATATAGTGCAATTTTTTTGTGTAAATATATAGGTTTTTTTTTCTTCTGTTTTCTTGCGACCATAATGTTTATGGTATTTTTACTGTCTTCTCAGAGGCACATTTATTGAATTCCGTAATGGAATGTTGAACGTCTCCCCAATTGGTCGAAGCTGCAGCCAACAGGAAAGAATCGAATTCTTCGAACTTGACAAGGTCATTTTTTTAAGCATTTGTCAACGCATGCCATTATCCTTTTAAAAGATGTCATTAAAGGTTGATTGACCCTTTTTTTACTTTTTCTTCTTTATGCAGAAGGAGAAAATCAGAGAAAAGTTTGTCTCCGTTTTAAAAGAAGAGTTTGCTGGGAAAGGACTAGCTTTCTCCATTGGTAAGTAACTGTGTATATGTAGTTGTCTTGCCAAAAATATGTTTGTGTAGTAGTATTATAAAGTATATACATAATGTATCAATATATATATGGGTTTTTTTCTGCAGGTGGGCAGATCAGCTTTGATGTGTTTCCAGAGGGCTGGGATAAGCGCTACTGTCTGGGAATTGTGGAGAAAGACTCATACCAGAACATCCATTTCTTTGGAGACAAAACAATGCCCGTGAGTGCATTATTCCAGTATTCATGCACATATACAGCATGTATGCAAAGTCATCCCAGACTTGCTTGAAGCAAGCAGTTTTGTAATGTTATTTTTTCCCTAACAGGGAGGAAACGATTATGAAATCTTTGCAGACCCCAGGACGATCGGTCATGAGGTCAAGTCACCCGAGGACACACAGCGGATCTGCAAGGAGCTCTTCCTCAGATGAGACCCTAAGCATGACCTCTGCCATCCAGAATGAAGACCACAACGTACAAGAACTGTAAAACTTTGAACGGAAGGTTACTTAATAAGTCCAAGCCATTATTGTCTCTGTGTACTTAAAAGATTGTACATCATGACCGGTACTGGATAAACCTGTACATACAGTACATGTGTTTATTTTATATGTAATCTGATACATTATTTTCAAAACTGTTTGGTGCTAGTGTTACGTCTGAATGTCTGTGGACTAACTAAAATTAGTGGTGAAGGTGCAACAATTTAAAGGGAATTAGAAGAAATCAGGCCTAAGGCTCTATTAATAGTTTGCTCAAATGAAACTGATTAAATTAACTGTTTGACTGCTGAAGTGGAATAAGTGAATGCAACAGTATAGCTTAACTGTTTGAAGTGGCTTAATTCTGTGGCAAAAATCTGCTACATCTTGCTGTATAATAAACATGAAATATATTCCGATTGATATATTTATTGCATTCTATACTTTACATATATGAGTTCAAAGCCATAAGCAAGGATACTGTACATATTCTGAGCTAAACACATAAAAGAGGTAAAACAGAAGAAAGATGTTCAAATTTTTTATTAGCAATTGAATTTTTTTTTTATTCTCAATGTCTGTAATAACCTACTCGCATGCAGTTTAGTTTGAAAAATAAAAGTATTTACGAAACAAATTTTTTTTTAAACCAATAGTGGAATTTTAAGTATAAAATGTGTTTAATTTGCTACTTAAATAACCATAAATGACACTTTTGCAAAAAATATATCTGATGGTATGACCTTTTTGTTTTTTTGGGCTGAAATAACACTTCCCATTTCAATCGATCTGTACAAGCGCTTTTTAAAGTCAATATCAAACCTGAAATCCGATGTATGATACGCAAGACCGTACAACATGGTCAAGCCAACCATGTGACTACAAGAACATTTCAAGAGAGTTTTCAAGATGATCCAATATAAAACAACAAGATCTCGAGAGAAGGCAGAGTAGTCCAAAAGTCCTGGTTTGCTGGTTAACGGATGGGCCGGTACGGGAAGGTCATGGCAGCAGGATGAAAGGCGTGAGGGGAGAGAGAAGGGTGTGTGGCGTGGGCTGTTATTGGGCGATGTGGGGAGAGCGCTGGATGTGTGGGGTGCGCTGAGAGTACGGGGTGTGGGCTGTGCTGTGAGGGGAGGGTGGACTGGTGTGGGCTGTGGGGAGAAAGCGGGGAGGGTCGACCCGAGTGAATGTGTGGGTACATGTTGGGCTGGAAGGCTCCGCTGTGAGGTGGAGGCTGCACCACTGGACCGGACATCACAAGCTGTAACAGACTACAACACAAAACAAACAGTTACTACACACTGCTCACAAATAAACAAAATTTTTGTTAGTGATTGAGAGATGCTTTTTTGAATGGTTGATGGAGATTTCTGGAGAGAAGGGTGGCTGTACAGATATATATCATCAGTATCATACTTAAAGGTGCAGTGTGTAATTTTTAGTGGCATCTAGTTGTGAGGTTGCGAATTGCAATCAACAGAAGTTACGGTGTCTGACAGGAAAATATGTCATCGTCAGAGAGCAGACAGCAGAGAGTAGCCAGTGAGGTTTCTTTACAAAGATTAATTAAGAAATTATTATTAACACGAAGAACAACATAGTGACGAAACGCGCTCTGTAGTAGTTTGTACGTTTAGGGCTACTGTAGAAACATGTCGGCGCAAAATGGCTATTTCAATGTAAGGGGTGTATATAGATTTCGGTATAGTGTATAATGAACGGTTCATTATGCAAGGTCTTTATACACCACTGAAAACATAGTTATGTATATGATATTGCATTTCTGTCAACAGATCCTCCTAAATATTACACAATGCACCTTTAATAAAAAAAATTATAATAGGTACACCACCATTCACTTTTTTTTTTTTTTGAGATAGAGAAATCATAAATATTTGAATTTTCAAATATATTAAATCAAAAAGTTATTTTGAATTGTTATAATATTTACAACATTGCTGTTTTTACTGTATTTTTTATCAAATAAATCAAGCCTTGGCCCGCAAGACTTTATTCAATGTTGTTGTATGTTGCATGTTTATATATCCAAACTTTTTTCATGCAACCATAATCTTCATGGCATTTTTTACTATGCCATCTCAGGGGCACATTTATTGAATTCCATAATGGAATTCTGAACGTCTCCCCATCTGTGATCAGTGACTTACTTGTTGTGAGGAAGTCTGGAGCACAAAGTCCGTAGATCCTCTGAGGAATAAATGACATGACAGGAAATGACATCACTGAAATGGTGCTCTTTTAAGATCAAAACCCAAACAGGCCATTGTGAAGTAAACATCACTTACCTCTGGCACACAGAAGGGCTCCTGTTGCCATGGCGACCTGAAGAGCTTGTGCCAGCCTATCCAGAGCCAGCTGGATATGATTGGCAGCTGAAAGGGGCGTGAGCTTCTCACAGAGCCGGCTGACTTCCTCTACTAGCGTGGCAACAGACTCCACAGGAAGCACAGCTAGCCGGCCAATCAAATTCTGTTCTGTCAGGTGGACCTGCAGGAGTTAAAATAAAAACCTGTTATGTATTCTAATACTGAATGAAATCCTCAAAGCCTCACAATATTGTACTAGAAGAGATACATCACCTGCAGCATGAGAAAGACTTGAAGAACACTGAGGTGCAGTTTAGAGTACAGCTCTTCATATGCTATTCCTTTTTCACTTTCTCCATGGCCATTGGTCAAAGCCAACTTCCGGCCTCTCTGATAGGCTAATGGAGCTTTCACACACCAGCGGAGCAGACCCAGAAGAGGCGTGATCTCGAGGCAACCCAACGGCAGGCTGGAATTGAGAGGTGTGTTGATGAAGGTGAGGAGCAGAAGTCTGGGATCCTCCGTGATCCAACCAACCAGCATCTCCAAGAGTGCAGGGGGCGGAGTCAACTCATCTACAAGCGACAACATCATATATATCATTTTTGGGGGCGGGTTTATATATTATATAAAATATTTAAATATTGCTTATTTTTAAGGAAATTAATTTTATAGTGTTATATTTAAATTTTACGATAATATTATTTTGGATTTTATATTATATAAGATTATAAAGTAGACAGAGAAAAACAAACAAAAAAAGTTGTAGTGACAAAAAGGAAACCTGGTACCTGAGGAGAAGTCATAGAGTGCCGTTACTGCAGTGATGAGCTGGCAGCAAAAGCGAGGGCTGGCTGAACAGATGTTCTGCAGGGTAGAGATGGCACACGGCACCAGTGTGCAGTAATCATCCATCAGCACCTGAGCCAGACGCACACACCACGCAGAGTGGGTGCGCTAAAATAAAAAATCAAACACACACACATAATGAATGCTTGAAATGTTGTCCAGGTCATATTTTACCCAAAATCCCAAAAATTAGAAACTTTTATTTTACTCCGGAACTAAACTCGCGAAGCCAGTGATTATAGTGATTTTCTTTTACAAAAAATGCAATCTGTTCATCATATAAATTGATCGTGTCTCTTCAGAAAATTTGGATTAAACTGCTCAATTCATATGGATTACTTTTACGATCTCTTTATGAACTTTTTGAAGCGTCAAAATGGTAGTATGATTGGCAGCAGTATGTCAATGGAGGGACAGAAAGCTCTAAGATTTAATTAAAAGGATCTTCATTTGTGTTCCAAAGATGAAAGAAAGTCTTATGGGTTTGGAAGGACATGAGGGTGAGTAAATTATCACAGAATTTTAATTTTTGGGTAAACCATGAATTTGGAGTATTCTAAATGAGGTTAGAAATTTGCACGTCCAAAACATGTCCATATAAGGGTTTTCCGCAAACCCTTTCCTCATTTTCCGTGAGAATTTCTCATGTGCGTACAATATAAATACAAATAATCCACGCAATTATTAGTGATTGATCACTGTTCTTGATATGTATGTGAAACTCACAATAAGCATCCTGACCAAATTATCCATTCGTTTCAGTTAACATGCTCCAGAGAAATCATGAATCATAAAACATTGAAATCAAGGCACAAAGACACAAAATCAAAGTAAATGCTCTACTTTCACACCACACACCTGTAGCCAGGTGGATGCACACTCCAGTATGGGCACCCGACACACGGCTATCGCCATAGAAACCAGCTTCCCCAGCATGGCCATGCGGCTCTCGTCGGCCTTGTTGCCTTGGAGACTGAAGAGGGCGGAGAAAATGATCTGTCGGATCGAGTCTTTGCTCTGCTCCTGGAAGTAACTGCACATGATCTCCAGCAGTTGCAGTTCTTGAACGCAGCTCATCCTCTGTGTCAAACACAACACACGATTCCCTTGAATCCATTTTCATTCAAAGTTCACTCATATGCATCTGACCACCATATTTAGCATGGTTTACTCCTAGTCAAAAGACTCGATGACGCTCCCGTTCCTCACCTTAGGCTGGATGTTCCTGTCTTTAGGGATGTGAAAGATGAACTCCTCCACGAGGTCCACCGTGCTCTTCTCTAATCCAGGCGTGGGGCCCGAGGAGCTCTGCAGAGCGCTGCCCAGTGAGATGTCCAGATGATACAGAACCTCTTTAGCTGCGCTCAGCGGATCACGCCGCAGCAATGCATGTCGAATATCACTCATCTCTGCTGTGGAAGAGAAACTACACCATTAATTCAAATACAAGCATCTGTCAACCTGAATAAATGAGACATATGAAAGACACCTATAAGTAAGTAACACATGATGAACCAAAATATATCATTGTATGCATTATTTCTAGACATGAAGCATGGTAATAGCATGAATTTTGGACATGAGTCATGTTAAAGACAAGTCCGAATGAAACGGAAGTTGCAATAGTCTTTTCTTCCCTAATGTGACTTATTGCCGAGTTTTTCTCAAACGAGAAAACATGTAGGGCGGGACTTGATTTTGTCCATGGAGAATTGATTGTATGGTTGTGGTTTGCTATTGCTGTGATGTCATGTGAGTGACAGGTTGCCCCGCCCACGTGCCAGTAAACACGTCATGAGATGTCGTTGCAAGAGGATGAATGGGTAAGAATTTTGATAAAAGATAATGAGGGCACATTAATTTAGAAAAATAAGGATCATTCTTATTTTAATATTTAAAAAAAAAAAGAAGAAGAATTGTCCATTTTGATTTCATGGTGACTTTAATACTTTTGGACATGCATTATGGTAATATACTATGGATGTTGGACATTTATGATGTTTTTGGGATAATATTAGAGAAAACCAAGGTATGTATAATAAAAGTACCATCTTTTATTATCATTGTACAGATATCACACTATTTTGTTTTATTTTGTTGTAAAGCGTGTCATAATCAACATAGTGAAATAGAGCAGTTCTGAATCTAAATCTATCTGTAAAAAAAAAAAAAAAAGTAATTAAATCGTATTACAATAGCTCTTATTCAACCATAAATAGATCATCACCATCACATCACCAACAATAAGAGATTATTCTATGTGGCAAAACACATTGTCCAAAGCGATGCTGTTACACAGCGCATTTGTAATCGCCGGTTGCTTAACATTTTGAATGTTTCCTTAGTTCAAACTACATAGATATGTATAGTTAAAACACCCTTACCTGAGTTAATAATTAGACTCGATACATTAGCTTCTCTCAATCAGCAAATGCAAATCTCCCATAACTCACAATGTGAAAGTTGTTCATCACAAAATAACTAGTACGGAACCCCATACAGGACATGGCAGACTCGGTTGAGTAAAGAGAAGCGAGGCTGTTCAGCGCCACCTGTGTACTGGAGTCAAAGTTTTTGAACTGAAAAGCTTGAATCATTTGTTTTTAGAAGCCACTTGCGGGGATATTTTGTTCATATCTAATGCAATCACTGCAATGTCTGCATGGCTTCTATTTGAAGCCATGATATAGCCTAAATCAATATATAACATAACAGAAACACAATTCAATAGTCTAACTAAACAGATGCATGCAATGATATGTAGCACTAGCAGTAAACACTTTCATGAACAAAAAGCAACATCATCTGAATATATGAACACAAATCAATAACTACTGTAAAGCTTCCTTAAACAAGGAATATCAACCAACATAATAAATTGACTTCATCAAACAGTTAACATGAGCTGAAGTACATAACTCAACTTGGTAATATATGCACACATCAAACGTGAGGATAGCATGCATCGAGTCTGTTTGCTACACTCACTCACTGACTCACTCATAGACTGTAAAAAATGACTCACTCAATGCGGAGGTGAACGCCCCCTGCTGGAGATGGGCGGAGCAGCGTCTTTACGGCCCTGCTTTGACGCTTTGACAGCGCGCTCTGATATTTTGTCAGTTTGACCGTTTTTAACATAACCTATGTGTTCCTGGACTCAAAAAACTGTTTGGGTATAACTTACAATTAATTAATTTTACAATTACCCTCTAAGCAAGGAGGGGGATACATTGCATTTTTTTGAAGTAATTAATTCAAGTCATAGCCGGAGAGAGATGCGCTGAACAGACTCAGGTATTAAATAAATGCTATAATTCATTCATTCAAATAAATTGTAATATTATGCACTACTTTAGCCGTCAGTTTTACCCTTCCGGTAAATTTCACTACAAATATCAGTTATCGTTTAAATGTCAAATCCCATGGCAACCGGCCAACGCGCGTCACTGCGTGTGACGTCACAATCCGAGTATATAGCCCATGGAATTCTGCACAGGTTGTTGAGTAGTTCAGTTGGTTTCTGGTAGTAGGCTACACGCTATCTGACTAGTATTTCAGTACTTCATCTGTGGTGAAAAATTGCTCAAATTGTATTATATCTCTCGATCTATGTTTTATCTCTTGATTTTTAGTATTTCATTTGATCTGTGCTATTTGTGTTCAGTCAACTTGTTATAAGTTTGTAACAGAACATCAGAGAGACATCTGGAGCAATGGGGCAGTGCAAATCTCACAATTACATTGTAGAGGAAGATGCTGCTGCATCTGTGTCACCAAGGCCTGTCCCAGAGAGAGTAGAAAAGAAGAAGAAAGGGAGGTTCTTTAGATGGGCTTTTTCTCGGAAATCCAAGAAAACTTCCACCGAAGCCCAACAGAGTCAGTGCAGAAATGACAGCAGCCAACAGCCTGAGAGATGCTCTGATGGTGAAGTTGAACAGAACAGCAACATTGACAACAATTCAGTGTACAGCTGGCACACCTGTGTGTCTTCTCTCACCACTGTGCAGGATGCTGAAAAAGACATTCCCAGTCAAGAGCAAAGGGGCATCAGCAGCACTCACAACAGCAGTCCTTCTCTGACAGTGCCATCTATGACTGAGGAGAACAGCTCAGCTTCGACATCGGATGACGTTTCTTGGAAGAATGAGGATGAAATTATCAATTTAAGTTCAAAGGGAAAGAAAGGTTAGTTTCACAAGCCCCAACATGACTCATAAAATGTGCAAAAAGTACCCTAATTCAGTTTTAACATATTTTTGTTTAGTGAGGCCCCATAACACCAGAATAACGTGTCCATTCTAAAGCAATCTTTAATCAGCATTTTTTTTGTGGTTTATACTGTAAATTTACTATGTCCCTCTTTTTTTAACAGGGGACGTCTTGCAGCACTATCAAACTATGAAAATGCTGGGTCGAGGATCATATGGAAATGTTTACGAAGGGATCCGTTTGTCTGATTCACGAAAGGTTGTATTTTGTAATTTGAATTTCAATGAATTTGAATTGAATTGAATTTCAATTCATTAAAATTCACATCAAGGTTCATTATTGGAATCATGTGACCTCTGCACATTCTTACAAATTTTTTTTCCTTCTCTTGGAAAACAGGTGGCACTCAAATGTGTGTTGAAGACAGAATGCATGGAAAATGTCCGTATTGTAAGTAGCCAGTTCCTCTCTTCGTTTTCATACTTTCAGAGTATACAGTCACATTAGCAATAGGACATTTTAACAAAATTTTGCATTTAAAAAGGATCATTGTCAATAGCGTATGAACTTTTGAACCAAGCAGCTTTCTGTTGGTTAGCATGGTGAAAATCGTGTGAGGGTGAACAAAAATTCCCATTAAAATGACTGAATTTTGCCCTGCAAAATTTTACCGATCTACAGTAAAAGTGACTGAAACTTCAGTAACCATTTCCAGTATTTCAATTTCAAGTCTTCAAACCTACTTACCCGAATGCAGGACATAATTATGTTGTAGTAATTCATTTAAATTAAACTATGTCCCCTAATTATCTCACTTTCGTATAACTATTATCTCTCCTGTATAGGATCTATTTGGCAAATCCCTTCCAAACGAGGTCGCTATGATGGTTCTTGTGAACAAAGGACCCAGCGTTCCTCAAATAATAAAGCTGCTGGACTGGTACGAGACACCAGAGGAATACGTACTGGTCTTGGAGCGGCCCACGCCATGTGAAGATCTGCGGTGTTTTTTACTGCAAAATGGTGGCAAAATGAAGGAATCTACGGCACGAGTTGTGATGCGTCAGGTTGTCACTGCTGCAAGAATATGCAGTGAAAGGGGCATTTTCCACAGCGACATCAAGCTGGAAAACCTGCTCATCAACCGAAACACTTTGCAGGTCAAATTAATAGACTTCGGTTGTAGCAGACGCTTGACGAAGTCTCCTTATTTGAAATTCAGTGGTACGTATTATTTCACAAATCTATGGTGAATAAATAGACAAAAAGTTATGGAAATACAAATTTAATGCAATGGACGAAATCTTGTTCTTTCTTCCAGGCACAAAAGTTTATTGTCCCCCTGAGTTTGTCAACCATCAAAGGTATCATGGCAAGCCTGCAACAGTGTATTCTTTAGGCGTACTGATGTGCAAGATGCTATCTGGGAAGTACCCTCGCAATAACCTCCCTCAGATGTTTGCTGAGCCCTGGTACATAGAAGACATTTCCAAAGGTGAGAGCATGTGGACGGGTCATAGAGGAACTTTTATTACTGCTTAAAATAATATGATCATTTACACAAAGTTTAACACTTACAATAATAACCGGACATCTCTCCCCTCTTCACAGAATGCAGAGATCTGATCTCTTCAGGCATGGAAAGGGATCCAGCCAAGCGGATTGATTTGAAAAAGATCCTCCTCCATGACTGGTTCCAGGTATTGGTCCTTACATAAAACTGTTTGAAAATAAGATACCGTCCGTCATGGAAGGCAGAACGAGAAACAGAAGAAACCCAGAGAGTTGGTAAAGAAAAAAACCTTATGTGCCTAAAAGAAAAAAGTAAGGAAAGGAAGTATATATGTGTATACACTATATTGCCAAAGGTTTTGGGACGTCTGCCTTGACATGTACATGAACTTTAATGACATCTCATTCTGAATCCGTAGGGTTTGATATGGAGTTGGCCCATCCTTTGCAGCTATAACAGCTTTAACTCTTCTGGGAAGGCTTTCCACAAGGTTTAGGAGTGTGTCTATGGGAATTTTTGACCATTCCTCAAGAAGCGCACTGGTGAGGTTAGACAGTGATGTTGGACGAGAAGGCCTGGCTCACAGTCTCCCCTCTAATTCATCCTAAAGGTGTTCTATTGGGTTGAGCTCAGGACTCTGTGCCAGTCAAGTTTGACCTCCACACCAAACTTGCTCATCCATGTCTTTATGGACCTTGCTTTGTGCACTTGTGCACAGTCATGTTGGTACAGGAAGGGGCCATCCCCAAATTGTTCCCACAAAGTTGGGAGCATGATACTGTCCAAAATGTCTTGGTATGCTTACGCCGCCTTCACACTGGCAGTTGAAATCAGCTCCGATACGGCTCCGAAACGACCGGAAGTCATTCATTTCCTATGGAGATTCGCAGACCGCATGCGAATGGGTCCGAAACGGGTCCGACCGAGTGCGGTGCGAAGAAAATCGTGTCCGTTGGTCATCCGGATGCGTTCATATAATTGAACTCTTGCGAAAAGCTATGGACGGTTCCTATCCGACAATTCCAGCGATTATACAGAACTGACAGAATCAACCTTTCTAATGTCTGCGCCATGTTTGTTCTACTCGCTTCTGACGCTTTTCACTGTGTAGTACGACGTCCGTTGGGGGCGTATTGCGTATTACAGAGCTGATTTCAACTGCCAGTGTGAAGGCGGCGTCAGGGCTGTCGCGATAACCGCAATATTGCAGTACCGCACTACTGACAGGCCAACCGCAGAGGAATGCAAGTAACCGCAGTGTAAGCCCGTCTAATTCGAGCCAACTGCGGTCCTCGATTAGAGGTGAAGGTCACATGCGCGTTCCGTCTCTTCCAATGGCAAAGGGATTTTTAATTAAATACAATACATTCTATCTTATGTATTAACTCGTTTCATCTGACTCCATAAAATGAAAGTGTTTTTCAATGATATCTGTGCATCTTTAAATATACGTTAATGTTTGACTATTCCTTTGAACTCCAATGAAAATAAAGTCAAAGTCTGTTAGAATAATCAAATATAACAATTTATTATGTCAGGTAAATGTATTATAATAATTCCATAATCAATTTAAAGATAATCAATGCAAATCATCAAATGTTCTAGAACAAAGAGGAAAATCTTTTACCCGACATGAAATACATGAATGCTGAGTCTCGGCGACTCAGCATCCACGGGCTATCTGAGATACAGAAAGAGCCACGATCCCTTGCTACATTCCATTAAATAGCCAGAACTTCTTTTCAATGGTAATTTGCATTCAGGTTACACCTTATTTTGGGGGTAGGGGAGAAAGGCCATTTGTCCACCTTTCTTTGTGTGCCAGTTTCTCTAAACTTCTAAAAAACCTTTATTTCCTTTTGTTTTACTTATTTGGAAATGAGACATATGTACCAGCCACCCTGAGACCTTTAAAATGATACTAAACACAATACTCAATGATAATCATTCACATTAAACCATATATATATTCTTATGTGAGTTTTAGCTGTTACTGGGTGAAATGTAAATCAGGTGAGACTGCGTGAGGGGGAGGTCGAATGCTATTTCAGCAAGTTCCTTTGTTTCAATAGACCATGTGGTCAAGACAGTGTCTCCAACCAGTTCTTACAAGGCCAAATGTTACAGTAATTTCCAGCTTCAACCAGTTTCCCAGTCTTACAGCAGCAACCGCATTTTCTTTTTTCATAAGGCCACCCTTCGTAGTTCGTACAATGTGTATTGAATGTTAAATAAGTTAATAATGATAACAAGACTGTTTATCATGGTGATTTTTACAGAGGCTTCGTGGATTTAGACTTAAGCCTAAACAGACAAACCGACTGAGCGCGTGCAAATACCTGCGTCTGTCTTTGAAGTCAAGTCATGTATATTCGTGAATAGATTGCCGTTTCCAAGGAAAGTGAAATATTTGTCGTATCATCCTTTTAACGTGTAAGGGTATTTACCATGAATGGCGTCAGCGCTGGTCAGCATTACACAGCGTGAGGAAGCCGTGGGGGGAAAGCAGCGAGTCACGCATTGAATCAATGCCATTGGTCTCTATTAAGTGAAGCATTGCTTCAGCTTTGCCCAAAAGTGAAGCATTGCTGGCCAGCTGAGCCTTGAAAAGTGGAGCTCAAAGTTAAAAAAAATTATTAACACCTTGTTTCATTACATCTCTCATTTAAGGAATCAGCTTTTTTGAACGTTTTCGTTGAATGAACGGTTTAATGACTCACTCGAAGACAGTCCGTTGGCGTAACAATGTAACTGCGCATTGAAAGACTGTCACTCAGCATGCAGAGACGCTGTTTAGTTTCGGTTACATTGGTTACATTGTTTTTGTGTATGCTGACCACATCATAACACGTATTCATATAGCAACAAATAAATATAAGTAAATAAATAAATGGCGGTAATACCGCATATCGCGCTATTGAGCCACTCAAAATTACCGCAAGGGAAATTCCTTCACCGCGACAGCCCTAGGTATGCTGAAGCATTTATACGCAACTTTATACATGGCACAATGCAGTCAGGCAAGTGCCGTTCTCCTAGCAACCGCCAAACCCAGACTCGTCCATCGGATTAGCAGACAGAGAAGCGTGATTCATCACTCCAGAGAACAGGTCTCCACTGCTATAGAGTCCAGTGGCGGCGTGCTTTACACCATTGCATCCCACGCTTTGCATTGTACTTGGTGATGTTAGGCTTGGATGCAGCTGCTCAGCTATGGAAACCCATTCCATGATGCTCTCTACGCACTGTTCTTGAGCTGAAGGCGCGAGTATTGACTCGGCAGAAAGTTGGCAACTTCTGCGCAATGTGTGCCTCAGCTTGCGCTGACCCCGCTCTGTGATTTTACGTGGCCTAGCACTTCATGGCTGAGTTGCTGTTGTTCCAAATTGCTTCCACTTTGTTATAATACCACTAACAGTTGACCGTGGAATATTTAATAAATTGGAAATTTCACGAATGGACTTATTGCACAGGTAACAAAATGTAAGTAAAGCGGCAGCCCCTAATGGACGACTGCTGCATAAAATAGAACTACTGTAAACAACTTAAAATCCAGGCCTAGTCCTCTCTCGTCTTGCATTGTCGTCCCTTCCTTCCTATCCTTCTGAAACTCCTCCGTGGGACTCGAGACCGGTGTGGCACGCAGGTGAAGCTCATTAGCAATCATGCCACCTGAAGCTCATTAGCAATCATGCCACCGGCCTTGCTCCGTTCCCTGCTTGCCACATTCCCCCATTGCCCCTCGAGTCCGTCACGGCGGCCGAAGCTCCTGGGGGGAAGGACAGACGAGGCGGGAGAAAAGGAGACGGAAGGATGAGGAGAGACAGAGAAAGAGGGTTCCCACACCTTGGTTAACTTCAAATACAAGGACCTTTCAAGCACTTTCCAGGTCCTATACCCTCATATTCAAGGACCTTTCAAGGACTTCCCAGGTCCTATACCCTCATATTCAAGGACCTTTCAAGGACTTCCCAGGTCCTATACCCTCATATTCAAGGACCTTTCAAGGACTTCCCAGGTCCTATACCCTCCAATTCAAGGACTTAATGTGGGATAAATGTGCATAAATGACAGATAGGATCATAATTTATTATGCATATGATTAATATTTATAAACCATAAATTAATAAATAACATTAATTATAATCTATGAATTAATCTGTCTAATAACGTCTAAAAAATATAATAGTTACCTGTCTACCAAGCTCTGATAATATAGGGAATATTATATTAAGAGATTATCCAAATAAAAATAAAAAATAAAAAAATAAAATAAAAAAAAGACCTATGCCTTTAAAAGCAAGGACTTGTCTGTCACTGCATACTGCTTTAAGTCAGAAGTCCACTGCACCGCGTGAGCAAATTAAACTGTGCAGTTCGTCTAACGTTTATCATTAGTTACTGGACAGACCCATTGATACCTTTTTCCATATCTGGAGAGGACGTGAACTCGACATGGTTTCAAAAAACTGCGCATTAATTACTCTCGTTTACGGCACATGTTCTCTAGACTCTTTCGCTACGGAAACAAAGACACTAACATACAGTCACCCGCAAATTAATGTGTGCGTCTATGTAAAATACGGGACAAATTACGTCCCGTATTGATTTGATATGGGACGCATCATTTACGGGACGGGTGGTAACCCTAAATCTTTGTAATCTTCTTTGGTGAGCCAAATATCTTGAAACTTGCATTTTCCAGGCATCACGTTTCAGCCTATTTCTGCAATGTTTCACAGTGTGTCTGTGAAATGTTGAGGTACCATCGTAGTAGTTTCGTGTGCGCGTGAACGCCATGGCAACGTACAACACAAAGTACATCACCCTGAGAGAGTTATAGAGCGCCATTCTCCTCAGCGATGCCTGGCGGTGGTGCAGGACACCCCTCGGTGAACGGCCCTCTGACTCCTCTGGCTTCGAGCACCCGGCAGCGAATCTCCTGTTCCCTGCTCCTCCTCATCATGGTGGACTGCAGCAGGCTCCGGCCTCAGGCAAACGGAGACGACTCCTCCACTCGCTCTCAGACGGCAGCCGACCCTCCACAACCCAGGCGAACGGCAGCGAGTTCATCCAGTCCACCGACACGAGAGACATGGTGCCAGATTCTGCTCAGTTCAATGGCATTGCGGAAATCCCACAGCGGTGAGGGCTCTTTGACAGCACGCTCCTCCTTCCTCCAGGGTTTCGGCACCACTGTAGCAATGTTAAAATCTCAGGAGGCGGGGACCTCCTCCTGTGTTTAATTATTTTTATATTTATTTATAATCATCAAAGGCAGGCACGGAGGCTCAGTGGGTAGCACTGTCGCCTCACAGCAAGAAGGTCCCGGCTGAGCCAGGAGGTCTTTCTGTGTGGAGTTTGCATGTGCTCCCCGTGTCTGCGTGGGTTTCCTCCGGGTGCTCCGGTTTCCCCCACAATCCAAAGACATGCAGGATAGGTGAATTGGAGAGACAAAAAGTTTATTTAAAATAAATAAATCAAAGATGTGCATAGATAAACCATTTATAATAAATACTGCATTATTCCATAAAAAAAAACAGATTTGTCAGTTTTGATTTCATGGTGACTGTAAAAATGACATGTGTTTTGTACTCATCTAACAGCTGTGGTGGTTGCCAAAAATTATGGTGACATTGTTTCAGGTATTACAGGATGGTATATTGATGCCTGTATATTTTACAAGTTATAACTGTACAGATGAAACTCGAAAAATTTGAATATCGTGCAAGTTTTTTTATTTCAGTAATTTAACTTAAAAGGTGAAACTCATATATTATATAGACTCATTACATGCAAAGTGAGATATTTCAAGCCTTTATTTGTTATAATTTTGGTGATGATTATGGCTTACAGCTTATGAAAACCCCAAAGTCAAAATTAGAATATTGTGAAAAGGTTTTCATAAATGACTTACCCGACACGAAAGAAGAATGCAAAATGTCTATCAAAATGTTTTTGCAATGCACTTTTGCTTGCGAGTGCTCTTTGCATGCGCCTGAAATGGTAACGTTAGATGAGAGTAATTTTTAACAACATGGCAAACTTCGAACTAACTTAACGTTACATGTCCCAACCACATCAAATCCTCTTTCTCGTCATTTAAATATATATATATATTTAGTCAATGTGCGACATTATACAGAGTTGGTCTTTATCACAAATAAATACCTTCAGAATGAGACGAGTTAATATTTCAATCATTTTAATCATTTCAATGGGTTTATTTCGCTCGTGTGTCGAAGCACATAACTTACCTCTGTTCAACAAAACAAAACAAGAACGGGAACGCAAAAAAAAGTCAGTTCAAATTGCCCGCGAGGTGGTGGCACAAGTCCTCGTGCGCCTGCCTGCTATCCTCTACTGCGCATGCGCGAATGAACCACATGTTCGACCTTTTCGCTGCACAAAAATAACAATTAGTTGCACTGATTTACGTAACAGGTATATAATAGAAAGTAACAAAAACTAAAAAATCTCCTAAAAACTAAAAAATAGTAATGCCAACAGAGCACAAACAATTACCCTAAGTAATATGAACTTATTTTAACTAAGTTAACGGTGCATACATTTTTCCAGTGAGACATGAAGAAGCAGCATGAAAGTTATTTGATTCTTTATTTTCTCCTCATTAATTCCATACAGCTTCAATAAAGGTCCGTTCAGCACATAAGCGCAAACGAGAGTACATTTGGTGTTTTCATGGGTGTGTGGTCTACATTACTCAAATAATTTTTAGTTTGGCTACCTACTGGGGCAGAGTTATTGTAGTAGCCTATCATAGATCGATTTTATACATTTTTATTTCAGTTTTAGTTTGAGTTATTTTAGTACATCAAGTTAAACTAAATTAAAGTCAGAAATAACTAGCTAAAACGCTAAAACGAATAAAGCTATTTTGTTTCTGCCTAAAAAAAAAATCTGTTAAAGTAAAATGTTAATTTCAACAACATATTCTGGTTACAGCAACTAAAATAAACTCAAACTCAATGCAAGTTTACATCTCAATTCTGACTTTTTCCCTCAGAATTGCGTTAGGCCTAAACTTGCAATCGCGAGTTATACAGTCAGTATTGCGAGATGTAAACTCGCAATTCTGAGAAAAAAGTCAGTCTTTTCCCCCCTTAGAGTTGAACTTTATCTAACTCGCCATTGCGAGATAAAAAGTAGCAATTGCCTTTGTTTATTTTGTATTCAGTGGCGGAAACAGCTTCCATAGTTTTTGCAGTGATGCCATAGAAGAACCATTTTTGGTTCTTCAAAGAAACTTTAAAAAATCTTAAAAAACCCTTTTCTACAATAAAGAACATTTTTGTGGAAAGAAAATGTCCCATGGACGTTAAAGAGATTGGTGTGTGTATGCATTGATTTTCTACAAAATTCAATTTGAATCAATCACCACCGGGAGGCGCTATTTAATACCTGGTTATGACACACGCAGTTCAATGTAGCGCCACCCCATCGATCGCCTCTCCTCTGGCGGGACACCAGACTCTCCAGCATCAACATCATCCAGTTCTCTGTAACTTCACATCCAGAGCAAACGAGCTACAGTCATGACCATCAACACACTCAGTCAGGATGGAGTGCAGCGACAGCAAATGCCCTGTTTGACCAAGGTAAGACCCTAAAACTGTATTTTCATTTAGCAGTTACAGTCTTCGATCCAGATACTGTCTTTCAGCAGAAGAGCCTGAGCTTCATAATGCTGCAGCTGTTGCCTGTAAATCACAGGAACTTTTCCTCACATAACTGAAAATGTGAGAAAGTCCTAAGAGACTAAACTAAAGTTTGTTTACAGAAAATGTTCTGTATGCATTTGAACAGTTGTGTTTGGATTTTCTTAGGATACTTATATAACGATTTATATAACAACATTCCTTAAAAATTAAGTAAACAAGTTATCCAATTCCTCCTATTGCAGTATATTTATTTGATTTATTATTATTCCCTGTTTTAGAATTAAATCACCAAAAATAATTGTATGAAATTTTACATAATGGAAATGTATTCAAATTGATTTAATATTTGACTATAATAATAAAGTTAATGTTTATCAAGGTGTGCATCCTGTTGGTATTTATCTCTTTATTACTGTAAATGCATGAATAGTTAAATAACACAGTCATTTTTTAAGCAACAATATAAAGATATATTTATTTAAGGAAAAATGTATCTTTTTAGATTATTTTACTTTATGTTTTTTTTTTACAGTTTTAATCACCTTTTAGCTTTTGTGCAGTTCACAAATAGTTATGCTTTGTGATAAATATATACATATTTTTATTACAAATATTTCCTGTATATTCACATACAGATGGAGCGCATGATCATATCCATGCAGGACCCTGATATGGGCATCAAGTTGCGCAACCAGCGTCTCCTCATTACGGTCATACCACACGCCATGACTGGTGAGTCTCTCTCTCTCTCTCTCTCTCTCTCTCTCTCTCTCTCTCTCTCTCTCTCTCTCTCTCTCTCTCTCTCTCTCTATGTCACTCTCTCTTTGTTACTCTCTCCATGACTGCATCAAACTTCAAGCTTCACTCTCTCTCACTTGATAATCCCATGACATGACTCTTCCGCTTATTTTTCCAGCCTGTGGCATGTTATGGCACGATTAGAGAGACAGCTGAGACACAACTAGAATAGTTTGTCATTATTATTGTGGAAATACTGTACATTTATCCATGCATATCTCGGAAAGTCTTGAGTGCGCATGTGCACAGTGAATCAATAGAAGCTTGCGCAGTGAAATTAGACTCCTGTGTGTGCTTTCGGTCTCTGCACTCATTTTTCTGGCTATTAATTAGTCTAACAGTGAATGTTTTGCCCCTGCACCGATCTCTCAGAGGACACAGGGCTACGTGGTAATGAACAAATGACTTTCTTTGGCAAATCAAAGAAGTTAAAGTCACTTCATCAAAGGCGACACTTAATCAAATGTTTAGCCTATTTATATAACTGCTTTATATAACAGTAGTTCATTGAAAAACAAAACATAAATGCTCATTCTATCCAAGCTAGGAATGGGAACTTCCAGCTGTCTGAATATTAATATTAATAAGCTTGGTGCTGCTTATTGCTTACTGGTCAGTTCTGCTGTCAGATAGATAGATAGATAGATAGATAGATAGATAGATAGATAGATAGATAGATAGATAGATAGATAGATAGATAGATAGATAGATAGATAGATAGATAGATAGATAGATAGATAGATAGATGTATTGTATCTGTGTGTGCTTATGTTGACAACAATCCTCTTTTAATTTTATACAGGTATAGACATTGTTGAATGGCTGATTAAGAAATTTTCTATCTCTGATGAAGGTAGGACATTAATATAACTATATTTTAATTATTTATGTTTGATGCATAGCTTTGAGCTTTATTGCAACAATGACATGTTTATAGTCAAAGGATTTTATATATATATATAGCCTGTGTGTGTAATAATTTCCATGCTATCTGCTGTGGTGTATTTCTTTGAGTTTTCCAGTCACCTGTGTGTGGTTTATATGGAGTACCCTCTTGGGATGACATTATTCTCCATGTTCTCTCCTGAGGGATTTCAAAATGTACTCCCGCACACGCACACACAACACATGGGTAGCTAAATTGCTTATTAAAGTTGCTTTGGCACACTAAAGTCAGATTTTATGTCATCTGAGCTGAGTTGTGTGGAAGATTTTTAATAATAAATGCTCAAATGTCACGCAGTCAGAGGACAGGCTCAGCTCTGAAAGCCCTAATAAACAAGTAATGCCGCACACAGCTGTGTCTGCATTAAACAAGACTCCAGAGAGTTTGGCAGATCTGTGCACTGCAATGAGGGAACACCTTCTGTAGGCAACGGTTAGATTGAAATCTATAATTTCAACCAATATTTAGTTTATATTTGACCTAGAAGGCATATGTGGGTGTTAGGGAAATAACTAGCTAGATTCTAGCTGATGTAAGCTGTGTTCCTATAGCACAAACAGTAGAGTATGGTGCTTGCGATGCTTAGAAGATGGGTTTCAATCCCAGATTATGAATGAACAAAAAAAGAATATAGTATATAATAAACAGTGTAAGTTGCTTTGGATAAAAGCATCTCTCAAATACATAAATGTAAGCTGGTCTTTGCCTGGATCAACAACAAAGCAGCTACTAGGTGATCAGGCTGGTTTTTGGAACATGTTAATGACCAGCTTGAATGAATCTGTTGTCATCTTTTGTTGTAATGTTTTTTTTTTTAATGAATTATTTACCTGATTTACATTTTTGTTCAAATTTTTTACAAAAAAAAATGAGTATGATGTGTGAGTATATATTTTGTATGTGAATAATTTTTTTATTTTTTTATTTAGAGGCATTGCACATTGGACACCTCTTTGTGAAATATGGATACATTTACCCTTTAAAAGAGCCTAGACACCTTATTCTGAAAGCTGATGATTCACCATATCGCTTTCAGGTAAATATATACACACACACACACACACACTTACACAATATTGATTCAAAAATCCAATGCTATATCAGCATTTGTTAAACTTCCATATTCAAAAACAGCACATCTCAGTTAATATCTGTCTCTATCAGACTCCGTACTACTGGATGTCGACATGCTGGCCTGCTTCAGAACTGGACTATGGTGAGATCTACCATAAGCATGATTCACATAAAATGAAAAGTCTGTCATCATTTACTTACCTGCATGTTCTGCCAAGCCCATATACAGTTACTTCAGATGGCTCAGGCTGATAGGACCTTAACTCAGTCTGCTTGCAATCACATCATTCTCTATAGTGCACTGATTGGTTCCTGCTGTATCAGTAGCCAATGAGCTCTCTGCTCAACTTTCAAACACTTGGTTAGCATTTGCTGTAGCAGTTTGCAGCGTGCTTTCAGAAACCCTCCACCTTCCCCAGCTCCCACCTGTATAAAGTAGATCTGCTTCGGGTGATTCATGTACGCTATATTGTACAGCAGCAGCATGTCTTACTTGCTAACAGCAGCGTGTTGTGTATTTATTGGCAGTAGGAAGTCTCGTACTTGCTCTGCAGCAGCAACAATAATAACAACAGCAGCAACAGGGCCTAAAATGAACACTCACCAAGCACCAAATGCAAGTCAAAATCAGTGTTGGCGAGTGTATGAAATTGTCTCACTCGCCAGTTGGCCGGTAAAAATTTTATGATTTTTAACAATGCATGAACATGAACAAGCATGAACACCGCTCTGGAAAGTTGACCGGCCAGCTTTGCATCGTCACGAAAGTTTAAGCCTTGAAAGTTTAAATTTTTAAGTGCAAGCGAAAGGGAGCTCATTTCGTTACTCCCACGCGCGCACATAAAGCCGCGTCTCAGACACCGCGCAAATAGTAAACTGAGCTCTCTTTCACGTCTTCTTGCACTTGAGCGACAAAATTATGACAAAAAATAGAGAGGATCTAAAAAACATAGTCGGTTATGTCTTAAGTGAAGAAAGTAAACTCATGTGTACAGTATCAGTATATTAGATCCGTGCATTCGCTCTTAAAATGACAGCAGCCTAATATTCCTTCTACTGCGGTGTTTTTAATGTTAATCAAACAACAAAGGAAAGGACAAAGAAAACATCACTCACTGTTCTTGACTGAATAACTTTTGTAGCTTTAATAAGGATTAAATGACATGGATGTTTAATTTATAAAGTGAAGACTATGCAGTTATTTTACACTTACTTACTTAAAATTTATGTAGGCTACTGTTAGACCTACCTGAAAAACACTGTTTATTTCAGTTGTATCTGTGTTATATTGTAATTTGCTTGAAATTTAATTATTTGTTTTTATTTTATTACTGACCGTTTACTTGTCTTTAATAATGTTTTAAATTTGTATTAGTTAGGCTAGTAGTTTTAGCTGTGGTATAAAAATTGGAATAAATATTTGTGAATTTTTCACTGGTATCTGAAAGTTTGGTGTCATTACTACCTGTTTTTGCTAAAAAAAAAAGTTTCATGGTCAGTAAAAAAAATATTTGGCCAGTAATTTTTCTTATATCACCAGCCATTGGCAGGTGTGGCAGAAGTTAGCCAAAACTACCATGCCAAAAACTCAGAGAGCTGTCATGACAGAAATGCATTTCTTTATATCATGGAATACAAAAGGACATATTCTTCAGAAGGTGAATATATTATTTATATATTTATTATTTGTATGTGTTCTAGCTATCTACTTGGCCAAGAAGAATATCCGAAAACAAGGAGAACTAATTGAGTATGAAAAGGTATGTGGGTCAAATGCCAATCACACTCTTCAGTAAGAAGACTGTACAATGAAGTCATGAATCCATGGAGCGATCTGTTGTTCAGTTCTCAATCTCTGTCTTTGTTAGGAGTGCTATAATGCTTTACATAAACGCATCAACCACACCTGGGACTTTGTTGTGATGCAGGCAAGAGAACAGCTCAGGTAACTCTTCTTTTCCAGCACACACACAATATATGTTTCCTTCAGCCTAACCCTCTATTCCACATTTAGTTTCAATTGGTATTGGCCTCTATACTACTATTTTAACTTTTCACTTTAATTTTAAAAGAAATTAATTATTTTAATTCCGCAAGGATGCATTCATTTGATAAACATTAAGTAGCACAACCGTTTTCAACATTGATAATAACAATAAATGTTTCTTAAGCAGCAAATCAGCATATTAGAATGATTTCTGAAGGATCATGTGACACTGAAGACTGGAGGAATTATGCTGAAATTTCAGCTTTGCCATCAAAGAAATATAATATAATGTATTAATCGTAAATACTAATAATATTTCACAGTTTTATTGTTTTTAATATATTTTAATTAAATAAATGCAGCCTTCTATTAGAAACATAAAAAAATCTTTATGAGCCGAAAGTATTGAATGCTATTGTAGTAAAAAAAAAAGGTTGATAATTAAAATTTGTATAATACAAAAACCTCACATGTAGTGGCTGTATCCAAATTCATTCCACTGTTGCGCAAAGCTGCTTCAAAATTTAAGCAATTCCTAAAAAAATATCCAAATAATTAATAGGACTCGATGTTTTAAAGTTTCGAATGTTTCAAGTGTCATGCGCTAATAAATATTAGTCATATTCTTTGGATTAGAAAAGCTTTTCGGAAGGTTGTTGTCCAGAGCAAAATTATTTTGTTATTGCATGTTACTGTACTTCTGTACATTTGCCTTATGTTTTATTCCCTTATGTTCAGGGCATCAAAACAGCGTCGGAAAGCAGATCGTATAGTGCTGGAGTGTCAGGAACAAGCCTACTGGCTAGTGAACAGACCTCCTGTAAGTACTGAACACTATAAACTCACCACACTAAAAAAAAAAAATACCATGGTATTCTTTGAGTACCATGGTATTGCCATCAGACAGCATCACCGTTCCATGGCTATATATATATATATATATATACACTATGTCCCCCATGCATTTGTTAGTACATAAATTAAATAAATAAAACAAAGTAGCATTCTGCTTATTTGAAAAAGTATCTCACATACAGTATTATGGGGTAAATTTAATTACTTGATCCTTTAAAAAAATCAAGTTTTATCCAAGCCTTTTAGAATAGTAATACAGAAATTCAAAGCATATCAGACAGCAAGTATACGATGCTTAAGCAGCGACAACATCTGCGCCCGTCTGGCAAATGCCTTCATATCTGTATCCAGCTTCTGCTTATGAAATATTCAGCCAGTCAGTTAAAAGCATCGCAAAGCAGAGGAAAAAGGGGGAAGGGGACAGAGCACGAGAGAAAGGGAGGGCAGAAACTAGCAGAAGAAAAGAAGAAATAGAGTGGAACACATTGGTGCCTTCAAAATACATTCACACATGAGTGCAAAAGATATGTGCATTGCTTAACATGAGCTTAAGTGTTAAGTGGATGAAATAGTAGAATTGAGAGTGAACCGGAAAGACTGTGTTAAAGACACAGTCTTTGTGTGTGTGTGTGTGTGTGTGTGTCTGTGTGTGTGTGTGTGTGTGTGTGGTCCTGGTAATCCCTACATTATACACAAAGATACCAGTGAGTTTTGACCTTGTGGGGACACTTGTGTGTAATGTTTTTGTTTTGTTTTTTGAAAATGTAAAAATGCAGAAAGTTTTCTGTGATGGGTAGGTTTAGTGTAAGGGGATAGAATAAACAGTTTGTATTAAAATCATTGTGTGTGTGTGTGTGTGTGCTGGTATATCTCTAATGGTTCCATCTTTTGGCTGAGCGCTTAAGAGGATATTCTATTACTAAGTGTATGTGTGTGTGTGTGTGTGTGTGTGTGTGTGTGTGTGTGTGTGTGTGTGTGTGTGTGTGTGTGTGTGTGTGTGTGTGTGTGAGAGAGAGAGAGAGAGAGAGAGAGTGTGTTTCTCTTGCACTCCTGCACAAGGGCATTTTAACGAGGAATCCAGATGATGATTTAATCTGGGATGGATTTAGAGACCATTTCATTCCTATATTGTCACTGTGTGTGTGTGTGTGTGTGTGTGTGTGTGTGTGTGTGTGTGTGTGTGTGTGTGTGTGTGTGTGTGTGTGTGTGTGTGTGTGTGTGTGTGTGTGTGTGTGTGTGTGTGTGACCAAGTAAACCTTACATTATGGGGACAAAATGTCCCTGCATAGATGGAAATACCCGAAATCCTTGTCCTTGTGGGGACATTTTTTGTTCCCATGAGGAAAACAGCTTAAAAATCATACTAAGTGATGTTTTTTGAAAATGTAAAAATGCAGTTTTGTGTGATGGGTGGGTTTAGGGGTAGGGTTAGTGTAAGGGGATAGAATATACAGTTTGTACAGTATAAAAATCATTATGTTTGTGGATAGTCCCAATAAAACATAAAAATGTGTGTGTGTGTGTGTGTGTGTGTGTGTGTGTGTGTGTGTGTGTGTGTGTGAGTGAGTGTGTGTGTGCATGTGCGTGTGTGCATAGAAATGTTGTAAATCCACCTGCCAGACATTACTGTGATTTGGGTTTAGTTTAAAAGCCTTGAAAAAAACAAGGCTCACATTATTTTTGTCTATAGCTAAAAAAAATATATGGACAATGACTGACATCTATTCTATGATGTTTTAATTTATGAAATATTTTTGGGGGATGGATAAAATGATCAAGGTTGTGTAACTGTCCTCTATGGAAGCTTTTTTTATGCGTTGAATAAAAATAAATAAAAAAGGTTATTTATTTTTACTTTTTTCAACTGCAAGTAAAAAAGGTTTGCATAAAACCTTAATTAAAAAAGTTATAATATATATAATTAAAAAATACATTATATTTATTGATTTTTTTTCAATATATTTGAAAATAAATAATAAGACATTTATGCTAGCATGTATTCCAGGTCTAAGGAATAAATGTACTTTTTGTTACACTAATTGATATCTTAAAGTTGATTTAATAGATCAAGGATTTGCCACATGAATTTGGTCTTAAACATCATTATTTTCTCATTGATCTTCTGTATATCTCTTTATGATAAAATTTTTCAGCCAGGGATGCTGGACATTATAGATCACGGCCCGGAGAGAAGAACCATGAACACACGAGTGCAACTGGTCAGTGAACTGATCACCACAACACAACTAACCACACACACACACACACACACACACACACACACACACACCACACACACACACACACACACACACACACACACACACACACACACACACACACGCACACACGCACGCACGCACGCACACACACACACACACACACACACACACACACACACACACACACACACACACAAACACACACAGAGCAAGTTTCAAACATATATGAACAAACATTCACAGCAGAATCTCTCATGTTCAAGCATCATCTACAGCGTGTTTCTCTTTATTTCTGTTTTTACATCATGCATCCTTGTTCAAGTAAGTAATCTCTAAAACACTGCCTCATTTCCTGCTGTCATTTCATTTCATTGCAAGATCATATAAAGTTCAATGACTGTGCAGATTTAGTTTAGTTTATCTAATAGCAACTTTTGAGGAAATCTAATAGATGTATATGTAATTTTGTCAATTTCAGAAAAGAATGCAGAATTCTACAAAAAAGAGGTAAGTAATTTGAATAGCAAGTGTTTATATATTTTATAAATTATTTACATCAAATTATACAATATACTGTATATACGTTATAGATTATAATATATATATATATATATATATATATAATGTATTATATACAGATTGGGTTAATTTTTTTAAAGAAATGAATATATACAACAAGGACTGTTTAAATTGATCAAGAGTGACAGTAACAGTGACAGAGTGACAGACTTTTACATTTTTACCAAAAAATCTAATAAATGCTGTTCTTTTGAACTTTGTATTCATCAAAGAATCTTGGGGGGAAAAAAGTATCATGGTTTCCTAAAAAATATTAAGCAGTAACTTTTTTCAACATAGATAAATAATAAGAAATGTTTCTTGAGCACCAAAATCATCATATTAGAATGATTTCTGAAGGATCATGTGACACTGAAGACTGAGTAATTATGCTGAAAATTCAGCATTTAAAAAAAAAATATATATATTTACATAGAAAACGGTTATTTTAGATTGTAATAATATTTCACAATATGACTGTTTTACTATATTTTTGATCAAATAAATTCAGCCTTGGTGAGCAAAAAAGGTTTCTTAAAGGTACAATATGTAAGGATTTTGTATCAAAATATCCAAAAACCACTTGCACAGTGTTATATGTTTCTTTCAATTGTGTACTTACATTATCCTAAATGTTTCCAAGAATTCGTAAATTCAGAGAAATTCACAATTTTAAATGGTGCCCGTCCCTGTTCACTTGTCGCCTGTCAATGACGTAATATCCGCGTTATCCCTGGTTTCCGTTTGTACTGCCATAGTAACCACGGCGACAGACGTGGACACCTGTGTAGTGCGTAACGTCTCGTGGCATGCTGTTGTTGTTTCGTTCAAACATTATGGACCATGCCAAGCAGACTTCGGGACAAAATGAGAAATAAAACGAGGATCAATATCAGCGTGGCGTTCTCGAGATGCCGAGAGCTCCGTGTCTGCGACAAACTTCGACCCTAAAATAATTGACGCTACATTATCCATTATTTACCGTATACAGCACAGACTGTAACTAAATTCATATCCCATCATACTTGTTTTTGTGTTTTTATGTTAAATGGCTCTAGATTGAACATAACAAGAGAAGCCTGGCGAGGAATCGTGTCAAGTCCTCAATTTGCCTTGAGAGGTACTGTGTGTGTGTGTGTGTGTCTTCACTCTGCTATAGTCTCGATCTCCAGGCTACAGCTAATGGACTGTCCTCAAAATATATTTTAAAAAGAAAGGACTAACCCTTTGTGAGGGCTTACATGTGTGTGTGTATGTGTGTGTGTGTGCAGTTACGTGAAGTACTGTGAGCAGTATCAGCCCCATGACCCAATAATGCAAGGATGCCTTCCCAGCAACCCCTGGATCACAGATGATGTCATGTTTTGGAACATGAACTCTGAAGTGTGAGTCACATTAACACATCATGAATAACCATTTTAATGTTACTTAAACTCCTGAAGTATAATGCCTGATGGTCAGTATATTGCTCTGTATAACTGTTTTCCTGAAACAGAGTTGCTCTGCCGACTAAACTGCGTGTGGAGCGCTGGAGCTTTAGCTTCATGGAGCTGCTGAACGACCCAATGGGCAGAAAAGAGTTCCTTGTTTATTTGGAGAAAGAATTCAGCGGTAAACACACACACACATACACGTACTGTGTTGGTACCATGATAAAGTTATAGCATCAGATCCTAATACCATAGTGCATGGATATATAGAGTACCATATAGAGTACAATATACTGAATAAATATTGACCAATAATCGGTTTGATCAATATTTTATATTTGTATTTTATATTTCAGTATTTGGTTTACTGATAAATGGCGCCATCTGGTGGGTGTATTGAGAATAAAACCCAACAATGCCATCTAATAACTGTTCGCAGCTAAAGAGACATGTTTAATGTAATGTTGGGCAATAATATTTGACTTTTTGTGTAAAAGCCAATCGTACTTACAGTACTGTTCAAAAGTTTGGGGTCTGTAAGATTGTAAGAAGTGTTTTTGAAAGAAGTCTCTTATGCTCGCCAAGGCTGCCTTTTTTAAAAATCAAAAATACATTAAAAAGAGTAATATTGTGAAATATTATTGCCTTTTAAAATAACAGTTTTTTTATGTAAAATGTAATTTATTCCTATGATGGCAAAGCTGAATTTTCAGCTTTACTCCAGTCTTCAGTGTCACATGATCCTTCAGAAATAATTATAATATTCTGATTTAATGCTCAAGTAACATTTCTTATTATTATCAATATTGAAAACAGTCGTGACGCTTAATATTGTTGTGATACATTTTTTTTACAGCATTCTTAGAAAGTTAAAAAACAAATATTTGAAATAGAAATCTTTTGTAATATTAAAAATGTTTTACTGTCATTTTTGATGCACACTTGCTGAATAAAATACTTTTTAAAAAATCTTAGTTGAAACCAAACATTGTATGAACGGCGTATGTCAGATACAGAAATGTTGGATGCATATTAAAACCAAAAAAGTGAAAAACTGACATAGTGGACAAAATTGTGCAAAATCTTAAATTACAAAAGACTTTTTCATCAAAGAATACCATATATTGGTCCAACAACTTGAAATTACGGTGGTATTCTTTCAAATTTTTAGTTTTGATTCCCTCGTTATATAAACATATTTTATTTTAACCCAGTTCTGAATAGCGTCGTTCCCTTTTGGAGGTTTAATAGATTCCATTTTTATCCTACTGCACACTCTGTAGAAATGAATAATGTAACAACTTTTCATGTTTCTCTCTCCCCCGTTCCCTTTCTCATCCCTCCCCTCTCATCATCTTCTTTTGTCCTCTGCTTCTCTCTCTCTCGTTATCAGCGGAGAACTTGTGTTTCTGGCAGGCCTGTGAGGACGTTCGTCACGGAGAGACCTCAAAGATTCCAGAGAAAGTGGGCGAGGTTTACAAGTATGACCTTGACAATATGTTACAATGTTAAAGACATTTATAATGTATAACTTTATAGTCATCAAAGAATCCTGAAATAAATTTTAAATATATGTATCAAAATATACATTAAAATATATTAAAATAGAAAACAGTTATTTGAAATTGTAATGTTTCTCTTTTATTGATTTTGATACAGTCTTTCCGCAATCTTTTTTCAGTGTATTCAGGGCTTGACAAGAACTTTTTTTGCTCACCGGCCACTGTGGCTAGTGGTTTTCAAAAGTTACTCTGCATTTTCACTGGCCACAATTTTGATATCACGGGGGAAAACTGCCATATAGATATTTGTATTTGGCAGCAGGTATATTAGGCTGCTGTCACTTTAAGACCTGACGCACAGATCTATTATACTGTTACACATGCGTTTTCTTTCTCAACTAAGCGCTGCTGGTATCGTGTGTCTGATATTTCGGTATTAGGGTTAGTTATTTCGAAAAATCGATATTTTTGACAACACTAGTTTATTATTTCAGATGCCTTTTTAAAAGACTACAATTGAAAAATGTATATATTATATAGCCTAAAAAATTCAACTTGCCAAAGTGGTTAGTAGGAGTGACTGGATTACATGCCACTGCTGAAATCCACCCGCATTTGGCTTTATTTGGCTAAACTACAAGTCAAGTCAACTCCATATTGACTTGACTTGGACAAAGACTACGATAAAACCTGTTGGAAAGCATCTTTTGCAGCGATTTTTGTGTGAGCATATCAGTGAACACCCCAGACCACTCTGTGAGTTTAACGTCTTTGTAAACCTCTGTATATTTAATCTGTGTGCTATATGAGTGAAAGTCTTTCATCACCTCTAGTTTGTCTCGTATTCATGCGATTCATGTGATTGTTTTGCTGAACTTTGTAACTGATCTTCATTCTAATCTATCAGGCAGTTTCTGTCTCCTGGTGCAAGTCGTTGGGTGAATATCGATAGTAAGACCATGGAAAAAACCCTGGAAGGACTCAAGCGCCCTCATCGTTTTGTCTTGGATGATGCTCAAATGCACATTTACTTCCTTATGAAAAAGGTATAGCGTTCAATTTGTTTGATCAAATGCAAAATGTGCCTGTAATAAACCTATACAACCCTCCACACCTGGGGGAGGTGGAGGGTTGCCAGCAGCCATATCACCCTGTAGCCCAAGACTGGTTGCCCACTGAAGCTAAGCAGGGTTGAGTCTGGCCAGTACCTGGATGGGAGACCTCCTGAGAAAAACTGTGTGGGTCCTAACACCCCAGTGTAGTGATGGGGACACTATACTGTCAAAGAGCACCGTCCTTCGGATGAGACGTTAAACCGAGGTCCTGACTCTCTGTGGTCACAAAAAATCCCAGGATGTCTTTCGAAATGAGTAGGGGTGTAACCCCAGCATCCTGGCCAAATTTACCCATTGGCCTCTGTCCATCATGGCCTCCTAATCATCCCCATATACTGTATATATATATATATATATATATATATATATGTATACTGATTGGCTTCATCACTGTCTCCTCTCCACCAGTAAGCTGGTGTGTGGTGGGCGTTCTGGCGCAATATGGCCGCCGTCGCATCATCCAGGTGGATGCTGCACATTGGTGGTGGTTGAGGAGATTCCCCCTTCCATGTGAAGCGCTTTGAGTGCTGAGAAACGCTATATAAATGTAACAAATTATTATAAGACCAGAGTGTGACTTCAGATTTGGACAAATTGGGAAAAGTCCATATACACTATCGTTCAAAAGCTTGAGGTTGGCAAGATTTTTTCAATGTTTTTGAAACAGTCAGAAGTCCCTTATGATCACCAAGGCTGCATTTATTTAATCAAAAATACAGTCAAAAAACAGTAGGCTAATATTGTGAGATTTGATCTTTTCTGTCACTTTTGATAAATTTAAAGGGATAGTTCACTTTGAAATTAATTTTTGATATGTTTTAGCTTACCTCAAGGGCATCCAAGATGTAGGTGTCTTTGTGTCCACAGTATTTTCAATTTTGTTATTTTTAGGTCAAACCGTTCTTGTCTGTCAGTCATATAATGCAGTCCTATGGGGTCCACCTCAAAGAGCATGCACAGAGAAGTCCAAATTAAACATGATTTAATGACTCGTAAATGTAAGTACACATTGATGGCCTAAGACACGAAACGAGCGGTTTGTGTGAGAAAACGAACAGTATTTATATCGTTTTTACCTCTTGTAAACACCGCCACGTCCAAGTACTCTGATGGCGCGGGCGCCTCTGTCTGCGCAAGCGCCGGAAAGCCCCGGAAGTGATCTCTCGCGCGTGTACGTCACTCATTGTTTACACAGAGATTTTGGACGTAAAATCTCTCTTTTTTTCTAATTTCTTTCCGAAATCGTCTTCCATTGCGACTCCCTGTATATCTAAATATGTTTAGATCTTCACAGTGAAAGGTAAAACGTCTTGGACGTGACTGTGATTAGAGGTAAAAACGATATAAATACAGTTCGTTTTCTCACACAAACCGCTCGTTTCGTGTCTTAGGCCATCAATGTGTACTACCATTTACGAGTCATTAAATCATGTTTAATTTGGACTTCTCTGTGCATGCTCTTTGAGGTGGTGACCATAGACCTGCATTATATGACTGACAGACAAGAACGGTTTGACCTAAAAATATCAAAATTGAAAATACTGTGGACACAAAGACACCTACATCTTGGATGCCCTTGAGGTAAGCTAAAACATATAAAAAATTAATTTCAAAGTGAACAATCCCTTTAATGTGTCCTTGCTGAATAAAAGTATTCATTTCTTAATTCTTTTGAACGATAGTGTAAATCAACAAAACTTCCAAGTTATGATTTGAATATTCAATATTCAATGATTTGAATATTCTTGCCGATGTTTATTAGATGTAGTTTGTGTTTCTTTGTAGGATTCGTACCCTCGCTATCTTAAATCCGACCTCTACAAGAACTTATTAGCCAGAGCCATAGTACCACAGGAAACCAAGAAAAGGTAAAAATGCAAATGGAACAACAGCTAAAGGTGCATAAAACCCATATTGATCAGTCTGCAAAGGAAGAGAAGTCTTACGAGTGTGTTTCTGTGTGCAGTGGGTTCCCGTTCATGCGCCGCCAGCGTCACTCCAGCCCTTCACCTGCTCTCGCCACACAAACCGCAGAGGATGATGGGAAGGCAAAGAACTCTGTCAAACAAAGCAATTCCGGAACTGCATCCCAGCTTTAAACATGCACACAACAGTTACTGCTATTTAAAACACTTTTTTTTTGTGCTACTTGATGTTACCTCCAGTTGTCATCTCCGGTTGTACTCTTAAAAAAAAAAGACGTTAGCTAAACCGTAGCATTAGCTAAAGGTTATTATTTAAAAAAGAATGCTTGATTCACATTTCTCTATCATAGAAGTACAACTTTTCATGCATTTCTAAGATACAATTTATGATGTAGCAATAATATAATCTGACATGTTCACAATCTCACAAACTTTCAGCTGCTCTACGAATGTTTTCTTCAGTGTTTTAAGCGGAATTTGACTTTTTCACACATTGTCATTTTTTTAATATATTTATTTGATATAAAGATTTTCCTTTCAGCTATACATTTACTATTGTCACAGTTTATGTACATCATCATATACTATAAAAATGCTTCAGTGAATACTTGAAGGGATATGATCGGACACCGTAAATCTAGTACATCTGTAGTAAATCTACAGTAAAATAAATTGTCAATAAAGTTACAGGCCTACATTTCCAATTCCAAACCTAAAAGGAGGAAACGCGTTATGACATAACAAAAGTGTAGTGTAACATTTTTTTTCACAAGTTCTTTATATAATTTTATATTCTTTCAAAGTATATATTTAAAACTCAGACACATATACAAAGGTTTGGGGTCAGTAAGATTTTTTAATGATTTTTAATGAAAAAAGTATATATATATATATATATATATATATATGTACTGTATATAGACCCCACACTTTAGAACGGTAGTGTTTATTTTTAAGATTTTATTGTCAATATCTATTTTTATGTTAATTGTGCAGCATTAGCTAATTTGATGTTAAACTATGTTTATGTAACCAAACCTAAAGTTTAATACTACTGTAAGCATTGCTCTAAAAGAAAGTAAAAAAAAAAAAAAAAAAAAAAACAACCAGCTTTAAATAATCATTCAATTATTTATTTCTCCATTTATTGGCATATAGATTACAGAACATTTTAAGAAAAGAGGCAGGAATCAGGAGCACGAATAAAAAATAAACACCACCAAAGAAACTTTAACATGTACCTTCATAAACATATTGTCTGTGATTGCACTGGTTCATTCTCACCCTAAAATATAAGTGCATATTTGTGCAATATACAAGGCCTACCATTAAAAACAAACAAGAACAAGGATTGTCAAGATAATCAATATTAAATCAAAACCAAATCCCATAAGAAGGAAGTAGAAATTTTGAATAAATGATTCATTTTATAAATATTTTATTATATATATATATATATTAGTTAGGCTCATATTTTTGTTTTCAATATCATTTGTAATTCCAATAAAAAAATGTATATAAAACATTGTAAAACATCACATTCCAACCTTAACTTTACACTTACCTCCTCTGGAAAAACAAGAGATGAATTGCCTTGCTGTTACAATTAAATGGAAAAACACAACACTGATTTACTGAGTTTTTAAAGGACAGTTGCCATGTAAATTAAAATGGCCTGAGGGTCAGAAGTACAGTGTTATGCATATCTAGAAAAAGCCTTGACAAATACAGAGGTTTTTCTTAAATATGTCTGGTTATCAGTATGTTTGATTCTCATTACAAACACACACATCTGTAGTATTTCATACTGGCATACAGCAAGCACCATTTTACACACTGGCTCAAGCAAGCACATTTTTAAGCAAGTGTAAAATGTTCTTCCATTTGAAAAAGTAAGAGCAATGTCTCAAAAAGGAATATCAAGGCTTTCAGGGAAGAAGAAGGAGGGAGGTATTTTCGTGTACATTCCTGACAGTGTTATAAATAACTGTAAAACATGTTTGCTATTAGACTAGGATTACCGTACCTGTTCTCCACTGTAGGTGAGCAAACACAAGCTCGGAGACACAGACAGCAGTTCTTTGTAGTAGTGCTGGGTTTCGATTCAAATTTCAAGAATCGATTCGATTCCGATTCTCAAGATCTTGAATCGATTATCATTATTCGATTCGATCCGATCCGATCTTCGAGATTTAGAAAAGTGTTTTTGAAAAAAGCATATTTTTTTTCCAGCTGTTGAATTACAGGACTGTAGTTATGCAACATATTGATACAATTATTATAGACATTTAACTGCAAATTAATGGAGTATTGATGGTTGTAAAGAACAATCCCCCTTCCAGAGTGTTGATACAACTGCTTTCACAAACTTGCACTGGTGTAGACGACAGAGGACGCAGAGGTATATCAGCAGCAGTAACCGCAGAGGATTGCAAGTAACCGCAGCAACCGCGATATTCACGTTTTTTTATAAGGCTATACCCTTCTTGTTTTGAACTTCATGCATGTGTATTGAATGTTAAACAAGTTCATAATGATAACAAACAAGACTGTTTATCGTGGTGATGTGTAGCCTACAGAGGCTTCGCACAGACAGTGAATGAGAGAGATCGGCAGAGCGCGTGTGATTACCTGCGTCTGTCTTTGAAGTCATATGTATTTGTGAAAAAGGTTGCCGTGTCAAAGGAAAGCGAAATATTTGTCGTATCATCCTTTTAACTTTCACGTCACGGGGTATTTACCATAAATGCGCGTCAGCAGCAGCGCTGGTCAGCATTCCACAGCGCGAGGAAGCCGCGGGGAAATGAAATCAGCGAGTCACGCATTGAATCAATGCCATATTGGTCTCTAATAAGTGAAGCATCAGCTTCAGCGTTACCCACGCGACGCATTGCTGCTCAGCTGAGCCTTGAAAAGTGGAACTCAAAGTTAAAAATAATTAACACCTTGTTTCATTACATCTCTTTTAATGAATCAGCTTTTTTGAACGTGTTCGTTGAATGATCGGTTTAATGACTCACTCAAAGCCCGTTGTCGTAACAATGTGCGCGCTGAGTGAAAGCCTTTCAATGCGCATACAGGGATCTCCCAGTCGCGGCAAGTTAAAGTTCACGGGGAAAATGTAAACCTATTAAAATCGATCCTCTGAGTTACGGATCGATCTTTAGAAATTAATATGAAAATCGATTCAGAATTGGTGAATCGATTTTTTCAACACAGCACTACTTTGTAGTGATGACAATGCCCAACATGATCTGGAACATCATAGGTACAGGACCAGACAGAATCTGCCGTTTTAGGTTTGTTTTTTAAAGAAAATCTCCGGAATTCTGTGAAATGGATTTAACTAAAGTAAAATGTGTTTTTTAATGGAATATTTCATCCTAAAATGTAAATTCTGTCATCATTTAGACTTTTTAGTTCTATCGAGAGAAAAAAAACGAGTTCCATTGGTGCAGATTCCATGTTGGGCTACTCGTAAATCAAATTATGAAAGTGCTGAATAAACCTTGAAATTAGAAGTGATTTTCCTCAGAGTTAACGGGAGACAATATGACTTTTTTCATTCGCAAAGAACAAACAATTGCAGTGTAAGTAACTCACTCAATCCAATAAACTGATTCTTCAATATAAAGTAAACCTCACAAAAGTGCTTAATGGAGTAATCAGGTTCAAAGGACATTCAATGATTATATCATAAATAAAAAGTAGTCTATATGACTTGTGCACTATATTCCAAGCCATTCAATAACTTTATGTGAGAAACAGACCAAAATAAGTCGTTATTCACAGATAATCTTCACTTGACTGATGAGGTCACTATGACTCTCAAAAATCTCCTGTTGTGTTCCATTGATTTGGTTTATGGGTTTAGAATACATTTTTTGGGTAAACTATCCCTTTAAGTAGTTATAAACATACACTACACCTGCATTTCAGTGGTTTTGGTGACTTAAGAAGAGAATATTTCATTAAAGCTTGACGTGTTTCAGAAAGCTAACCGCTAAAATTTGTAAAACTGTAAAAATTGCACATGAAAATCCATTAGGGTTTGTGCAGATATCAATACCAGTGTATTTAGGTATCAGTGTAAAGCTCTACTTTCTCATTTTTACATCTCCTGTAGCTACAGATTTTGTTTGTCCAGCCCCAGGGGGGAACGTGTTTTTCACGGGGTGGTAAGAGGAAGACCACGCTTGTGGCCACCATGACATGCCATATGGAATGAGTGTAGTAGTAGTTGCTATCTGTCTGTGCGAAGACGTACACACACACTCCAATCAGTGCAGATACAATGCCTGGGAGCAGGAACAACACCCAGCGACGCCATAATGGAGGGTAACAATGACGACGTTTCACACCTCGATAAACCTGTTGGGTAACACAAATGAACAGGACAGGAAATATTTCAAAATTGCTGTGACAAGTGAACTTGAGTGCTTCATGCCAGGTTCAGACTACACAATACTTGCATGGTCGTAAGAATCGAATTTTATCTCGTAGTGTGTCATTGACGAATAGGAGCACAGAAGCTCTTCCATACACAGCTTTCAAACATGGCGAAACGAAAGAGGGACGATGGTATTGGTGCTGCTAGGTAGAATTATGCAATGGAGGAAAGCTATGTGGAGCTATGGCTACGATACTCCTGACTTTATGATGTGTTCTTGAGGGACTACAACGACAGAGTGAAAAACATGATAAATGCTGGTGAACGATAGCGGAAGTGCTTTAGCAACCCGGTGAGTACTGGAATGAGCATCAAGCTAACACGCCGCTTCAGTAGCCAATCTTTTTCAATGAACCAAAAACTTCCTCCCCAGTCCGAAAAAGACAATCTATTGAAATGAATCTCAGAAATCCGACATCAGAAGCATGAGAACATTAACAATGGATGGCCTACATTCAATACAGATTCATTCAAGGCTTCACAGTCTTCAGTGTGTTTACTGTTTTTTTTACCATTGTTCGTTTTTGCTCTTGTTTCCAGAAGTCAGTCGCTAGTTCCGCCTTCTCGGTGAAGCACGTCATCACAGACGGCAAACGATGATTGGTCGGGAAGCAAAGTGTAGTCTGACATGTTTCTTGTCCATGACACGACAAGAATTTAGGCGACAAAAAAAAAAATCGCATAATCTGACACTATTGTAACAGACAAAAATATTGTGTAGTTTGAACCCGGCATTAGTAAAATCATTTAATTGAGACATACTGTCAAGATCCTTTTAAAGTTGAATCTGGTAGGATTTGTGTAAAATAAAAACTCTAACAAATTCAAAGCACAGAACATTTTTTATTAAACTGGTAAGCATAAGTTGGGAGTAGGTCAGTTATTTATTTATTTTTTACAAAAATACTTTTAAATAATTTAATTATATCAAACAACAGAAACCTGTATCTGGTTCATTTTTGAATATATTTGGACTATCATTCAAAATACTTTAAAAAAAAAGTATTTTCTGCTCACCAAGGCTGCATTTATTTGATCAAAAATACCATGAAACAGTAATATTGTGAAATACTATTACAATTTAAAAGAACGGTTTTCTTTTTGAATATATTTAGCTGAATTTTCAGCATCATTCCTCCAGTCTTCAGTGTCACATGATCCTTCAGAAATCATTCTAATATGCTGATTTGCTGCTCAAGAAATATTTCTTATTTTTGATCAATGTTGAAAACAGTTGGGCTGCTTAATATTTTTATGGAAACCATGATACTTTTGATGAATAGAAATTTTAAAGGGATAGTTCACAAAATTATGTCATCATATACTTGCCCTCAAGTTGTTTCAAACCTGTATTAATTTATTTCTTCTGCTGAACACAAAGGAAGATATTTAGAAGAATGTCAGTAACCAAACAGTTAACTGGACCCATTGACTTCCATAGTACGAAAAAAAAAAATACTATGGAAGTCAATGGGTCCAGTTCACTGTTTGGTTACTGACATTCTTCAAAATATCTTCCTTTGTGTTCAGCAGAAGAAAGAAATTCATACAGGTTTGAAACAACTTGAGGGTAAGTATATGATGACAGAATTTTCATTTTGAAGTGAACTATCCCTTTAAAAGAACAGCATTGATTTGAAATAGAAATCTTATATAATATTATAAATTATAATATTTACAGTCACTTTTGATCAATGTACTATGAATACCTGCTGAAGGTATTACTTTCTTAAAAAATAAAAATCGTAAAAAACAATACTTTGCAGTAATGGAAAAGTTAAGCTCACCCAGGAAGTGACCATAATGACCAAAGCAACGAGGACAGGGCCTAGAAGGTTCCACAACCCCCTGCGGTCCAACTGCATCGCCATGGAAATGACAAGAGTGCCCGCCATAAACAATAGCTGCAATGCAAGAACATTTGAAGCTATTAAAACTGACATGCAATAATAATACCTGAAGTTTTATTAAGTAAATAATTACTGATTAAAGTGTTATGAATATCCATGATAAAGGGGTCATCAAGAACTTGTTCTTTTTAGAAAAATCTTTTTCAATGTAAACAGTTCCAGAGCCAAAAACTTCCTCCCCAGTCCGAAAAAGACAATCGATTGAAATGAATCTCAGAAACGGATTGAAATCTGACATCAGAAGCATGAGAACATTGACAATGGATGGCCTACATTCAATACAGATTCATTCAAGGCTTCACAGTCTTGGGTGGGTGTGTTTACTGACAGTAAGAAAGTGAAAATTGTCATGAAAAGCTAACTTACAAAAAATCCTTGACTAACAGGGGGGGGGGTTGTTGGTGACCCCTTAAAAAAAGTGTATTATGTTTATTTATCAGTTGATCAATGACTTTATCTTCAAATTTATACATATAATAAAATGATTAATTCAATTCAACATGATTATAAAGTGATTTTAATTGTTTCAGAGTAACTATGTACTTGGTATCCACTATCACAATACTTCCTTTAAAGAACAGGTAGGTCTCTAGTTAAACATGCTATGCTATTTAAAGACCATTCCAATTATTACATCATAATTGACAAGGTGACACTTTCATGATTTAAACTAGTGAATATACATGGGAGTATGTGTGTACCATTTTATTGTTATAAATGGCAGCATGCAACAGTTTCAGTTTTAAATAATTAACAGTCAAATAACAGACTGAAATAACAGTCATTCAATAATTTTTCAAACTTTTTAAAAATGTAAACTTACAACTTAAAAAATATGAATATTTACAATAATAATTTCTGAATACATCTTTCTATTGTTGTATTCTAATAATTATTTAGTTATTGTGTCAGAAGAAATACAAATATTTTCTGCAGATTGTTTATCAGACACTTAAACAGTTGTATTATACTGCTCAATCTCAACTTATCAGAGATGCTGTAAACTTTCCACCAATGACAAGACTCCAACACCATCTACCATGACTCCGCCCCGACCCACCAATGTTATTGTGACAAATCATAATCCACATTTTTAACAAGAATAATGACTATTATCTATAAAAATAATGCTACACACAAAAATAGTACTTACATATTTTATTGGCTCCTGAAGCCGTGCCATGCACACAATGGTCACCCACACTGACACGACGGATCCCAAGAAATCACAGAACTGGAGGGTGTCGTAGTCCATGATACACATCACAGTCACACCGGGCTGATCACACGCATGATAAAACTGCAAAACACACAATCATTATGACTACAAAATACACAATGTGCATTCTGGAATGACAGAACAATGGATTGATGGATGGTAGACAGAACAATAGTTAGATAGCTAGAACGATAGAATGATAAAATGACATAACGATAAACAGACAGAAAGAAAAACAGATACACAGATAGAACAAGACAGACAGATGATAGACAGACAGACAGACAGACAGGCAGACAGATAGACTAGAAACACATAGATAGATAGAAACACACCGTGGAGAAAAACATGGTAAAGAAGTAGATGGCGGCCTCGATGAGGTATCCTCTGTAAAGCGCCACGATGATGGGCGGGATGAAGAAAAGGTTACTAAAGGTGAGGAGCAGAGCTGCTGCCATCTGTCGAGAGAACGACTGCGCAGTCACTCCATCCGTACAGCCCCATCCCTGCCAACCTGTCAACAGCAAACAACACAAGCAAGAACCAATGCCACAACTCAGTACTCAATTCATGTTCATGGCCAGCTGTTGGTGTGTTTGTGTGTGTGTATGCTTACCTGCTTTGCACACACATGCGCCATAGAGGTAGCTGTTCGTGCGTAGCAGTCTGCACTCTCCGTACGGCCCACAGTCGTCAATGCACGCGCTCACACTCACAGACACACTCACTATAGCTGATGCGTTACTGCAGTCAACACTGGAAAGTCAACACAGGAGAGTGTTCAGAACATGATTTGGTCTCACTTTATATTAGGTGTCTATGTACTTATGTCAAAAAATGTATTTGTTAGGTGCAATGCACTTTTTGTGTTCATGTTTTGCGAAACTTTTGCTGTTATTGAGGTGGGATACGGTTAGGGACAGGTTTGGTTAGGTTTAAAGGTGGGTTAAGTTGTAAGGTGTGTGTAAATATATAACATTAATTACATCCAGGTATTACATAGTACAATGTAAAAACATGCATGTACACAATAAGATGCCAAGATGTTCCTGGTCTTACTGTGGACAATTCATCAGTGCACATTATTCCAAAGAAAAAAATGTGTGTCTTTGTCATTGTCTATATTAATGATCTTATAATAGATTAATCTAATTATTAAATGAAGTCCAGCCTATTTTTTGTTTTGTTTAACATTCTGTTTCTCTTGGAAAAATGGAAGTAAACTAGATTGCAAATGATGTTTCATCTAATCTAAAGTTTAATCTCATGACCATCATGTTAAGACACCAAGAACCAACATGTCTATGTCAAGCAGTATATTATATTTCTATAGAATGGCTTCCAGTAATCACACATCTTACCTGTCATTGCACACGGTCTGGAGGCTGAGGTACCACACTGCTGCATCTGGGAATGGGATCCTCAACAGTGCGTTCGATTCATTGCTGCTCACGCTCAGAGAATAGCCCTGTGCAAACCCTAGATGCATACAAACACAAACACACACAGATTCAAATGTGACATGCGGGAGAATGTTAAGCATGTACTCCATTAAGCACAGATTTGAATGTGTGACTAACCTGTGGCACAAGTCTGGCTGCGGTTTACATGAAGTACGGGAGCAAAAGGTGTGAGACATGCTTTGACACGAGCAAATCCACCAACCAGAGAACTCTATGCCACAAACACAAGAGTTATGTTACAAATGTTGAATCTATATTACAATACAATATAAATCACAAATACACACTGATGTAAGTTTAATATTTTTAAATAGATCATGAGGCATTATTAATATCACAATGGTTGTGGTGAATATGTGGTGCTCAATTGAAATAAGTCATGAGAGGCTGTACCTAACAGTGATTTTACCACAGCTAAAGGAAAACAGTAGGTACGAGGCAAAGTGGACAGCTCAGCCAATTAATATATATTAATTTTACAATAATCCAATTTTTTTTTTGTACATTAATTAATTTTTCGTTACTTTGATTAGCAGTCATATATTATTATTATTTATTCTATTATCTGTTCTCATGAAAAAAAAATATTTTTAATTCCATTCAGTTCAAAATAATAACTAAAAATAATACTATATATATTAATATGTTTGGGATTTTGTGTATATATATATATATATATATATATATATATATAGGAATTAATGCTTATTTTCAACAAGGATGAATTACATTCATCAAGTACCAGTAAAGACATTTATAATGTTACAAAATAATTCAAATAAATGCTAATCAAATGCTTTTGAACTTTCTATTGCTCAAATAATCCTGGAAAAAAATGTATCCTGGGTTTCCAAAAAAATATTGAGCAGCACAACTTCTCAACATTGATAAAAATAAGAAATATTTCTTGAGCAGCAAATCAGCATATTAGAATGATTTCTGAAGGATCATGTGACACTGAAGACTGGAGTAATGATGCTGAAAATTCAGCTTTGCCGTCACAGGAATAAATTACATTTTAAAATATTGGAATAGAAAGGTTATTTTACATTGTAATAATATTTCACAAAATAAAACGAAATAAACAAATATGAAAATAATGAAATAAATGCTGCTTTAGTTTTAGCACAAGAGACTTCTTTCCACAACATTGAGAAATCTCATTGACCGCAAACTTTTGATTGTTGATTGATTGATTATATTACATGCTTACAGTGTTCAAGTTGAGCTGTACAACAAATGTGCCGCCACTATCACTAGAAGAGTGCTCAAGTGTGAGCACAGTTGGAAGGTCAGAGGTCACGCTGAGGTTGCTGTTGGAAACGGTGAAGCGTAGTGATAGCACATCCTGTTCGTCTCTGAACACTGAAGGGCTTCTCATGCACACTGGCTCAGAGGTGTTAGCAAGGACGCCCGGTTGGTCTCTCGTGGAAACGGAAGTGTTACTGAGGGCACCTGAGCTGTTGCTTTGTGGAGCAATGATGGTACGTATAAAGGCTGAGGTGTTGAAATCTGAAGAGACGCTCAAAGGTTTACATCCCACTGTGTGTATGAAGTGAGAGAGGATGGAAAGAGATTTAAGAGTCAAGCAAAAACTAGCAAAGAAGTGTTCTAGTCAAATAAAAGTGATAGGTAAACAGACCTGTGACATTGGCAGAGATGTTGAAATCTATTGTCGTGTTTGGTTGACTAGACTCAACCATAACCAGCAACCAGGTGTTCCACGGGGGAATGAGGACCGATGCGAAGCAGCTCTCTAACCCTGAACAGTTCTGTTTCACTTCTGAGCCCTGCTTCAAAGTGCTGGAGCCTACGGTGATTGACAGCCCGCAATCATTTCCCAGCATTACAGAACAGTTCAAGATGAAAACATCCAACCTGGAGGAGAACTCTGGAACAAAGACCCTACACAGACAAGATACATACAAATAGTTTACATTTCAACAAAAACAAACACTAATAATTACATTAATGCATTGATAATAACAAGAAATGCTTCACCACCAGATCAGCATATTAGAATGATTTCTGAAGGATCATGTGACACTGCTTTGCCATCACAGGAATGAATTACATTTTATATAAAATTGTTAAGTTAAAACAGTTATTTTGAATTGTATATTTTAAAATAATAATTAAATAATAATTCACAATATTACTGCTTACTGTATTTTTGATCAAATAAATGCAGAATTTGTGAGCACATAAGAGTTGAACTTGAATATAATCTACTGAACACACACATACATGAACACAGAACATACTTAAACAGAGCTGGAGCTGAAGTTAGTGTTTGATAGAGAGGAATGTTGTATTGCAGGATGGGCAGGTCAGCAGCTCTTCTCAAAAACATCTGTGCCTGGAATAAGTATGAGCAAGATGGCAGACCCTAAAACAGAAAGTAACAAACAACATACTGCAGTAAGGCTTTATGCTTTTGTTTCATTAAATAAACACACAATAAATAGTTCATACTTTATTAAATTATAATTCTTCCGGCAAGCAATGTAGTTCTTCAAAAAACACACCTGTTGCTCTATCTTGCCGTCATCTTTAGGCAGGTGAGCAGCAAGGAACCAGTCACCAGGTTTGGGGTGCGTCACATTGAACAGTGTCACACTGACGCTCTGTCCACTGGGAACGGTCAGAGTCAAGTTGTGAGCAAGAGAGACTGATGTGGCGTTCGGAAAGGCTGTTTGTATGGGGTTGATGACCGGGGGAGCTCCTGCTCTAAAGTGCCTGTTCATGTGCATTAGATGGACAAAAGTCAATGTTAAGCAAAAAAAAAAAATGGTGTCTACTTTAATAACCAACTAGTGTACAGTACTCTCTCTGAGCAGTGTTGCCAAGAATTGGGCTACTTTTACACTGTAGCAATTAGGCTGGTTTTGTTACCTTTGGCCTTTGGGGCAACTTGGGGTTAAAGACTCCATGAAATCGTTTGACACCATTTTCTTTCCTTGATTGGAGCATTTTAGCTGCTAAAAGTTTGTTTTCTCCTCTTTTATAAGTACATTAGTAGCCTATATTAGTGACATTTTCTGACATCTGTATGTGTTCTTTTCAGTTTTGGAGCTGAAGGTCTCCTGGTATTAATACAGTACACAATAATCTTGGCCCCTCAGTTAGAGTTCTCAGGAGACTCTATCTTCTGTATACAGTTTCAAAGAAAGAGATCATTCTCAGAGGTACAAAAGCATAAGTGCACATTAAAATATCACTATTGTCATTAGAATACTGATAAACAATTAGAAACATTAAAACCCACACCAGATATTTAACATCATGTTTTCAAATGTGAATTCAACGGTTACCACAGTAACATAATCTTTGCCAAAAATACCATAGCAACTACATCTATTATTGCAACTGTAAAACTCTGTTATTATCTTATTATGGGATTTCAGGATTTTTCTGTCATTTTTTTCCCACAGTGTTGAGTAATACCAAGTTCTCTATGAAATGTACTACAGTTTTAAATTTATAACATCCACTTTGGTGTCTGGAGGAAAATATGTTGTTTACCGTGGTAACGCTTCTATAAGATTGTTTCCATATCCATAGTGAACCATTAAAAAAAACCCCACATGTTTACGGTCATATTTTCAGCATACATACACAGTGATGTTTTGGTTGCCACAGCTCAGCCCGGATCCCCGTGAGACCGTGAGCAGCCACCGCACGAGCACCGCATCTTCCGACACCCTGAAGTGATGGAGCCGAACGTTCCCGAACCAGCTGTATTTGGACAACCTCTGAGGCGTTTTAGAGTAGAACTCGTTCAAGTAAGTGAGATCTAGGAGCAGAGCATGACGTCATGATGGCGTCAGAAGTAAACACTCACAATTTGTGTGATAGGCGAGATTGCGTTATTCTCTTCTAACTTTTATATTTAATGCCTTGTTTAGGTATAGGTGTAAGTATAAGCATGCTATGAGCATGGTCGGCGTCCGATGATCATTCTAAACGATGAAATATATTTACGAAAATGCCTGTTTTGTGACATTGGATGAGGACAAAAACCTGGTTAGTTTACATTTTGCACATTTAGTGAAACTTCCGTTTTATTTAAATGCTTGAAAGACGATAATGGTCAAATCGAAGTCATCAATTAACAAAAAAAAACGGTTGTAATAAAATACTGCAAATATAAGAGATCTCAAGCGCTCCAAATACTCACCGTCAGCAATACAGCCAGCGATAACACACAGTAAAAGGCACAGTGCAGAATACTTTTCCATTTTTTTTTTTTCAGTTTAGATTCTCCTGTCAGCCCATTGTCGTGTTCTTTAGATGTCTAAGGACTGTTTTGAACATGTTACTTCCTGGTTCGTCGGCCTACATGCAGAACTTCCTCTTCGCCGCTGTTGAAGGATTTGGTCATAAATATTACTTAGGTTTCGTGTCGTTCTTCCCATTGGGTGGCAGTTCCTGTCAATTAATATCCATAAGCACATACCATCTTAATATTCATAAGATAAGCCTGCGCTGCAGAATGATTGCTAGACGCTAGAAAGTGTACCAAGCAACGTCATCAGGACTTGTTCTTAATATTCATGAGCCAATCCTTCTCCATAGTGGGATTCGTCAATTCCATAGAGACAGCATTAACCCAATTTTTTTTTTTTTTTTTTTTTAAAGATGTATATTTATTTTAAACCATATTTTAAATTGATTTTTAAAAGTATTTGAAACATTCAAATGTTTATGTTTGGAATAGGCTACAGCAAAAAAAAAAAAAAAAAAAAAATAGGTCAATATATTAGAGAGATCATTTCAGTCAATACTGCAGCAACTTGTAGATTATGTAGATTTTTTATATTTTGTTCTCTCTGTGCGTGCCTGTACTGAGACGATCATCCACCAGATTTTTTTATCATCCACCATATTTATGAGTCATAAACACAGTCTATAAGAAACAACAACAACAGCAGTGCCATCTGCTGGTCAAGGCCTGATACTTGCTTGTGTTCCTTATCGTGTAGTGCACACACATAGAGATGTATCTCAGAACCATAGACTGTAAAAAATCTCAGAACTAGATATTTATTATTGAACACTAGCAGCGTGTGCTGCTCACCAGCCCGTGCATGTATATGACTCATTCCCGGTAACCACAGAACAAGGTGGCCCTCTAGTGGAGTCAATATTACACCACAAAATGCACCACATCCAAAATGGACCACAATACTGTTATGAAGAAAGGCACAGAAAAAAAATGGCAGTTGAAAAGTAACCTCATTTTTTATTAATCAATAAAACATTACAATTGAATGCATTAAATAAACATTTAATGCATATTTCCTGCCAATTCTTACAGATGGTCAAACTGATAAGAAAAAAAGAAAATCTTATTTTGACTATATGAAATTTAAAAAAATACATGGCAGACTCATACATTCTAGCAAACATTCCTTGTATTAAGATTCTGATTATCTTTTAGGATATAACTTTTAGGATATAACTTTATAAAATCACAAGTGACAAAGAATATATAAAATATGTAATGTTATAATTGCAGTTTTTCTTAATCGCTTTGGCACATTTTCGAAAAAAAACTTTCTCTAAACTGTAAATACAATTGTCTCAACTGTTTGCTGGAACATCAGAACTCTATTGCATGTCTGCAAAATATAGTAACTCACCCAAAACATTTAATTCTGCTTCAAAACCTATGTCAGTAAATTGGCCAATGCCACCAAAATTAATGTTTTTGTCATCATGTGAGCCACAAAAGGTTTAGATGTTTCACTAGGGAAATATTTGTTATGTTCAATTTTCATGGTTTCCCCTAACACCATCACACATTCTTACATATCTTTCTATTGCTCTTTCACGACAAACTGAATTTTCAGTTTACATGATGCAACAATAAAATGTACTGAATTTATAAAAATGTTGTATACGTAGGGTTGTGACTTTCCATGTTTCAAAAATGGTAGTGATTGTGGGCAAACTCAAACTTGATTGGTTGATTGATTAGATTATGATTCCTATTTCATTACAAACATTGCATATTTATGGCATATTTATGATGCCTGACTGACAGATTGTGATAAATGAATGGGACATTTTGCATGTGATGATGGCTCACACGATGGACGAATGTTTAGAAGTTGTAAAGAGTTTGACAGTTTCACTGAGAATCAACTCATCAGTTTTGATCGACAAGCATGTGCATTTAGTCATTGTGCAAATTGTAGACAATTGTATACTCTTTTGCCAAAACACATGCAGTTTGCCTAAATAAATAAGAAATTCAAATCTGATGTGAACGAGAAACTAATTGTTCAGAGATCTGAACTTATTGTTTTGAGAAAAAATTATCTGAGCCAAAACAATTGAGAAAACTGTAATTTGTTGTTTTTTTATTTACATTCAGTGTTCTAAATCAACACAGTGTTCATTAGTTTTTTTTAAATGTATTATTATCATTCATTATATTCCAGGATACAAAAAGAACATCTTGGTATAATAATAATCTTGGTATAATAATGTCAAAGGGAGGGAGGGATGGACGGATGGACGGATGGATGGACGGATGGATTGATGGAAAGACAGACCGACAGACAGACAGACAGACAGACAGACAGATAGATAGATAGATAGATAGATAGATAGATAGATAGATAGATAGATAGATAGATAGATAGATAGATAGATAGATAGATAGATAGATAGATAGATAGATAGATAGATAGATAGATAGATAGATAGATAGATAGATGATTTTTTGCATTATTACACCATGATGCAATATTTTATTTTTGATAGAATAACAGCAGGACACTTCTAAATCTTGTAATCACGGTGTCTGACGGATGGTTAAGCCATTACATGTTGTCTCACCGACCTGAAGCTGCAGTGAAGTGTTCTTGTTCTCTGACATATGTTAGTCCAGATGCCATGCTCTCTGCTGCTGGTCATTAGCCCTTCTATTGCCCTGTGTCCGGCTCATATTCACTCATGCTGAGCACACACACTCTCTCTAGCTCTTTCTGTAATGTTTCACACACACACACACACACACACACACACACACACACACACACACACACACACACACACACACACACACACACACACACACACACACACACACACACACACACACACACACACACACACACACACGTTTTGTGGGGACTCTCAATAAACGTAATGATTTAACCTACCCCTAAACCTACCCACACAGAAAAGTTTCTGCTATTTAAGATTTTCAAAAAAGATCATTATTTATGATTTATAAGCTTGTTTCCTCATGGGGGCCAAAATAAAATTCCCCACAAGGACAAAAATGACTGGTAATGCCCTATGGGGAAATTTGGTCTACATAATGGAATTGCAGCAGGACCACACACACACACACACACAAACACACACCTGCCCATACTTCAACTTTTATATTTCTTCTCCCGCCTTGACTGTTTATCTGGCACTGAAAAAAGCATTTTGTTAAACTATTTATTTTGCACATTTTACACTATTTTCACTATTATAAACATACTTTTATATATTTAAATTACACTACATGTTTGACTAACTTGACTGAACTATTTCTTATGACCTTAAAAAGATGTAATTCTTGAAATAGTTATCCAAATATAATTGGTTATATCCTTCAAATAGACCTATAATTTGACATTAATTTCATTGTATTTTATTTTCATTTTAGTGTAGTTTATAAAAAAAAATCCACCGCATAATTCTCATATTTTTTTCTATTTTCATATATTTTATTAGCTTTTATTTATACAATACAGGGGAAACCATACTAGTTGTCATATTTTTTACTCATTTATTTTTGAAAGTCAGTTTCTATGAACAGAAAATATATGCTTTATGACATTGGAATTAAAAAAAATAAAATGTTTGAAACAAAAACGCTGGTGAAAACACAATTGTCTCATTATTAACTTTGACATAATCCTTGTGACAACAAGCCCCGGTCTTCTTTTTAATTTTAAACTTAAACTTTAATTTTAAACTATAACAGCCTTTTTAACTAACAACTTTTTTTTGTAATTCATTCTCTGTTTTCTTTCTCTGGAATTTGCAGGGAAAAAATTGCCAATAATTACTGCTGCATGTTGTGCTTTTGATAAATAAACTTTGATTGTACACATTACTTAGCCTAGAAGGTCAAACGCACGTCGCACAGATCAAAGTAGCGTAATGCGGGTCATTTGGCTTGCTTGTCTTTTTAATGGGGTTTTATAAAGGGGCTCATTCAAAAGTCAAAACGGCGTAAGATGCGATTTCACGCCTTTTTAGGTTCAGCCATAAGTGTCCAGCAGCTCGCGATAACAGCTGTGTGTTCGTGCGTCTGTGTGTGTGCGCTGAGGTGAACGGACACTTGAGTGTCCCCCGGCAAACAGCGGCCGCAGCGCGCGCCAGTGTCCGCTCGTCTCTCCGGTTGCTGGGCGCCAAGACAAACTCGCGCTGTGTTTGAGCAGAACACTATTACACACGCGCGCGTAAATATTTGCTCAGAAAACAGACTCCCCACGAGCGATGGGTATAAATGAGCAAACCGATAATTATCCATAACGCGAAACGGACGGCAAGACTTCACGAGCGACATCCATCCAGCATTACACGGTAGAGATACTCACTCCACAAACATTTTCTGTAATAAATGAACTAACGAAAAAAAAACTTTCTTTCTTTCTTTCTTTCTTTCTTTCTTTCTTTCTTTCTTTCTTTCTTTCTTTCTTTCTTTCTTTCTTTCTTTCTTTCTTTCTTTCTTTCTTTCTTTCTTTCTTTCTTTCTTTCTTTCTTTCCTGTTTAAAGGCTACAGTAATTTTAAATATACAAAATTAAATAGAATAAAAAACAGTGAAAAAATGTCACAGTTTAGATATTCTTACAGTTTATTAATTGCAAAACTGAAATTGTACAAATTACATTATAAATGTGACAGCTTTCCCCAATCTAGCATTTATAAAAAAAAAAAAAAATAGGCTATAGGCTACTCTTGTTCAGAGAAGTTAATTAAAAAACAGTTTATATTGTGTACACACACACACACACACGAGTATATAGCCTAACTGTACTGTTGCACATTTATATCAGCATTTTATACAATTTATTAATCAGCCTATAATTTCTGCTGCATAAATAATAATGGCTTTCTTTCTCTTTCTTTCTTTCTTTCTTTCTTTCTTTCTTTCTTTCTTTCTTTCTTTCTTTCTTTCTTTCTTTCTTTCTTTCTTTCTTTCTTTCTTTCTTTCTTTGCTTATCTCTTCTGCTTATTTATGTTATCTTTTCCTGTATATAATTTAAAATGTAGAATTAATAGAAATAAAAAAACAGATTAGTATTCGCACAGTTTATTAATTGCAAAGCTGTTGGCCAAAACTATGTTTATAGGAAATATAATACATTACATTATAAGTACATTATAAATGTGACAACTTTCCCTAATCTGGCATTTATAAACAAATATACTCTTGTTCTGAGAAAACAGTTTATAAATAATACAGTAGCCTATATCAAATTTTCTTCATAGGATGGCAGCAAGTGTTATCAGGACACTGAATAATTTGGGTTTCGCAAAACCCTTCCCTCCCTGCTTCTTTCCTACTGAGGATGAGGAGGAGACTGAAGAGGAATACGAAGAGGAGCTGAGAGAGGACAGTCTGGAGGAGGAAGAGGATGGAGTCGCCAGTGAGTCTCAAGAGGAAGAGCCGTGGAGTTTTGATCCCTCCCCCAATAACGCTGAGATGACCAACCGGCTCCTGCGGTTCGCTGAGCTCATCAGCAACGATGTCCAGCGATACTTTGGCCGAAGCCAAGACCCTGATGCCTGTGATATTTATGCAGAGAGACCGTGTCCAAAAGTCGGGGGCCGCCAGCGATACTATGCTGACTTCATCAAAGTAGCATCATCAGGGCAGGCCGAGGAGCCTGAGTCCCTCGGGCCCCTCGCAGAGCTCTTTCAAGATGCTCAAAGGAAAGGCCAGGGTTTGCCCATGAGCCAACGGTGTCTGCCGGTCAGCTTCTGGACGGAGCCTTTCCCACACCAACTCGATGTGTTAAGTGATACCAACACGCAAGAGAACTCGCTCAGTGTGATGGACACTTCAGAGAGCTCCGTCAGCATCAGCATGTTCAGTAACACGAGTGTTTGCACCATGACCAGCTCCAGTGTCTCAGGGACTCTCAGCAGCTCCAGCACGCTAGACTTCAGTGATTTACTCGCTCACTGGGCCGTGGACAGAGAGAATCCCACTGAGTTTAACTGTGACTACACGCTATCATAAACAATCATTTTTCCAGTCATATCACTGCAAAATATCATTTATATTTCAATGCTTTCAATGCGAAAAGCTTTTCTTTCTGTATGTTTGCCTTGTTTTCTGGTAAAAAAAAAAAAAAGATAAAGAAAACCTGCTCAAGATACTTTTCTTTCTTTTCTTTTTTAATACCAAATAGTAATTTGCTATTTGGAATATCAAGTGTACTTTGTTATGATCCATTAAAAAAAATTCAATTGTTAAATATAACATATTTATTTTATTTTATGCTATTTTATGCTATTTTTGGCAGTGTAACTGTATTAAATGTTTAATAACTGTATTACATTTGTGATTTCAGTTTAAAATACTACTCACTACATTTTCTGGATCATTCTTTGCTCTAGTTTGCTTTCATGTATAAAACTACTGGTGTGCATCTTGAGACAAAACAATGGCACTGACATTTTTAATATACATTTTAGTCTGGGACATGTCTGTGAAACCGGGGTCATGAACTAATTTTTATCTAATTTTTAAAAAATGTATAAAAACTACAGTATATAGACATGAAAATGACATGTGAAATGAAAATTAAAGTGAAAAAATAACATATAAAAATAAAATCTAATTCAAAATATTAGCAAAAACTATAGTAGCCATCAGTGACACTAAATTAACACTGCAGTCGATTAGTGTAGAAAATATAATTGACCAATACTGCAATCAACCAATCAGAATAAAGTATTCCAGACAGCCATGTACTAATGACACTCACATTCATTATTATTCGAACAATAGAATAATGCCAGTGACAAAGCGTTATAGTAAACTGGTTTCAACACATTTCCTGGTGATAATGATCTGAATCTGATCAATATACTACATGCACAAAACAAAATAAACTAAAAGTCTGTCTGTTTTTGTCCACATAAACACAGGCCCTTATGCTGAATAAATGAGGTACTGTTAATGCAAGTTTAATGAGTGCCAAATCCCACTTCTATCTGTGTTTACAATGTAGGAGTGAACATTAGTGCATGTCCGCTCTATATTCATCATTAGTAATAGTACATGTGTGTCTTCAACACTGTGCTCTGAGTGCTTACGTGTACTGAACATGGGCTACTCACTAGTGAACGTGGCACGTGGGCAGAAAGGTCAGATATGGACACGTGGTTTGGTCACACATTGATTGGAAATAGTTGAACTTCCATGAATGCACTTGTTTTGTCAATGAAAATAATTTAACATGAGACAATATTTATTATTTTGATTTTGGACTGTATGTATATATATATGTAGTCAAAAGACATGCATGTAAATGAAAGCAGTTTTTATCTACTAGCTCATCTGTTCAATAATTGGTTAAGATGAAGCAAGCAAAAAAAAGAAAGCTATGTTAACTGAAATGAATTTCTATACGTTATTATATTTGCCTGTAATCTAATGCTAATTTCCAACGGCACACTGTCATGGCACATGTGAAGTGGCCAGTAAGACCAGTAGATTTGCACCACGCAGGCTTTTCAATGATTCGTCAGCGTCAGTGTTCTCTTATCAGCGCCTCAAGACCAGACAGCAGCATTTTACAGCTCATTTCAGCACTTTTACTACAGGTCCGCTGAACTGACTGACCATGAGGCTTCTACACATTCTGGGGTTCACCCTCTTGCTCTGCGGCCTGTGTGTGAGGGCAGAGGATGAAAAGACTGAGGACAACGTTGAAGAAAAAGGAAACAACGGGGAAGAAAAAGTTGAGGAAGGCACTGAAAATGATGCAGAACCAGAGAAACAAGAAAAGACAGATAAAATTACAGAAGAAAACGACGTTTTGGTGCTTCATAGTGTCAACTTCGACAGAGCGCTCAGTGAGAACAAGTTCCTGCTTGTGGAATTTTGTAAGTATGACTTTCCATATGAACATTAATGTACTTAAAAAATGCTCATTTTGATCTTATTAACGCAAGAAAACAATTGGCCATGAATGAAGGAATTTTAACTGCAATGTGTGTTCAAAATGAGAAGAAAAAAGTGTCCCTTTCACTCAAAAAGATGTAGTTGCATGCCTTTAAACTGTCCTATCCACGAGCAGCACAAGAAAAGTTCAAAGATTGCTAATGTTTGTTTGACACATCCTCCATCAGGAGCGCACCTGTTATTTCTCCCACACTTGAAAGACTGGCCATTTATGCAAATTTTACAACACTGTATTGTGTATTATCCTATTATTGCAGTAAAATGTTAAAGTAGAAGGTGAACATTTTTTTCAATTATGAATGCTAACTGTTACATTTATGAAAATGCAATTTGCAACTTACGTTCTAGCACATAACTAACATGGAAAGCGAAAGTATATGGTCTAGTTTTCACACTTTATACTCTTGTAATGTTTCTTTAACAATTTCAGCATATATATAGTATTTACCACCATTCAAAAGTTTGGGGTCGGTAAGACTTTGTAATGTTTTTGAAAGAAGTATCTTATAGGCATATTTATTTGATAAAAATACAGTAAGAACAGTAATTCTTTGATGAATAGAGTGCTCAAAAAGAAACCAAAAACTTTTTTACATCTGAAACTTACATGTCTCAAAACCTTACTGCGGGACAACATCCAAGTGTGACAACTAGCCCCGGTGTGCTTTATATGAAGGTAGATGTAGGTATCAACCTTGCACTTTCTTTCAAAACAAAAAAAGATGCTCCATGGTGTGGTCACTGCCGCAGTCTGGAGCCCATTTATGCTGAAGTGGCTGGACTGCTGAAAAATGGTTCATCTGATGTACGGCTGGCTAAAGTGGATGCCTCAGAAGAGAAAGAACTTGCCAACGAGTTTGCTGTGGGTGGTTTTCCCACACTTAAATTCTTCAAAGATGGCAACAGGCAAAATGTCACCGATTTTTCTGGTAATGTATTTATTTGTTTAGTGTGTTCGCATGCATGATTTTATATTCATAGAGTGTGAAGAAGCTTATAGGCATTATTATGTGATTTGAAAAGGAAAGCGAACTGTAAAAGGAATCACGATGTGGCTGGAGAGGCACACAGGCCCCAGTGCTGCTGTTCTCAATGATGTGAAGAGTGCAGAGGCTCTGCTGGATGCAAATGAGGTGGTTGTGGTTGGATTCTTCCAGGTAAATTATCTTTTCTTTGCATAAAAATAACTGACTTTTACGATGTGACAATGCCTTATAATTTGGGTGCAGTATACTGTATAAAAAACAGATGACACTCTCTATTCACAACAAACGATTTATCAGATTTATTAGAATTGTTTTAAATGTAATTGAATTTACTCTCTCTGTCTATTCAAGGATTTGGAAGGAGATAAGGCAAAGACATTCTATGATGTAACTTTAATAGCAGTGGACTTTATCTTTGGCATCACAAGCAACCCAGACATCTTCAATAAGTATAATGTAAAGAGTGACTCAATGGTGCTCTTCAAGAAGGTAATCCCATGCTTCTACAGCACTACATTTTGTGATTGGTAGACAAACTACTATTGGTGGGTATTTGAATTAATCCCAGCGATTCAAAACTTTTACATTTGTTTTCTAAAAAAAGATTCCTTCACGGATTCATTCTCCAGGTAACATTGCAACAATTGAATCTTTTTGTGTGTTATGAGTGAGTCATTGAATAATCCATCTAACCGATTTGCTAAAAACACGAGTCGACGGAAACAATTGAATCTTTTGTGTGTTATGAGTGAGTCATTGAATAATCCATCTAACCGATTTGCTAAAAACACGAGTCGACGGAAACAATTGAATCTTTTGTGTGTTATGAGTGAGTCATTGAATAATCCATCTAACCGATTTGCTAAAAACACGATTCAACGGAAACAATTGAATCTTTTGTGTGTTATGAGTGAGTCATTGAATAATCCATCTAACCGATTTGCTAAAAACACGATTTTATGGAAACAATTGAATCTTTTGTGTGTTATGAGTGAGTCATTGAATAATCCATCCAACCGATTTGCTAAAAACACGATTCAACGGAAACAATTGAATCTTTTGTGTGTTATGAGTGAGTCATTGAATAATCCATCTAACCGATTTGCTAAAAACACGATTCGACGGAAACAATTGAATCTTTTGTGTGTTATGAGTGAGTCATTGAATAATCCATCTAACCGATTTGCTAAAAACACGAGTCGATGGAAAAAATTTAATCTTTTGTGTGTTGTGAGTGAGTCATTGAATAATCTATCTAACCGATTTGCTAAAAACACGAGTCGATGGAAAAAATTGAATCTTTTGTGTGTTATGAGTGAGTCATTGAATAATTAATCTAACCGATTTGCTAAAAACATGGGTCGACGGAAATAATTGAATCTTTTGTGTTTTATGAGTGAGTCATTGAATAATCTATCTAACCGATTTGCTAAAAACACGAGTCGATGGAAAAAATTTAATCTTTTGTGTGTTATGAGTGAGTCATTGAATAATTAATCTAACCGATTTGCTAAAAACATGGGTCGACGGAAATAATTGAATCTTTTGTGTGTTATGAGTGAGTCATTGAATAATTAATCTAACCGATTTGCTAAAAACATGGGTCGACGGAAATAATTGAATCTTTTGTGTGTTATGAGTGAGTCATTGAATAATCCATCTAACCGATTTGCTAAAAACACGAGTCGACGGAAACAATTGAATCTTTTGTGTGTTATGAGTGAGTCATTGAATAATCCATCTAACCGATTTGCTAAAAACACGAGTCGACGGAAACAATTGAATCTTTTGTGTGTTATGAGTGAGTCATTGAATAATCCATCCAACCGATTTGCTAAAAACACGATTCAATGGAAACAATTGAATCTTTTGTGTGTTATGAGTGAGTCATTGAATAATCCATCTAACCGATTTGCTAAAAACACGATTCAATGGAAACAATTGAATCTTTTGTGTGTTATGAGTGAGTCATTGAATAATCCATCTAACCGATTTGCTAAAAACACGATTCGACGGAAACAATTGAATCTTTTGTGTGTTATGAGTGAGTCATTGAATAATCCATCTAACCGATTTGCTAAAAACACGATTCAACGGAAACAATTGAATCTTTTGTGTGTTATGAGTGAGTCATTGAATAATCCATCTAACCGATTTGCTAAAAACACGAGTCGATGGAAAAAATTTAATCTTTTGTGTTATGAGTGAGTCATTGAATAATCTATCTAACCGATTTGCTAAAAACACGAGTCGATGGAAAAAATTGAATCTTTTGTGTGTTATGAGTGAGTCATTGAATAATTAATCTAACCGATTTGCTAAAAACATGGGTCGACGGAAATAATTGAATCTTTTGTGTTTTATGAGTGAGTCATTGAATAATCTATCTAACCGATTTGCTAAAAACACGAGTCGATGGAAAAAATTGAATCTTTTGTGTGTTATGAGTGAGTCATTGAATAATTAATCTAACCGATTTGCTAAAAACATGGGTCGACGGAAATAATTGAATCTTTTGTGTGTTATGAGTGAGTCATTGAATAATTAATCTAACCGATTTGCTAAAAACATGGGTCGATGGAAACAATTTGAAGCTTTTGTGTTATGAGTGAGTCATTAAATAATTCATCTAATCGATTCGCTAAAAACACAAGTTGACGGAAACAATTGAATCTTTTTGTGTGTTGTGTGTGTCATTGAATAATTCATCTAACCGATTCTCTAAAAACACGAGTCGACGGAAACAATTGAATCTTTTTGTGTGTTATGTGCGAGTTATTGAATAATTAATCTAACCGATTTGCTAAAAACATGGGTTGACGGAAATAATTGAATCTTTTGTTTGTTATGAGTGAGTCATTGAATAATCCATCTAACCGATTTGCTAAAAACACGAGTCGATGGAAAAAATTTAATCTTTTGTGTGTTATGAGTGAGTCATTAAATAATTCATCTAACACATTCGCTAAAAACACGAGTCGATGGAAATAATTGAATCTTTTGTGTGTTATAATTGAGTCATTGAATAATTCATCTAACACATTCGCTAAAAACATGAGTCGACGGAAATAATTGAATCTTTTTTGTGTTATGTTTGAGTCATTGAATAATTAATCTGACCGATTTGCTAAAAACATGGGTTGATGGAAACAATTTGAATCTTTTGTGTTATGAGTGAGTCATTAAATAATTAATCTAACCGATTCTCTAAAAACACGAGTCGACGGAAACAATTGAATCTTTTTGTGTGTTATGTGTGAGTCATTGAATAATTAATCTAACCAATTTGCCTAAAACACGAGTCGACAGAAACAAGCCTCAACATCCTTTTATCAAAATTTGCTTGATTACAAATCTAATAAACAGAGCAATTCCAATCCATCGGTGCTCGGGCTCTAACAAGAGACTCACAAAAGAATGTTTAATACCATACTTAAGCCTTTTTAATTATGTATGGTCATCTGTCATTTTTGCACAATCCACTTTCTATGACCAAGATTGACCTACATGACAAACTTATGACAAGACCTTCATTCAGTGTTGCTCTGAGTCTAGTTCAGGCATGAAACATCAGCGGAGGGGGCGTTTTCATTCAGTTAGTCCAACCAATGAAATGCATCTTTTCTGCCCACACTCAAAAGCTATTGGTTCATGTTATACTCAGTCACTGAAGGCAGTAAAAGCCGCACACTTGAGACTTCAGTAAATGAAATATCTATACAGCATGTGCATAAAAGTGTAAGATTTGTGCACTTAAAAGATTCATTTAAAAACACAGATTCGTTCACAAGCCAAACATAACTTTCTTGTGTAATAAAAAGAAAAATAATGTAATTAATTCAATTAATTCAGTTTGGCTATGTTCAACTATATCTCTCAACATGTCCTTTTTTTTGTATATGTTCCAGTTTGATGAAAAGCGGGCAGACATGCCACTCTCCGAGGAAAAGCTAGACAAAGGGGATCTGATTTCATTCATCCATTCTAAAAGTATGAAACTTGTCATTCCATTTAATGAAGAGGTAACACTTTAAAATTAATTTGATAAACTGACCAATGAACAACCAAAAATATATAAAATGTGTGCATGAATCAAAAAATAATTTATGATATAATCACTATTTTTGTTTTCTTTGTATTTATATTATCTTTCTGCAGAACGCTGATCACATTTTTAGCTCTAAGGTCCGTAATCATATGCTACTATTCATTAATACAACTGTGGAATCCCAGAATGCACTGCTCGAAGATTTTAGAGATGTTGCCAGTGAGTTTAAGGAAAAAGTAAGTTTACGTAACTAAATTGTAACTAAATAAGGAATAAACATTAATGTTAAATATAACATCACATGATTTCTTTTCAGAATCAAGATTCATATTTGTTTTTCAGAGAGCCATTTCAAATCTTGTCATGCTCACAGTCTCTGTGTGTGTGTGTAGGTGCTTTTCATCACGTTAGATGTTACATCTGACAAAGCGGATCATGTGCTGAAGTATTTCAGTATCTCTGAAAATGATGTTCCTATTATTCGCCTGATCAACACTGAGAAAGTGGTGACATACGCAATGGAAGGATCAACCATCAACAAAGACACGCTGAGAACATTTTGCCAGGGTGTTCTGGATGGTACTGTGAAGGTGTGTAATGCAGCATTATTGAATATTGATCAAGTTTCTAAATCTGCCTACTAAAAAACAATCTACACTTTATTCTAGCCCTTTTTGAAGACTCAAGAAATTCCTGAGGACTGGGACAAGAATCCGGTTAAAGTTCTTGTAGGGAAGAACTTTAATGAAGTGGCTTTCGATGAGACTAAGAACGTCTTTGTGGAATTTTGTAAGTTGTTTTTATTTATTTTTTTATGCTTTATTTACAACAAATAGCATGTACAAGGGTTACTTTTATATTAAATCAGAAGGGAATTTGGTAAGTTAGTTCTTCTTAGGCTCAAATATAAAAGTATTTAAAGCTGCAGTCCGTAACTTTTTTGGGTTAAAAATTATCCAAAATAAATTTTGGACCAAGTACATAACCAGCCAGTGTTCAAAACTATCTGCTTACCTTAGCTCGATTCAAACTGGTAAGCTTGTAATAATGTTTTTAATTTTTTCCTGGATTTCCGCGGGAGATTTGAGCATGTCTTTGCGTCATTACGTCACATCTGTACACATAAAGAAGGAGTCTCGGCTAGTAGGCTATAGTGCGTGTGAGGATGCTGGAGGTTTATAGCCTTTTCTCACAGCACTTGATATAATTAAACTTTTCAATTTGAAGGCGGATCCAGAAAGGTTCAAACGACAATCACCAGTGACAACAGATTCCCCCGAGATTCAAAAAGAGACTGCAACCGGCCCATGCGAAAACAAGGATAAATATCAGTGCATTAAATGTAGTCACGCAATGCTGATGTTGTTAACATTAACAATTTGAGAACAAAGTATAATTTGCACGGTTTGACGTGATATGATAAGCGATTATTAGATTTAATCAGCGTGATTTACAGTGAATGCCAGTATCCACACCAGTGCGGTGACTGACAGCCGCACATTCTCCTCAAAACATAGGATTCATCCGTGCTGTGCCATGCCGAGGCACAACCCACGTAAAGTTGATAATTCCGTGAATAACTGCAATTGCAGATTTCGAACAGAGATGGCGTCATAGAGGAACAACTACGGACTGCAGCTCTTTTTAACTTGCAACGACTTCTCTTCCTTGATGCCGTGTTTACTGAATGAATAAATGAATGACTGAATGAGGCATTTATATAGCGCTTTCATATGTACTACACCCAAAGTGCTTTATAATCATATCAGGGGATCTCTCCTCAACCACCACCAGTGTGCAGCATCCACTTGGATGATGCGATGGCAGCCACAGTACAACGGTGCCAGTGCGCTCACCAAACACCAGCTAGGTGGAGAGGAGAGAGAGTGATAGAGCCGATTCAATGGATTTGGATTATTAGGAGGCCATGATTGGCAAGGGCCAATGGGTGGAATGTGGCCAGGACACCGGGGTTACACCCCTAAGCCCCGTTCACACTACACGCGACTTTGTCGCTGCAAGTCGTCAGTCGCTGGCGATGAGGTCGCTAGTGGGCGTTCCCACTACTGGTTGCCTAGTAATGTTTGTGAGTGTCATTCACGGATGTTACTCTATGTTAGACAACAAATACGTTTTCTTGCCGCTACAAACAAATATTTTGGAAGGAAAAGTCTAAATATAAATGGAATCAGTACATAAAATGCATAATATTAAAGATGAATGAGAAACAGTGAGTGCTCTTTGCCATCGTGGCTATTTAACTGCAGAAAACGGGCAAATACCGGTCTATCTGGGTTCCCGAAACCATTCAGGCATGGAGTCAGTACGGTGAATACCACTGTATGTACACGGAGATATATCATAAATAATAGGACAGTTTCTGACTGCTAAAACGACCTTTTCGTTCAACTTGCCTCGGTCAGACTCAGCACTGAAGAGTGACGCGCTCCACTGACTTCACTCCTATTGGTTGTTGCTCCCGAAAGTCGCTCTGCATTTGCATAAAGTTAAACAGATCTCAACTTTGTCGCGTCGTCAGACACGCCCCATCTAGTCGCCAACGGTCGCCCGCTCACCATTGAAATGAATGGTATCGGGTCGCTTAGTCGCGTGTAGTGTGAACGGGGCTCTACTCTTTTACGAGAAGTGCCATGGGATTTTTAATGACCGCAGAGAGTCAGGACCTTGGTTTTACGTCTCATCCGAAGGACGGTGCTCTTTTGACAGTATAGTGTCCCCATCACTACACTGGGGTGTTAGGACCCACACAGACCACAGGGGGAGCACCCCCTACTGGCCTCACTAACACCTCTTCCAGCAGCAACCTGGTTTTCTCAGGAGGTCTCATCCAGGTACTGGCCAGGCTCAGCCCTGCTTAGCTTCAATGGACAACCAGTCTTGGGCTACAGGGTGATATGGCTGCTGGCCATCATTACTGCCGTGAGGGTGGGACAACCTGTCACTCACATGAGATTGACCAAAAGCAAATCCCAACAGTCCAACGATCCAATCAATTCCCCATAGACAAAATCAAGTATCGAGAAGTCGTTTTACTCAGATATAGCTTACATCACAACAGGGAAGAAAAGACTATCGCAATTTCCATTTCAGCCGACTTTATCATTGTGTCATTCTCACAGATGCTCCATGGTGTGGTCACTGTCAGCAGCTGGTTCCTGTGTGGGATGCATTGGGAGAGAAGTACAAAGACCATGAGGACTTAATAATTGCAAAAATGGATGCCACAGAAAACGATGTGGAAGATGTCATTATACAGGGATTTCCCACCATTAAATATTTTCCTGCTGGGACTGAAAAGAAGGTTCGCAACAACACACACACTCTAAAGCCTGTTACCTATAAGTGTCTTGGTAGTGGGACACTTGGCGCTCTTTTTATTGCCTTTATCACATATTTTAGTTATCATCATAAATTAGGTATCATTAAAAACACTCAAAATTCATCCCGTGAAAACCGTTTTGAAATTGGACTGCATCACCATTGAAATGGTATTTTAAAACCTTTTAGTGGATTCCATTTTTGTGATATCAACTTCAAATTTGGTTAGACCTATGGCTTTGATTTGTCTAGAAAATTTGGGGTAGGCCTACGTTTACACAACAACGATGTACTAAAAACTGAAAAGTTTTGACAAAGCTGTGAAAATAATCCACGTTCAACTTCACACGGATCCGTGAAAATGACTAAAAACGCTGTAGTATGCATGCTAGGCCAGTAGTTGGCGATGTCTCTTCGCAAAGAAACACTACCCGCCTACTGAACACATACTAATGTGCATGCGCATGAAGTCACTATTTTCAAAAACTTGCAATTTGAAACCGTTTTCAAAACACTGTTGATGTGTAAATGAATGGCCAAAACGCATAAAAATATTTCCATTTTCAGTTGAAAACTGTACACAGATTTACGTAAAGGCCCCCTTAGAGTCCAAATCATTTTGTAAAATATATATTATGTATAAAATACATTTTAGAATTTTTAGCATTTTAATTCTGTACATTTGTTTTGCAGTTAACTTAAATTTATAAGTTTAAATTTATGCGCCCAAATATATATTATAAACAGACATCAAATGATAGGCCTATGTTGTTGTTTTTCCTTATGTTATTATGTGTAACTAAGAGTGAGAATGGCAGCACTAAAAAAATGCTTTTAAAATACTTTTTAAAATCAGATTGTTGACTATGATGGAAATAGAGATTTGGAAACATTCTCAAAGTTCCTGGATAATGGAGGAGTGTTACCAGAAGAAGAGAGCAAAAATGAGGACAATGATGATGATGAGGATGATGATGAGGATGAAGATGAGGTCAGTCAAAAGCCAACAGATGGATTGATTATTTAGCCTGATATTAGGTGCAAAAAAAAAAAAAAAAAAAAAACCTTATTTGAGTAATATAGTTGGTGTTTTTCTTTCTGCTTTTCAGGTGTCGGATGAATCGATAGAAGAGTCACCAAAATCTAACAATGAAACAAGCAAAGATGAGCTGTAAAGACAACGCATAAATCAAATCCTTTGTACTGCACCAGATCAGTGTGAGATTTATGCAACATGAGACAAATGTGTTTTATCAGATTAATGTCATTTTCTCTGCACTGGACCATAACAACAAACTACATACCTGACTAATTTGAATAAAAATAGCTTAACATTTAAAGGTTTTATTCATGGTCCTGGTGGTCTATAATTTATTTCTGTCTGGTATGGGATCAGTTAGACACTATCAGTGTCAGTATTGTAAGACAGAGGTTAGAACTATAGGCTGTGAGGGGTAAATGTAGAAGGTGGAGAACAGTTGCAGAAATGAGAGCTCAATCAGAGAATAGCCTACACTTAATGTCTCTAATCAGTCCAGAAAGTATTTCCAAAATAATACATAAAGTAATTCCAAACTGGGGAAAAAAGCCAAAACAGAGTCTAAAATAAAATAATAATAAGGGCAACGAAAAGCAAAAGTCATCAAACGGAGCAAATAAATCCAGAGAAAATCACAAGAGGGATTTACCAAAGGACTGGAGAGTTTGGTTTTAAAGTCCCCATTAAATCAAAATTGACCATACTTACTTTGTTTGCCTAAATTGATTGTTTTGTGGTGAAGAATTCATCCATGCAAGTCAATCCACACAAAAAAATTTTTTGGCTTTGTAATCTTTAATCAAATTTTGAAAATGCCCCTCCCCTCTGCATTGGAGGACCTTGCCCGATGACGTAGGCTTTACGGTTTGGGCGTCTGCTTAACATCCATAACCACGCCCCTCCAACTGACAGTAGACAGGCTGAATGAAAACACCTACTTTTCTAGATCCAATCAGGTGCTAGTTGGAAAAAAGCCACGCCCACTATTTTGCCTCATTTAGTATTCCGTTTCTCTCGGAAATACGTCACAACACTGGAGAAAAGTCGTTTGCAACTTCCGGTTCACGGGGACTTTAAAGGGGTGGTAGATTATGGTTTCACTTTTCTAACTTTAGTTAGTGTGTAATGTTGCTGTTTGAGCATACAAAACATCTGCAAAGTTACAACGCTCAAAGTTTAAAGCAAAGGGAGATATTTACTTTTAAAGAAATTGCTTTTTAAGGACTATAACAAACGGCTGGTAGGGACCAGAGCCATAGAGAGACAGAGTTGCGACACACTTTGATGTCGCCGCGACGGCTGTCACGCTGTCATGTTCTTCTATGGACAGACAGCAGCGATTGCATTATTAAACGGTAAATATAAAATAAAACACACACCCAAGTACTTTTTAAGCTGTTATTGCATTTTGTTAATGTCAGTTTTGCATTTGGAGAGGCAGGGTGACAACTTAGATAAGTTTTAGGCTATATTTTTGGAGGGAAAAGCTTAGTGTTCATGTTCGCATGGGTAGTAATAGCACTGGCTTTAGCGGCTCTAACTTAACTTTTCCATGTCATTCACCTGATGATGGACGTCTCATGATATTTATTTTAGCACAACTGGGCTGTATTAGGCTATTGATTCCCGTGATCTTGCTTATAAATTCTGATTCAGCCATTAGCTATTACCTTCGTGATCACGCAAAGAGGTCTGCAGTCCGTTCAGAATTCCAACCAACATAAAATATAAATAATTACGCTGTGCATGTACAAATGAATGATTTAGGAGGGAAATAGACTGCTCCCATAACGTAGAAAGCAACGACTATATACAGCAATGTTCGGTAAATATTCAACCTTCATAAAATTAAACCGGAGAGATAGTTAATGAGTGAATTAACTATGTTCCTAAATACATATAAGCACATGCATAACCCTAATCCATTTAAATAAATGAATTGTGTGTGTGTGTGTGTGTGTGTGTATATAATATTATATATAGGCTATATATATATATACATATAAAATATTATTAAAAATATTATATATTATATACATCAGGTTACCAGTTAGCTAACGTTAGTGAAGTGTTGGTCACGTAAGCTATCACTGCAATTAACCTATTATCTTCCAATAAACATTTACTAAAACTGGCTACATAAAATATAACTACAGACTAGATTCACGAGAGGTCGGCTAATGTGTGTAAAAGTAAAAAAAAATACAGTAATTTCATTAATTTACCAGCGAGCGTACTTCTGAAGCACTGAAAATGAATGGGGTTCAATGGAGAAACTATCAGTGTTTGGAACTATTGGCCGCTCCACGACACGCGTTACTTCCGCATTCAAAAGTTCCTATGGCGGTCTATGGGAGTGTCGCAACTCTTTCTCTCTATGGCTCTGGTAGGGACTACACAACATTCCTCCCTAAAATTTACATAAACCCCGCCCCCGTGAACGTGATTTATAGATTATCATGACAGAATATGCTAATCAATGACTAGAAGATAGACACATAAGCTACATAAATTAATCCACAAACCATTCAGAAATGTCCTGTTGCTTCTACATGTCACTTCTTCTTGAGTCTCTCCATCATTGTCTGACTCTGATTTGAACATAAAAGGCTAAAAGTTTTTGAAATTTTCAGTGCGTGTGTGAGGTAGAAGGACACAAGCTGTTGAAGCTTGTGTCTCCCCACCCAGCCCGTTCTCATCCTTTGGCGTCGTACATGTGACGCTTTGGACATTTCGTTGAAATCTTACGCACATGGCATCCTTTAGCATCAATATGAGCAGAACCCAAGGCGTCATACAGGTGACGCTCGTCTAAATCCAACGCACATGGCATCGTTTAGCGTCAATATGAGACGCAGATCCCAAGGCGTCATAACTGTACCCCCCTAAACCTACCCATAACAGTGCGTGTTATATTGACGCTAAAGGATGCCATGTCATATGGCGTCACCTATATGACGCCAAAGGATGAGAATGCGAGAATGCGTTGCCCCACCCCACCCAGCAGCTCATTTGCATTTAAAGGGACACACACAAAAACGGTGCGTTTTTGGTCACCCTCTAAAAGTGACTATTTTAACACGATATATAAAAATATCTGTGGGGTATTTTGAGCTAATACTTCATATACACACTCTGGGGACATCAGAGACTTAATTTACATCTTGTGAAAAGGGCATTATACCACTCCTTTAACATATCAAACACTGAGGAACAGAACAGCCTAAATAGATACTCACAGGAAATGAGGCACAGTGAGAACAATAACAGCACATGATACAAAAGCGGGAAACTGAAATGAAACATATTGAGGGACTCTAGTGGCCAAAACTAAAGGCCATAAACCTAAGAAGTATTTGGCTTCAGAAAATGATATGGGTGAATGTCAAAAACATGACTGGGCTGAAGCCTCTTTAAAAAAAAAAAAAAAAGATTTTTTAAAGATTTTTTTTTCTTTTCTATTTTTAAGAAATATTTGTTTTTTAAATGACAATCAATGATATTACATTTTGAAAAATTCACTACTCTAATGGCAAACATTTTATTTCTATTTTTAAATAAGGTATCACTATATCATGGTGGTATGTTTTACTATTTAAACTTCTGCTTCTATGGCAAGTTCATTTCGGAAAGGGCAATAGCTGTGTCTTTTGGCAGGTCTTTCATTCGGTCTGGCCATCCCTTCTGTGCTGTGTGCTCTGCTTCTTTCTCTGTCTTTTTTTAGGGGTTCAATGCAAACCCTATTGTAACTGTTACAATTTTCTAGGATTTCAGCATTCTCCCCTAAAAGTGATCGGGCAGACCAAACCTCAAGTCGTAGAGACTTGAAACTTTGAGGGATGGTGCCCAATTGTGGCTATTGTGGGCCTCTGCCATTTTGAATTTTGTCCTAGAATGATGTATTTTACGAATGCATTAGCGTATCGTCATGAAACTCATTGTGTGTCATTGGTACCATGCCCTGAAAGTACACAAAAAATGTGTAGGGAAATTTCCAAAAAATGCTTATAACTTTTGATTTATTTTGCCTATTTTAATGAAACTGGTCTTGAGCATAGGTCTTGATAGATTCCTTGGGTCATGCTGAGAAAAACGATGCCACCAATTATGTTCTTACTTATACTTACTTTTTCGATTTCTCCTCCTAGTCCGCTGGTCTGATTTTCACCAAAAGTTATCAAATGCTTTTTTGATAGACCAAACCGTTCTCGAGTAACTCATCAACACATCATGATGCCAAGCTGATTCTGAGGCTGTAACTCTCTGCAACGCTTTGGCATATTGACACCAAACTTGTTGTGTCATTGTCACCTCACATTGACCACACAGACAGTGCCACCTATTGGTCAAAAGTGATAAGCAAGTTAATCATATTACAGCTCTGATTACAGTGATTGTATTTGTGATTTTTCAGCCATTTTGACTAAAATAATCTATAATTGTTGCAGTTTTTTCTTAACCTACCTCCCATACTTGCATGTCACATTGTTCCTTTTTGTGCTTGGCCCTGATATATTTTGTTTTTGCAAACTCTCTCCTATGTCTGGTGGTGAGAGGTGAAAGGATGTCATTGTCTGCTTCAGTCGGGCGGGTTCTTTATAAGGATGGTAGTTTCCAGCTCCAGCAGATGACCGTTTTTCTGTATAAGTGTATCTACTCAGGCACACAGACACTGTCAGTAGTGCTATAATAAGGGCATTTGTGTTTTGGACCATAACAAAATTTATTGAGTCATCCTTGAGACTTGAGCCATTTTGAAATTTCTAAAAACAAAAACAAAAAAACATTCAAACTCCTCCCAGGCCGTTGGTCCAATTTTCAACAAAATAGGCACAGAGAAGCAAGGATGGTACTAGCAAAAAGTTATCAAAAAAATTTAATAATTGCAAAGATATAAGTTAATCAATTGGTCAGGAAACGCCCATTTTGGTATTGTTCAAGCTTAACAAAACTTTACAAACAAAGACAACAGAACTTTCTGAGGACACACACAAAGTTTCATAAAATTCCACCATTTGGGGGCGCTACAACTAAAAACCTATTAGGCCTATATCTTCGCAAAAAAAATAAAAAATAAAAAAAAAATTATTTGGTGCATCTGTGGTGGATGTCCTAACATGACTTGGATACTTAAAGTTACACCATGTAAAGATTTTTTATTCAAAACTAGCACAATTTAAATAACGAGTAAGTAGGCTACATCATAAATCTTCCAAACCCTGTGTTTCTCTCACTGATTCACTAAAGGAAGCCAATTGTAAGTGTTATATTTCAGACCTGAATGGGTGGATTTTGCGGGAAATTGCATACATGGAGGAGGACCACAATATAATAGGCTATAATGACAAAAATGTTCAGTAATAAAGGAGTAATAATCTCTGAGATGGGAGGGTTTAAATTCTGTTTAATTGTTCCCTTGTTCTGTCTACAGTAGCCTATACAGTAGGCCTATAGGAAAAAATATATATAAAAAAGGCCTATTTGTGAATTGAATGAAAATGATAACTTTAAATTATTATTTAATATTATTTTAAAACCAAACATTGCTTCCAAATCAATTAAAAATTATCAACCTCAATAAAACAATAAGTTGCAATGTTTTAGAAGTGACAGGTTAGGCAAGATCAAGTCCTGCTGCATGTGTGAAATGTGTTTTGACAGAAACGGCATCGGCGACGACAGACGACTTGTTGTGTGGTAATATACAGTAATAACCTATTTTTTTTTACAGTCTATGGTAATAACACATTCAATGACTTTGAAAGTCGCAGGGCGCGGCCATTTGTAAGTTGGATGTGCAAGACTTCCTGTTTCTTCCGCTTGCAGTTATTTTAGCTGTAAAAAAAACAACTCGATATGCTGCTTTACATTGCAGACTGGTATTTCTTAGCATATTATTTTTAATGTATTGTCGTAATTATACACACACTAATTTGTAATGCAAATAGTTTTAACATTTACTGCACATTTACAGAGAGTGGCTAACTTCTGGCTTAGCTCGCGTCACATCGGGTGTGGATCATAAAGATAAATGGGGGGAATACAAAATCATCATGACATTTTAACTGTTTAACTTAGCAAATTGCCTAATATTTACAGTTTCCTCTTTTTCTTGCAGCTTTTAATGTATTGTAATCAATTAATGGGCACTCATCAATTCATGGTAACACTCATTTTGAAATAAAATTGGTAAGACTGAATTGAACATTTGAATCTTTAAAATGCATAATGAACAGTATTTTATTTGAACACATAAGCTGATAAACATACTTCAGTAAAAAGGATTTCACTTTTTTCAAATAATTATAATAGGTTGCACATAGACCTTTGTTTGCCATTTCATGCTAATCAAAAAGCATTTTCTTGTGTATGCATGGGTTTTGATTGCACAGTTGTACATCAACCTCTACAGTGGCCAGCGCTGCAGTGCATCATCCTATATATTTCCACCAAGTGGAACTTTTCACCCCTTCAAACCAAGATGGCCAACAGCCAGTCAGAAATGCCAAGTTTCTCTGGAATATCCATCCATTCCTTCTATCCTTGCAGGTAAAACAAAAATTGTTTCCTCCCAATATTTTATATTGTGAGGAAATTCTGATTGATCATCTGTCAACTAAATTAGACATCATGCATCACTTGCTATATTTCAGCTACACTTCATACTATTACTGTGAATATTGTTCTTGAAATAATCTGCAGTAAATATTTAGGCTGTAAATAAATGCTTTTGTGTTATTAAAATGTAATCAGTTACATCAAAAAATAATGTACGTAACTTGTAATCAAAAAAATGTAATTGATTACATATAATGCACTTTACCTGTAATGCGTTACTTTACTCGTTACATAAAAAAGTAATCTGATTACGCAATGCATGTTACTTGTAATGCGTTACTCACAACACTGCTCATTTCAGATGAGACTAAACGTCTTCCACAATCTGAAAACATCAATAAATCAATGTAGATTTCAGTCTTTTGAGAGCTACAGTAGAAATGTGTCCATTTTGAACATAAACAGAATTATCAGCTGGTAAATGGACGTACTCTGGTAGACTGGATGTTGGGTTTCCACACAGTTGTACCTTCACCGGTTGTAGAGATCTTTGATGGAATCACGTCCTCATGTTCTAATATGCGTTTGCAAGCTGTATTATATTATTATTACTGTATTATTTTTAATACAGAATCTCTTAAGTTAAAACCCAAAACGCATACTGTCCACTGAAGCGGACGTCTGAAAATTTCTTTGAAAAATATGTTAAAAAATCTTCAAATCTTGTTTTGCGAGCAATAAAAACAAATTAGCAAAAACTCCTGACAGAGGTTTTCATAATTTATGAAAGGGCTATGACATCCGATCAGATTAATTGCTATTCATGTCTATTAAAATGAAATCCTACACATTCAGTTATTATTTTTGTTCATTTGCTTTTTATTTCAATTAGCAGTAATTAACTGTCAAGAATATTGCACTGGAATTTGCAACAAAATGTAACATCATAAATAAGGATGTTCAGAATCGGGTCTTGTTTACCTAATAAGGACTGATAGATTGAAAGAAGTTTTCATTGGTGTTGAAACATAAGGTGCACACCTTTCTGACTGAGCAACTGCCTATAAATACAGCTGATTTCAAGCAATGATCTGAGCATTACACAACGTTTGAGTATTACAAACACTGTTGCTGAGTCGTCGTATTGGTATGACATTTCTCTGTGTTTCCATTCTTAGAGTTTTAAATCTTGTTAATGCATATATTTATTGCATTATTTATAATAATGTTGATTTTAATAGGACTTTGTCAACATGTGGATTTCTGCAACATTCCTTCTTTTTGCATTGGCTGTAAACGGAGTCATCAAGGTGGCATCCGCAGGTACAGTAAATAAACAGATGCATTGCCTCTACATTTGAGTTTTTTTGCATCTGTTCAAACTGCAGATAATGAGGAGGTTTTCAGATTCTGCTTTCTGTGATGAAAGGGCGTGTACAGTCACAATTTTCATCATTCACTAAAAACTAATCTCTCGTTTTTATTCAATCTTCTTTGCAGGATCCATTGGCCGAAAATGCCCCGACGGCTGGGAGAAATTTGGAACACAATGTTTTAAATATTTCAGCGAGTCAAAATCATGGGCCGAGGCAGAGGTAAATTAGTGTTTTCTGAAATATTAGGTGCAAGTTACACTTTTTACACAGGTAGTGCTTATGGGTCACCAAATAACGTACCCTATTAACTGTGCACTTTAGTGTAAAGCTAAAAATATAGACAGGTTAAAAATAAAGTAATTAAAAACTTTATTATTTCTTAAAAATGTCTTACTGCAGTGTACTTTAAAACTCTTTCTCCTTACAGCAACAATGTGTTGACCTTGGAGGGAATCTTGCATCTGTCCACAGTCAAATCACTCACAATTTTCTAAAAACCTTTGTGAAAAAAAATTCCAAAGGCCTCACCCGAACCTGGATTGGTGCTCATGATGCACCTCAGGTGATTCTTTTTTTATTTCCCTTTAAAAATCAGTCCAACCTAAGAAAAAAAAAATCATGCTCTGGTAAGTCATAATTATGACATAAAAAGTTGAAATTATGACTTAAAAAGTTATTTTTTAAATTATGACGTCATTATTTTTTCTCTTATGATTATGACTTTTAAAGTAAAAATGTCAAGTTTTCATAGCATGTCATAATTTCCACTTTTTATGTCATAATTATGATGTACCAGAGCATAGTTTTTTTAATCTTTAAAGGCTGGTTTGCACTGCGCCAACAAACACCATCAGGAGTTTCAAACTCGAAATTAAAAAGTTTTATGTTTATTTAAAAGGAGGGGGGGGGGGGGGGGGGGGTATAATCAAGTGGAAATGGAAACAATACATGCTTTCAATAATGTTAATACCGTTTTTCAGGAGCTTATCTGGTTTTGGAGTGACGGATCAAAGTTTGAGTACAACGACTGGCACACTGGCGAGCCGAATAACGATGGAGGTAGCGAAAGATGTGCGGAGATGGGCTATGGAGGTAATATTTCATCTATGCTGTCCATATATTAAACCTATTTTACCAAAATTGTTGAATCATGAGCTGTTCCAAAGGTGGATTCAAACCTAGCATGTTTTATTACACATTTATGTTTAAAGATTCCTGCTTGCACTAAAGCCTAATTATATATAGCCTAATATTCTGAATTAAATATTGTTGACTTTGTTTTAAATAATATTGTTTTAAATATTCATGACTTTGAAATTCCACAGGTGAGAATCGCTGGAATGATGCACCCTGTGGAACTCGCCTCCCCTTCATCTGTTACAGAGTGGCTAGAATTGAATTTTAATCCTAAATTTGACTGATACTAATATCTCATGTCTGTCCATCTCAGATCTCCAAAGTCTTCAAATCTGATGCAACAGACATACTTTGCAAAAATAAAATTTAAACTACAAATGTGCAGCTTTCTTTCTCTGTTTCCCTGAATCATAGAACAAAAAAAACAGTTGATGTTGTAGTTATGACATCTACCAGCAGAGGGTGCTGCCATTCTACCATGTTTAAGACCTTTATTCATGATGACAAACAACTTGCGTAAAATTGTATCAAGTAGGCCTATAGAACAACAAAAACGCACATAATAGAATAATAAAAACCACAAACCAGAGAAAAACATTTATATGAGGTTAAACATTGAAAGTAATTTTTGACTTTTCATATTTATAAAATAAATGTATTCATTTATAAAAAAAAAAAAGTATTATAGTCTAAATTAATGTACTAAGTATAAGATTTTGTGTTATAAATTGTTTTATTTATTTCTGAGAGATAGGCACATAGTTCCACGAAAGATGTATTGTCTCTTCCCCCTTCATTTTTTTCCCCCCTTCAATACTTTGAGCAGAAACCTTTTATGAGTCATGACTTATACAGCCAAAGCCTGATTGACTCCTTGATATTGTCTTTAATATCTTGGGCCTCTTTAGCAAAACAACCCATTATTGTAAAGGCTGGTTTACTTGTTTAAAAGTACATCAATTAAGCAAACAGTCCTGGCCAGAATCTGTCACTGGTTGTTTAACACTCCAGTGCTTATTGTCTACTGAATGATAAACCAGAAACAAGAATTCAGAAAGCTCAAAACCTCAATGTCGGATTATTATGCACATTGGCCCTCATTTAACATTCTTGCGTAGAAACGGGCGTATATGTTGGCGTTAGATTATGCTTACACTCCTCTCACCGGCTGATTTATGAAGCTGTGCGTACCTTTGAAATCCAGGTGTACGCAATACCTGCCCTTGATAAATCCCGCGGCTGAAAACGATCGTCATTAGAATAGCACGCCCCTATATATTCAAGTCTCCGCTTCCCCCACGCCCTCATTTTACGCCATGTAGCCTACACACGGAAGACGGCAAAGAAGAGAAACTTCTCTGACGTGGAGCCGAAATGTCCTATCACAATGCAATATTTTACGGCACGTCTTTTGAAACAATTAGCATTCAATTTCGAATCGCGTCACATGTAGCCTATTGGGGTGTACAATAGTGACGATGATGATGTGATGTGGAGTACCATTCATTCACATTAATAATTGCATGACAATTTGTAATATTCTTCTTATTATTATGATTTTTATTATTAATGACGCTTGTTGTTATTTAGAAGAAGAACGTCGTTATTATTATTTATTTGTATTATTATTATTATTTAAAAGAAGAAGAATGTATTTTTTTATTATTTTGTCAGTCTGAATTATTTTTTGGTCATTGAAAGCCTTTCATTACCGAACCCAGTCCGTGCGCACCTGCCGGGCCTAACCATGAAACGTCAGGGTAAAGCGCACAGGCTCGCAACTGAAGGAATACATATGGCTAAAAATCAAATGCTTTGGTAAAGTCACACAAATTAAACATTGAAGTCCATGTTGCACAAAAATAAACACTGACGTTTATAATTACTATGTTGTTGTTGTTGGTCATAATATATCATATCTTTTAGTTTGTCAGTGCGTTTTGTGGTGTTAGGAATTGTTTTTCTGCGCATTTCTGCACTAACACAAAACGTGCGTACACCACCTCCTGAGCTGGCGTAGGATTTGAGCGTTCCGTACACCAACGTCCATATTGATAAATCTCAAAGTCACCGTGGGTTTGGGTGTACGCCAGGTGTACGCTGGAAATTTGGTGTACGCACTTTTGATAAATGAGGGCAACTATGTGTACTTTTGTGACATCAGAGGCTTTTGTTTTTATTCACTTGGGTGTGTGTTTTTGTGTAAGTGTGCGTCTGCATTGTGCTTTGTCCGACAGTTGTAATGACACTGAGATGTGTTGACTGAGAGTACCAGGCTGTCCCACTCATATTTTTCATCTTGGACAGCATTCAAAAGTGCCTCAATGCTCCCTTTGATTTGGTTTGGAATTCCCATTATAATTTAATACCAGTCATGCCAGTCACTGAATTATAGGCTAATTATACACACAAATTGTTTAAAAAAAACTTAAACTATTAAAATACATTATTATTATAGTCACCTGAATATACATTTTCAATTAAAAAGGTAGGCTAATAGAACACCAAATTGTAGCTATTTGTGGAAAGTATCATGTCAGAAGAGGGAGACATTATTGTACATTGCTGTCATAAAATATATTTGATCCCTATAGATAGAAACATTATTGTTATATTTTATTGATATGTTGGTTGAAATTTAGTTGTTTCTCCTTAAACCTCTGGTTGTATTTGGTTATTTTAGACTGAAAAAAATTACGATTTGATTTTTTTTTTAATTCATTGGAATTGTATGAAATGTATGGCACTTGCTAAAGGCTAAAAAATATACCAGATTATCTCTGTGGTCAAATATGACCGCCATAGGAAATGAATGGGAAATACAAATAACACACACACACACAGAGAGAGATAGAGAGCCTATTACAAATGATTTTCTTTATTTCTCACACCAGCATTCCAAAATTCCATTTTTTGTATCTTAAACTGTAGGCTATTAATTGAAAATAATATTAAATATTTTTTTATTTGCATTATTTTTTATAGAAGAAAATTGCGCATCAATTAGGCGAATATTGTCTAACACCATAAAATCCTCTTTAAAATACAAAATATTAAAGAATAAATATTATTGAAACAAAATAGTTAATTTATTTAATTAATCACAAGTGTGATACCAGAAGGTAGTCGTGTATTTTTGATGTGTGAGAAAAAAAAAATCAAGGTAGAGGGAGAGCACAGAGATTATTGCTTCCTGTCCTGTGATTGGCTACTGAGCTCAGTCCGCAACAGGCTCCTCCCCTACGGCATGCTGGTGTGAGTTGCTTATGTCGCTGTAGTGCAGAAAGAGGGGGAGAGAACAGAAACGAAAAGAGAGACTGTGCAAAACAGCCCCCCCCTCTCCGGGAAATGGGTCTCAGGCTGATGAGTAAGGCAAGAAACTGTATCGCTGGTGCATCTGAAGCTACACAGCTATGGAGGAAAGGTAAGACCCGAAATACAGACAGATACATGAAGAATAGCACAGAAAGGGAGGGAGGTTTGTTGTTCTGCAGTCAGGGAATGATGTAGCAGCATCTGCGATACACCAACGCACTATGTTTCCATGGGAAGAACGGGGGTGGGGTGGAAGCAGAGGAGGAGGAGGAGAGGAGAGGAGATGGATGCTCACATATGCACTGTGATGGAAGATATTACTGTTGCGTTCGCAGGCTTGTCTCTTTAGATCAAGTGTTTGTGATGCATGTAATGCATGAAGCCTGAACCTGTTCTATTGAAGACTGCACATGCCTCATGCAATCATACAAAATCAGGTATTTTGTAGAATGAAAGTGAATGTGTTGCATCTTTCTGATAGGCCTCACGTATAGCAAAAATTGCTACTTGTTTCTTTAGCTCTGCATCTAATCTAATATTCTGTTGATTTCAATTGTCACAGGCTTTCAATATAGTGAAATGTTTTTGCTGGCAGCTTCTGATGTACTGATTTAGCATGATGCCAATATTTGCTGTGCTCCTTGGCTTAAATTCAATCAGTTTACCATAAAAAAGAAATCAGACATTTTTCATTTACACTGAAATGACAATATATATATAGTTTAAAAAATATATCAAATACTTATATCCAATATAAAACACTTATTTTATATAATATATATATATATAAAAAAACATATACTGTGAAATATATCATGCTTTCCCAAATTAATTGGTTTCATGATTTGTCAAGCAGAAGAAATGATGCTTCTGTCTCTTAGACATGTGAAGTAACAACATGTGGTTTTGACATAGGAGGCACTCTCCATGATTAGGGAACATGGCACAAAGCAATAGAGGCACAAATCTACCATAGTTATTGAGTTTTCTAAGGCTATGTTCAGACAGCCAGCAAAAAATCTGATTTGTTTGATTTTGAAAGTCTGCACAGCAAAATAACAAAATAAAACGTTTGGAGGTGGTTTGAAATGCGATTCCAATCAGATTTTTACAGATGTGTCAGTCTCAGAACTGCTCAAATCAGATTTCAAATGGACTTTTGCGTCACTCTTAACACGACACAATGATAACTGCCGAATTCGCATACTACTCACTATTTTTGCTATAGAAAGATGAGAAAAATGTTAATAGTATAGTATGCCGATATATGTCAAAACCGATTAAGGAAACGCTGGAAGTATTCATACGGTGTTTAAACGATGATTTCTGCATTTTCTTGTGCGACGGAGAATTTCTGCACCACGACTTGACAGGCCGCTTATTTGGAGGGCGAGATGATGCACCTCCATTTTTCCTGAATCTGTTTTGAAAGCCTTGTCACATCCGTGGGCACGCCTACATCATTTACGGTTATGTCTCTGGACACACAAATCTTATTTGGTCACTTGCAATTAATAGTGCAGACAGTCTGCCTGAAAAGATCTGATTTGAGGAATAAATCTAATTTGCCTGCAGTCTGAACATAGCCTAAGTTTTGTCAAAAGCCAGATCAGAGACTGGTTCTGTGGCAGCCTCAGTGGCGTTTGGCTGAACCAGGACACAAAACATGGAGCAGAGAACACATGCTTCGTCACCTTTAGCACCTTTAGCATTAACCCTGTGTCTGTCTGAACTGGCACCTGGCATTCCTTATGCAGATTTTATTTTATTTTATTTTATATGACTACACAAGAACTGATGGCCTTCCTACATTGTTCTTCAAGCCTTACTGCAGTGAACCAGTTTCCTGCCGCCTTTACCACAGAAGTTCATGGAAATGATCCTCCTTTCTTGAGGATGTTTCATCTGAGTTAATCACCCCACCAACAAATCATAAACATATGACAAAAGTATGGTGGTGGAACTCTTTATGTAATTTAGGTACCTTAACTATCTTCTGATTAAAGCAAACTGGGAGTGAAGTGGGTGTTTCTTATTTATACTTCCAGGCCTTTTCCCAATACTAAACACACTTGTTACAAAAAATGTATACCACAGATACACAAATTACAAATTGTAACTTCTGTGTTGTGCAAAATTGTATAACCCCGCAGAATCCTATATCCCCCCCTCCTCCCGGACCCCCAGTGAAAGCCGTTTGTAATGCCTGTTTAAAAAAAGAGTCATGTTATTGCGATATCTTTTAGATTCGGATTTCCCTAACTGGGGTTAGAGTTATGAAAATAGTTGATGAAAAGCTAATAATATAATAAAATGTAAGATTGAAATAAATGGATAATTTTTCAAATAAAAACTATAAAAATAAAACGCATACTTAATTTTTTTTGTTTACCTATATGTGACCATTAACCAACATCTGAGAAGAACCTTGAAAGTGAATGTGTTGTTAAAGGATTGAAATAATATCCAGGGGAAGTAAATATTTTAGGGGTTCATTTGACAAAAAAGTTTGGGAATCCCAGTTATATTCAAAATAGCAATTCTGATTATCTTTTGTAGCAATGGCAGCTAAGCTACCTGGCTAATCGGCTAGCAGTATGTTAAGGTAGCAAGTTATTCAGTTAGCAGTAAGACAACTACTACTAAGACAACAGATTAATCAAATAGCAGTATGTTAAGGTAATAGGCTAAATGATTAGCTAGTCAGTTAACCAGTTAGCTTGCAAGCGTCTTTGTAGGGTGCTGAGGTTGACTAGCAACATTTTCTGAAATCTTAGCACCTCCATTCACTGACCACTCCATTTTTATACCATATTTGTGTGAAGTGTCAGTGTGGGAATTTTCTTTTTTTATGCTTTGTAGAATGTAACGCTGGCTGTAAAAGCTCATGATTATGACATGTGCCTGTGCCTTCATGAGAATGACATGTGTTTTTAGGTCTGTATAACAGGAAAACTATCGGGTGTTCTTGGATCTTCTGTCCAGAATGCATGAGTGGTTTTACCCTGGGGAGATTCTGCTTCAGTAACTCTAAATAGTCCTTCACAAAATCGCTTGCTTGTCTTTGCCAGGATCCTTATGGTTCCTTGTCCTTTGTCTTTATGATCTCTGAGATGGAAAGAGGGGCTCTGGTTCTAACACTGAGAGCTTTTTGTGATAGAAATGGCATTGTCTGAAGAGTAATGACATATGGCAGCTCAATATTTCATTTCCTTGTATTACGTCATGTCATGAACATTTTTTTTTTCATCCGATCCAATTCCCCTGTGACCTCATTCACATTCAGTTTTAATTCCCAGGTAACTTTTTTTTTTATCAGTATTCACAAAAGTAGTTTTTATTTTCTAGGGATTATGTGAGGTACTATCACAACATATTACTTATTTAAATATGAGTGCTTGTAGTTACTGATTCAAACCTCAGGAAACAAAGCACGATTGTGACCCCATTCCAGTTACCTTTTCAATTAAACCTTAAAAGCATTGTGGGATGTTACTGACGGTACCAGCTATAAAAAAAAAGCTTTAAAGATTTGAACATTTTTAGCCATTTAATCATATGCTCTGCCTAAATTCCCATTAGTCTAAGCGAGTGTCGATGATAAATCAGTAACAAAGATCATAGTGAACCTCAAAAAAAGGACTTTGAGAACTTGGAAGTGTTTGTTTGTTCATGCATTCTGTCCTCTGTCTGGGTCAGAATATTACAACCTTCTGTAAATTATTGATGTGGTGAAGATTATTTAAATATATCTAGCTCAGTCTTACATAGTTGCTTCATTTTTCAAAGCAGTTGGATTTAATGTTTTTTTTCTCTTATTGTGGATTGTGGTAGTAAACACTACTGTTCAAAGATGATTTTTTTTATGTTTTTGAAAGAAGTCACTTAGGTTCACTAAGCCTGCATTTATTTGATCAAAAATAAAGTAAAATCAATACTATTGTGAAATATTACTGCAATTTAAATTAAACATTTTCTATTTTAAAATGTAATTTATTCCTGTGATAGCAAAGCATCATTACTCCAGGCTTCAGTGTCACATGACCCTTCAGAAATCATTTTACTTAATATGCTGATTTGCTAAAAGAGACAGTTATTATTATCAATGTTGAAAACGGTTGTTCTGTTCTATCTGAAAAATAGTATACAGGATAGAAGCATCTAAAGCATTTATTTGAATTGGAAATCTTTTGTAACATCTCGCATTGCTTTTTCACAGAGTTCAGATTATATAAACCAGTACCATATAACATTCCTTCATGACATCAAAAAGCATACTTTAGCAATGAGACTGTGCTCATTAACGGGCTTTCAGCACATAAATTATATGTATTTATTTACAGAAAATATTCATGTGATTGCAGCTCTTGTGAATTGCCATTTTAGGTTACCATAGTAACCTGTATGTAAATTTGTGTAACCCAGTTAGATTATTTTAACTCTCTTGTCTGTTCCATACAAGTTGATTTGTCATGGTATCATTGCAATACCATGCTCTTTTGACATTTACAATGGTAATATCATGTATCGTGTATCTTGGATCTTGCCTGCTTTTCTACAGGTTTTGTTGTATTTGTAGCCGTACAGTTGCAGTGTTTACTGCATGTGTGTGTTTTAATCACTAATCTCTCTTTTCTCTGTAGAGCCCAGTATCAAATGAGGGGAGATTGTGATTGGCCCCTGCAACCTGTGGTGTATTTGTGTCTCCAGTGGATCAAATACACTTTCTTACCTTAATAATCTTCAGTCATATTTAAAAACACACACACACTCGCATGCACAACGCCTGAGCCTCATCTCTTTAAGGTGAGAAACACTTTAAATCAGAGTCAGACCCGATTTCTTCATCTGCTGTATGCTTAAATGTTGGCATGAAACGAAAGTTGCGATCATCTTTTCATTCCTATTGTGACGTATATCCGAGTTAAACGGCTTCTTGAATGAGGAAAAAAATGTAGGGTGGGACTTAATTTTTATTTTAGTTTTAACGTAGTTTTATTAATATTTTGAATTAGCTTTTGTTTTTATATTTTTAGTTTTCATATCAATTTTGTTAAATTTTTCATTTTATTAAATAAATTTGTCATTTGTTATTTTATTAAATATTGCTATTTAAGTTTAATATTTTTTTATTTCAGTTTTAGTTCGTTTTTATTGATTTCCACTTAATAATTTTAGTGCTTCAACTTAAACTTATTTCAATTATTTTTTAAACTTATTTATGTTTTATTTTATTTCAGCTTTATTTCAATTAACAGAAATGTTTAAATGTTAATAATAATAACCCTGGTCCATCAGGAAAAAAATTCCTTTCATGGTGTCTGTTCTTAATATTAGCGACATTTTCAAATATTAATATTACGTTATTTTCCCTGTCTATATTGATATAAAGCCATTTGGAAACTAATAGGACAGATTTTGGCATGATGTTTAAAAATGCAATTTAGTCTTAGACATTCAGTTTTACTGTTTCTCCACCTTTCTTGGCATAGGCTTCACTATGGAAGCCTGTTTCCATCCCAGACTAAAAAATATAAAAGGTAATTGTGAAACATTGCTTAAAATAAGAAATAAAATCACAGTTGTTAGATATAGTCACAATTACAAAACAATAAAGTTTAAATTATTTGATATGAGTGATCAAACTACTTTCTCCACAAACAATGTGCCATCATAACTCTTACTTCAGGATGTCCCAAAACGTTTTCCTCCTGTTTCAGGTTTGTGCTTTCTGCATCCTTGTATTGTGGGTGCAGTTACACCCTCCAACCGCATGGAGGCGCAGCAAGCTTCTCCTGATAGCAGCAGTGAGGAATGTACTGTACTAGAGGCTCTGCCTGGCAAGGGAACAACACTAATTTGCTCTCAACACAAAGGAAAAGTGAGACATCTTTCAGTACACTCATACACATAAACACACACACACAAACTGACTCACACCACAAAATGATTACACAGATGGGTGAAATGTCTCACAGGCAGTGTATTTCCCACGAGCATAAGCTTTCTGTCCCAGATAACAAGTGTACCCTGATCTCAGCTGGTTGCTCTATAAATATCATAAGTCGAAAGATGCAACTAAGTGTCCTCATAGAATAGGAAACATTTAGTTCATTTAGGATGACCGTTCCTATGTTAGGTACTTCTCACAATTTGCATAATTGAGATTTTTTGGAAAGTTTGGGAATGTATCATTATTCATAGGACATGCAGCACCTGAAGTTGATTATAAATATTGTTGGAAAAGATAATGAGCTTCTGTTCAAGCATCACAAGACAAAACTGGTCTGAAGGAAGGATCAATGGAAAGGCCATCACAGTAAATAGAAAGGGATTGATTTCGGCATTGCAGTCATCTAGAATAGTGGTTCACTCTTATGGCTTTTTCAATAACCAGTACTTAAGAACATACGGCATTACCATATGAATATAGTTTCAAAAGAAGACTTTTCTGACCTTTGGATTACACAGTGTAAATAATACACATTTAATTTACGTATGGGCAATTTTAGTAGACACACACACACACACACACACACTTATATGTAACACATACATACATGTTTGTTAGAAAAATAAAAAGTAAATGTTAGAAATATTTCAATAGAAATAAATTTAGTAAAAAATGAAATGGCAAATATTATAAAAATTCAAATACATTGTTTTTGTCGAATACAAATGAAATTTACAAAATAGACAATTAATTGACATGTTTCAGTACATTTTAGGGTGTTTAAATTTCTGCATTAATACAAAGTTCTGTCATGAAACTTTAGATGTCATCTCTATAGGACGCATTGATTAGTTCCTGCTCTATCATGCTTTCAGAAACCCTCCTTCTTCCCCAGCTCCACCTGTATAGATCTGCTACGGGTGATTCCTGTACGCTATATTGTACAGCAGCAGCATGTCTTACTTGCTCACAGCAGCGTGTCGTGTATTTATTGGCAGTCTCAGCAGCAGCGTAGCAGATCTATTCCACCAAGACAAGTTTCATTCTCATGTCCATTACCATGCCAAACACTCAGAAAGTCGTCATGACAGAACTTTTATGTGCTGTTTTCAGGTGTCTGCGCTGTACTGTTTGGCATGCGAGAATGCAATATGTGAGGACTGTATGAAGGGAGAACATTCTGAACACCCCACTGATTCACTGGAAAATATTGTGGACCAACAACTAGCGGCACTTCAGGACAGAGTGGATTCAGCTAAGAACAGGTGAGCCCATGATACCCATCCCGTCACTCTCAGTATATATATATATATATATAGGCCTACCCTCTGTGCATGTATTATATTTTATAATGCTTTCACCTGGCAATAAGATCAATTTAGCTACACATTTCACCATATTTAAAACCATTCCACAGATTTTACCTTACCATCAGAACGGAAAATTTGAAAAATCTTCTCAGTAGATTATGTGTGGGTCTTGGCACAAGGAAAAAATTCAATCGGCTAATTGCTTGATTCATTAAGTGATTGCTTAGTGATTTACTATTGATGTCTGCAGTACTGGTTGATGAATGAATGGACGGTTAATGGACATATTTAACTAACTTACAGGCTTCCTCAGATAAGAGAAGCAGTTCAGTGTTTGAGAGACATTCTGCAGCAGCTGGTCACTCAGCGGAGCTCCATAGAGGAGGACATCCACTCCTCCTTCAGCGAGCTGCACAAAACTCTGGATACGCGCAAGAGCGTCCTCCTCATGGAGCTGGAAGTCACTTATGGACTGAAGCAGAAGGTTTGTTTGCAGTACGCAGGAGACACAACTGATTTCAATAGAGTTTGGTGTTTGCATGTTGCTAAGATAACAGAATTAAAGGCTAATAAGCATCAACATTTATGCCTTGCACAAATATTTGGCATATTAGTCAATTAGTCAAATATTGAATAAATAGTAACACTTAAAAAAAAAGGTTCCATTTGTTTACATTAGTTAATAAGAACCAACAATGAAAAATACTTCTGAAGCATTTACTAATCTTAGTCAATGTTTATTTAAACTTTTACTAATACATTGTTAATATCAAAAGTTGTAGCTGTAATTATTATTAACCCTCTGGGGTACTTCGGTCATTTCTGACCGGATTTTTAAAAATAAAAAAATGTTAAAAATCGTAGCTTCGTCGGAATGGTACGAAACTTGGTGACTTTTATGGTACTTGGTATACGAACACACAAAAAAATTGGGCACAGGATTTGAAAAGTCTAAGTGGTCATAAAAAAATAGTCACACTCAGGACCTTCGGTCAAAAATGACCGGCCATAGGAAATGAATGGGAAATTGGCAAAAATATGAAAATACAGAGTTTATTTGTGCGTACAATCTACAAATCAGCCACGATGCAGGAAAAAAGCACACAACAGTGAAGGGGGGAATCTCTAAAACATCAAGAGTGCAAAACAGACAAATACACTCACACACACACACACTTATACACACAAAAACACACGCATGTACACAAATGAACGCGTGTCATTGCAAAAGCTAATTTTGGGAAACGTGTGAAATAAAAGCAATTATTCATCAATGTAAGAAATAAAGCGCACAGCAATGAACGCATGAGACTGTGAACAATCAAGGTTGCAAAATACACACACACACACACACACACACACACACACACACACACACACACACACACACACACACACACACACAGTGTAAGATCAAACGATGGAATTCTTCCTTAGTAACCTCCAGGCCTATTGCAGCACATATGTGCTCTTTTTATGCGTTTATTAGAGGTTGAATTCAAATCAAATACTGTCAAACCACCCATACTACTTCTGAATAGGATGTCTACTTCATAAATTGTATGAAAATTATGGAAATACATGGTTCAGGTCACTCAAAACATATATGAAAATGGAGGCGCCCTTATATGGTCAGTAAGGAAGCTTGGCTTTCCATCTAGTGAAAAAGTTTGGTATGCGCCAAAATAAAATCTTGACTGAAAGCTTATTTTTTGAGATATCAACCTAAAATTTGGAACACAACTTCTTAAGATTTTTGGCTTTCATTTTCTTGCAGTTTTAGAGTAAAATATATTTTGTAATATATATATTTTATATAAAATATAAATAATTAAATTTTTACATTGTTCATTTTCATTAACTCAAACTTACATAACTTTTTTTTTTCTTTCACTTTCATAATTTATTTCACTTCTACAATAATCTGGCAAATGTCTTCTTTAAAACAAGACCAACCATAGGTCTATATTCCAAAGCATTCTTGACTTACAACCATTTAAGTTTGGATAGTGATTTTCATGGCTATGCGAAAATAATAGAATTTTTATTTTATTTTTAAAAAAATAAAATAAAACAAACAAACAAACAAAAAACTTGACAAAAATAGTCTTTGAGAATCACTTATTATAAATTAAAATCCACAACCTGAAAAAAATTGGCAAATATGTGCAAAAACAACTAGAATTCACAAGCCTTTCTACAGAGGCTGTAAATCCATCTAGTGGTTAAAATATGATATTGAATGATAATTATGCTCACTACATCCACCAGATGGCTCCAATGTGATTTAAAAAAATGTTTTCTATAGGCCAAGGATCCACTTTAACCTGAAATACAGCATGAATTAAAAAATAATAAAAATAATATATATATATATATATAAATTTTCTATTATATTCAATGGGAAAAAATGATCATAATTATTGCATAAATATTCATTATTTTCATAAAATTCTCTCAAAACACACAAAAAAAAAAAAAAAAATATTATTGAACAAAAATAAATTTCATTGATTTCACTGAAAAAAAATAAACATTGATTTCAGGGGTCCGGTCACTTTTGACCGCGAAGGTCAGGAGTGTGACTGGAAAACGAAGAACCCCAGAGGTTGAACAATGAACAGTTGTATTTTTATTAACTAACATTAACAAAGATTAAATACTAAAACAAATGTATTGCTCATTTTAGTTAATATAAGTTAATGAATTAACTAACGTTAACTAATGGGATTTTATTATAAAGTGTTACCAAATGAATTATGATATATTAATTTACATATATTTGCTGTATACTACAAATAAAAAGTTTGGGGTTAGTAAGATTATTTAAATGTTTTTGATGACTTTTATGCTGCTCACCAAGGCTGCATTTATTTGTTAAAAAATACAGTGAAAACAATTTTTGACATTTTTTTTTGAAGTTTTTTTTTACTTTAATATATTTTATAATGTAATTTATTTCAGTGATCAAAACTGAATTTTCAGCATCCAGTCTTCAGTGTCACATGATCCTTCAGAAATCATTCTAATATAATGATTTGCTGCTCAGGAAACATTTATTATTATCAATGTTGAAAACGGTTATTATTTTAGTATTTATATTTATATATTTTAGTGGAAACCATGATAAATGTATCATTTATTTGAAATAGAGATCTTTTGCAACATTATAAATGTCTTTACTGTCACTTTTATCAATTTAATGCATCCTTGCTGAATAAAAGTATTAATTTTATTTTTTTAAAATCTTACTAACCCCAAATTCTGAACGGTGCTTTATTTATTAAATTGACATATTAAAGTATATTAGTACATTAATTCGATATAAATAAATAAGGTAACACTTTACAATAAGGTTCATTAGTTAACACTAGTTAACTACCTTAGTTAGCATGAACTAAGAATGAACAATACTTCTTCAGCATTTATTCATCTTAGTTAATATTAATTTCAACATTTATTAATACGTTATTAAAATCAAAGGTTGTATTTGTTAAGTAATTTGCAAGTTGCAATCATTAGTTAATGCACTGTGAACTAACATGAACAAACAATGAACAGCGGTATTTTTATTAACTAACATTAACAAAGATTAATAAATACTGTAACTAATGTATTGCTCATTGTTAGTTCATGTTAGTAAATACAGTAACTAATGAACCTTATTGTAAAGTGTTACCAAAAATAAAATATAGATAAAACAATATGTATCTTAATTATGCCGCCTATCTTTTGAAACATCTCTTCCATGTTATTTTGTGTATCCTAAAGGTTCTGCAGGCTCAGCTGGACACTCTTCTACAGGAGGAAGCTGCCATCAACCATAACTGCAGCCTGACCGGCGAGGCCCTGGACGGGGGCAACAAGGCTGTCGTTTTGCAGACCCACAAAGACGTAGGAGAGAGACTGAGTGACCTTGCCAGCCAGGGCCTTCCTCTTCAGCCTGAGGAGAACGACCAGCTGGATCTCATAATGGAGATCGAAGGGCTTCGCAAGTCCATGCACAACTTGGGCACCATCGTCACCACCAATGCCGTGGCCAGTCAGAGCGAGGCGTCTGGGGAGGGTCTGGAACAGTGTGTTGTGGGCCATCCGGTATCTGTCATCATAACCACAAGGGACAAGGCTGGAGGACTGTGCAAGACGGGTAACGCCATCATCTCGGCTGAAGTCTGCACGCCGGATGGAAGTGTTGCAGACGGCGAAATTGTGGACCATAAAAATGGGACGTATGAATTCCAATACACGGTGAAGAAAGAGGGCAATTTTAGTCTAGCACTGAGACTTTATGATCAGCATATTAAAGGAAGCCCCTTCCAGTTAAAGGTCACATGCTCTCCGGATGATTCTCCAACCACCACCACTGCAGCCAATGCTGCATCCACGGGTTCCAGCGATGGCGGGGCACGGAAACGGAGCGCCAAGTCCCCAGGGAGCAGAAGCCGGCAGAAGGGCGTCCGGCGGGGAGGAAGCTTGTTCAGCACCCCAAAAAAGAAAGTGAACCCGATCGAGGATGACCTCATTTTTAAAATAGGTACATGCAGGAAAAGTATATTATATATAATATACTTTTATTAGAATATATTATTAATGCTGAGAAAACAGTTATGCTGCTTAATATGTTTGTGGAAACCATGATATATATATATATATATATATATATATATATATATATATATACATATATATATATATATATATATATATATAGGATTCTTCGATGCATAGAACGTTAAAAAAAAGATCATTTATTTGAAATGGAAATCTTTTTAACATTATAAATGTCAAATTACTGTTACTTTTGATCAATTTAATGCATCTTTGCTAAATAAAAGTATTAATTTTCTTTAAAAAAAACTATCTAACTAACTTTTGAACAGTGGTGTTTCCAGCATGGAAATGCATGTTTACATGTATATTTGAACCCAATCTACCCTTATAAATAAACCTGAATAAAATCAGAAGAATATTTTTAGGTTACATGACCTACAATTTAGAAACAAAAACCCTTACATAACCACCTAGCAACACTCTTGCAACCATCACACCACACACATTTTCTTCTTCTTCAAAAAAGAAAAAAGTAATCATTACTGTACTAATCTTCACAAAGTCTGTTATCTTCAGCCCAAGTCTTTTACATTCATAGGAACAAAAGGGAGGAATAAAGGAGAGTTCACTAACCTCCAGGGAGTAGCAGCTTGTTCAACAGGAAAGATCTTAATTGCCGACAGTAACAATCAGTGTGTGCAGGTAAGAAAGCCCTGTAATTTTCAAACATGCAAACTCTAGGTACAGTATATCTTTATATACAGATTCTCTGTTGATCAGATATTCTCAAATACGGGAGAGTTTCAAAGCCGGTTCGGGGTACGTGGCCGCTCACCGGGACAACTGCAGCGGCCCACTGGAGTAGCTGTGCATCCAAATGGGGACATCATCATTGCTGACTATGACAATAAGTGGGTTAGCATCTTCTCCAGTGAGGGCAAATACAAGGTCAGTTATGTTTAGTTATTACAAGCAAATTTAGAATTTGAAATGAAACTGGAGTTTTAAGGATAATGTTGTTCTGATTTTCCTTAAGGCCAAGCTGGGCTCAGGAAGGCTGATGGGTCCGAAGGGAGTGTCTGTGGATCAGAACGGTCATGTTATCGTTGTGGACAACAAGGCTTGTACGGTTTTCATCTTCCAGCCCAGCGGGAAACTCGTCACTAAGTTTGGCAGCCGGGGAATCGGCGACAGACAGTTTGCAGGTATGTGCATATCTACAGCAGTCAAAATGAAGGGTTGCAGACTGCTTTACAACAGACAGATGCACATTTTGTACTTGATTCGATCATGTAAAGCCTGGTTCACACGGCAGGATAATTAAGCCGATTTTAGCCCCGATTCACCCCTTCCGACAATCTTAAGGATGCTCCGATTATCGTAAAATAATCTGATCAGATATTCCTGTCGTGTGTGGTGTGTTAAGACTGCTCTCGTCTGCTCGGAAGGACGTCGGGACCGCTCCGATCTCAAATCGGGGATATCCAACATGTTGGATTTTTTTGGCCCGATTTCTCCTCGTGTGTGGTCTCCCCAGATGCCAGCAAGGTTTTCCAGCCCAAAACCTCGTCAAAAACCGCGAGAATGCACAAAAAAACGCCCATTGTTTTTGGGCTTGTTTTCTCGTTTAAACACATTGAAATCATGAACAAGCTTTAAAATTACCCATTGGTCCGTGTACTTTTGCGTCCATTCGTTTTTCCTTTTTTAACCCGTAATTGAAAAATGAACGGTTGTTATATTTCTAAAACGTAAAGTTGAACACCAAAATTTTAATTTGAAATGCATAGGCTATACTCCAAATGCTGCGCAAAATAATAAATATTGACGTATTTTCAGATTTTTGTTTATGACTTTTTGTCCCTAAATTAAACATTTAAAATATTCACAAATTAATATGGAAAAAATTTAGATTTTACTGGTTTTCTAAGGCCAAACGCGGAAATTATATTTTTCCCGCAGTGGTGAAGACCCGTGTCTCTGGAACCATACGAGAGCTGATTTAGGCTATAGATGATTTATAGGCTAATAATAATAAATGTGTCTGAAAAAGTAACGAGGCATTTTAATTGTTTATTAATAAACTAGCCTAGTATTTTTTAAATCGGCTGGAAATATCTCCATCTCCGCTGTAAAGCGGATGCGCCTTTAGATAAGAAATTCATATGGATTACATAATCAGACTGCATTTGCTTTCGATTCGAATTTATTCGTTTAAAAATTGACATTTCAAGCTTTAGCCTACATATATAGGTAGGCTATGTTTTGTTTCAGTTCATTTTTGAGACGCAATCCAGTTACGGAGACCACGAAAGCGCGCCTGATTGTTTTCTTTTATTTTACAAAAAGCACAATGTTTTCTTGTTATTGTGATTTTACACAAATAAAAGTAGTTGCGACTGATGTATTTTTTATTTTCTGTATGACCAGAAATGATAGAGTATTTTAAGTTGTTTCCACTGTTGATAGAAAAACGCAAGTGTTCGCGCCCGCGCGCCTCTGGTCATGCAGAGCGCGCTCCACACTCGCACAAACCCTGGATATGCGTCATTTGTAATAATCTTAGCCCTGTATTATTATTGTCTAACCAGTATTATGACTGACGAATTGCTTTGTTCCTTTTTTGGATAAAAGCGTCTTCTAGCCAAAATGTAGGCTAATAATAATGACAATTATTATTTGCATTTATAACTATACATGAGTTCACTTAAGACAGTAATGTTTATCAAAAAATAATTTATTAATGTTTTATTTTTATATAACTTAACGTTTTACAGTTTTTTAAATGTTTTTGTTTTAGGCTACCCTATATTAATTTTTTATATGTGAAGTATTTTATTGCTTATATTATACTGAGCTTTTTCCTCCCAAAAAATTGACTTTAAAAATACAAGTAGGCTAAATGTCGTTTTTTAGAAAATTCAAGAAATTATCCATTTTGAAAAATAAAGTTTAAACACAATGGTATCCCGTGCATCCCGCACATTTCTTTTGATAACGTTTTTTTTTCGGTTAAAAACAAACTACAAACTACTCAACATCCTCTTCGTCCGCCATGATTGTTTAGGCTACTCTGAAGTCACGTTTGATTTTGAGGGATTTTGCGAGATTTTCCGTCTGACCTGGGAATGCTCGGGAGTCAAATCGGTTCGTGTGTGATGTGTTGATTTTGCCGTGTGGCTGCGCACCACACACTGTACGACCAAAACTGTTAGACCCGTGATTTTTTATCGCTGTGTGTGGGGTCTCTCAGGTTTGTAAAATTGGCCGACAATTTTAAAATCGTCCCGTGTGAACCAGCCTTAATGTTATCATTCTATGGTTCTGTATCCTTGCCCTTTCTTTCCATGTAGGCCCACACTTTGCAGCAGTCAACAACAACAATGAAATAATCATCACAGACTTTCATAACCATTCTGTCAAGGTAAGCTTAACATTGCTGACCCTCTGCTTAGACATATTGTAGGAAAATTATTTTATCTCATAATTACTAAAAACAATATTATTATTATTATTATTAGTATCATTATAACTAATATAAATTAAAACAAATCTAAATCAAAATAAAAGTAATATCAAATTAAAACACACACATTATTTTACAGTATGTGTACTTGCATTGTATTTACCTAAGAAAATATTGGGTAATATAAGGTAACTACATGGGTTAGGTTTAGGTCTAGGTTCAGGGTTAGTACCTAGTACATAATAAGTACATAGTATTTACACGGGGAACAGGACTGTGAAATAAAGTGATATCAATATTCCCATGATGTTACATGAACAAAATTCATGTCTTTTTGTCTTTTGTTCCCAATGTATGTTCTGTACTGTATATAATTTTCTTATGTCATATTACTTTATAATATTACTTAATACTCTCTTATAGGTATTTAATGCAGATGGTGAATTCTTGCTCAAATTTGGCTCAAACGGCGAAGGCAACGGCCAGTTCAATGCTCCCACAGGGGTTGCTGTGGATGTCAATGGGAACATTATTGTGGCAGACTGGGGAAACAGTCGGATACAGGTAACGAGTTGTTGTGAAGTCCTGTATTAACTTGACAGACACAGAACTTGTAAAAAAGAATATTTAAGGTGAAGTAACACTCCCACCACCCTGTCTAGACTATCTAGCCAGAAACATTTAACTAGTACCTTACAAGCTAATGCAAGCCAAGCTAGTCTCCAAATGCTTACTTTGTTTCTAAAAAGAAAAAATGAAAATTCTGTCATTTACTCGCTCTTAAGTTGTTCCAAACCTGAATGAGCTTCACAGTTCATGAATTCATACAGGTTTGGAACAACTTGAGGGTGAGTAAATGATGACAGAATTTTCATTTTTGGGTGAACTATCCCTTTAAATCCTCCACCTTGTAATTGTGACATCATTATTTATTTATTCATTCATTATTTATTATATTCTCTGGACTCTCTTCGGAAACACATGTCCAATTCCTATTTCCTAGCATTTGGCTTATCCCAGACTCACAACAATAAGTCAGAAGTTGACATTTTCTGAACATTTTATTTTGAAAGCAACACAGAGCTAGAGTGTTCAGTCTTTGGAAAGTCAACCTAATATATATTTTTTAATTATTATTATTTTTACATTTTTGGTTTTGGTAAGATTTTGAATGCCTTAGAGACAAGTCTGTATTTATTTGATCAAAAATACAGTAAAAACACCAATACTTGAAATATGATTACAATTTAAATCGTTTTCAACATTAATAATGATAAGAAATGTGTCTTGAGCAGCAAATCAGCAAATTAGAATGATTTCTGAAGGATCATGTGACACCGAAGAGCCCCGCAAATGTCATGTCATTAATTTATTCCTGTGATGCAAAGCTGAATTTTCAGCATAATTTCTTCAGTGTCACATGATCCTTCAGAAATCATTCTAATATGATGATTTGCTGCTTAAGAAACATTTATTATTATCAATGTTGAAAACAGTTGTGCTGCTTAATATTTTTGTGGAAACTGGAAACTTTGATGGATAGAAAGTTCAAAAGAACATAATTTACTGTACTTGAAATAAAAATGTCACATTATAAACGTCTTTACTCTCACTTTTGATCAATTTAATCATGGATCCTTGCTGAATAAAAGTATTAATTTGTTCTTTTCAATCGCACTGACCCCAATCTTTTGAACGGTAGTATATAGTTGTCTCTTTAAAATGTTCACCTAGAAAACATTTTCCAGCACTGCTCAGACACTGTTTTGACAATACAAAACAGACAAATACTTACTTACAACACAGAATGTTTAAAAATGTAATTCCGAAATCAAAGTTGTCATTCTCAGGTGTTTGACGGAAGTGGATCGTTCCTGTCCTACATCAACACCGCTGCCGACCCTCTCTACGGGCCGCAGGGCCTCGCTTTGACCTCGGATGGCCATGTTGTGGTGGCTGATTCTGGGAACCATTGCTTTAAAGTCTACCGCTACCTACAATGACTTCAGAGGGACTGGAAAAAGAAACAAAGTCAAACTGTATGTGTCCAAATCTTGCACTTAATGTGATGTAATGGTATCCTCCCTCCTTGGTTTTGACATCTTTTAGTATTTGTTATTACTGTCGAATGACTCTCTAAGAAGACTAAAGCTTGTTAACACTATTTATGGGATGCCTTGGAATGCCCTTGCCAAAGCTCCACACATTACGCTGTGGAAATACTGAGACATCAGAATGCATTGGTGAGTGTACTACCTACAGTAAGCTGAAAACTACAGAAAGCTGCATGTGGGAACCATGCATGAGCCGCCACCTTTCGGGCAAATCCGAGTCCCATCTGAATGCTATTAGGATGCCAAGAGAGCAGAAAGCGATATCTCACTGAATCCAAGCTTTAGCATTCCCTCTTTGACCATTTGGCTCCATTGTTTATGCATATTAGAATTTACTAATACACTACTAAAAGTTTGGATAATTAAGCTTTTTGAAAAAAGTCTATTCTGCTCACCATGGCTGCATTTATTTGATCAAAAAATAGTAAAACCGTAATATTTTTTAATATTACAACTTAAAATAACTTTTCTTTTTTTTTAAAAGCTGAATGTTCAGCATCATTACTCCAGTCTTCAGTGTCACATGATCCTTTAGAAATCATTCTAATATGATGATTTGGTGCTCAAGAAATATTTCTGATTATTATCAGTGTTAATTCATATTTGCTTCTGCTTCATATTTTTGTGGAAACCGTGATACACTACCATTTAAAAGTTTGGGAAAAGTATGATTAAAAAAAAAAAACATTAACACTTTTATTCATAAAGAATGCATTAAATTGTTCAAAGGGCAGTAAAGATATTTATAATGTTACAAAATATTTCTAGTTCAAATATATTCTGAATTATATATATAATATATCACTGAATTTTCTATTTATCAAAGAATCCTGAAAAAATAAAGCAGCCAAAACTGTTTTCAACATTGATAATAATAAGAACCATTATTAATAATTGAGCACCAAGAATAATTCATAATAATTGAGCATATAGAATGATTCATGGAGGATCATGTGACACTGAAGACTGGAGGAATGATGCTGAAAATTCACAGGAAAAAATACATTTTAAAATAAAAAACAGTTTTTTTAATATTGCAATATTTCAATACTCCAAAAATGTTGCAGTTTTACTGTGTTTTTGATCAAATAAATGCAGTCTTGGTAAGCATAAAAGACTCAATAAAAACATAACAATTTTTAATTATTCCAAACTTTTGACCAGTACTGTAGGCCTGATTATAGCTTCACAAACGCTGATCATATTCCACCCGTGTGTTTAATTCATAGTTTTTACTCCAATCAGTGCAACTTCAATAAGCAAACTTACAGTGTGGAATTGAAACATCACGAATAGCATTTGTCCTGTGTAATGACATACTGTGTGTACGTGTGTACAGTAGATTACACAACCCACTGTTGCCTTGCATACCTATAGAATGATACTAGCAGCGTACGGCTCTTTATTTAGAAAATATTAGGACTCTCTATTTTCCTTACGAATGTTATTAAAAACTGGAAATATCTATATATTTGTGTATGTATCGTAAATAATGTTTCAGAGCAAAGAAGTTTGGGTTTCAAATGCAAACGTAGTCAAAGCCAAACATTTTCAAGGAATTGATTTTGATTTGTCCATCATTCTTCTCCTGTGTATGCCAGGATTCTTAGAGGGATTATTATTCATACATAGCAGTAATGATGTCATACAAATTTCTGCATAACTCACTAGCAATAGAATTCATCATCATTAAAACGCAAAGGTCATTTTTATGTTTTTGCTTTCATGTTTTGCAAATTTCAGAATGTTCATTATGTTGTTTTGGTACAGTAAGTCTGTACTGTAAATTATGCATATGGTTTAATGCGCTGATTTGCTTTATTTTCTGTATATAAGGATTGTATGTAAAGAATGTTTTGTACGTTCATCAAAAAAAGAATTTTACTTGAATGTTATCGTTTTATGTCTGTAAAAAAAAAAAAAAAAAAAAAAAATCAGCCTTAACATTTACATCATGCAACATTTTCCATTGTTTCACTTTATTGATAAAAAGGGTTTCAGTAGTTTATTTTATTTCATTTAGTTTATATTTTTGATGTGTGCCTGTTTACGACTTACAAAGATAATTCTGCTTGGACTGTGTTGATTTTTCTAATATTGCTGTCACATCATTCCATTATCATGCTAATGTACAGCGCATTAAAAGGTGACTTTGGAAAAGCTTGTCCTGTTTTCAAAAAGAATTGATGATAAATATGACATTCATTTGTTACTTTAAATTTGAAAGATGTTCTCTTTCATATATTGTCACTTAAAGGGATAGTTCACTTTGAAATTATTTTTTGATATGTTTTAGCTTACCTCAAGCAAGGGCATCCAAGATGTAGGTGTCTTTGACCTAAAAATACCAAAATTGAAACTACTGCGGAAACAAACCGTTCTTGTCTGTCAGTCATATAATGCAGGTCTATGGTCACCGCCTCAAAGAGCATGCACAGAGAAGTCCAAATTAAACATGATTTAATGACTCGTACATGTAAGTACACATTGATGGCCTAAGACACGAAACGAGCGGTTTGTGTGAAAAAAAAAAACCAGTATTTATATCGTTTTTACCTCTTGTAACGCACAGACCGAAGCGCCGGCGCCCTCAGACCACTTGGACGTGGCTGTGTTTACAAGAGGTAAAAACGATATAAATACTGTTTGTTTTCTCACACAAACCGCTCGTTTCGTGTCTTAGGCCATCAATGTGTACTTACATGTACGAGTCATTAAATCATGTTTAATTTGGACTTCTCTGTGCATGCTCTTTGAGGTGGTGACCATAGACCTGCATTATATGACTGACAGACAAGAACGGTTTGACCTAAAAATATCAAAATTGAAACTACTGCGGAAACAAAGACACCTACATCTTGGATGCCCTTGAGGTAAGATAAAACATATCAAAAAATTATTTCAAAGTGAACTATCCCATTAAATAGTCAATATTCTGGCCCGGTTTCACAGACAAGGCCTAGATTAAGCCAGGATTAGGCCTTAGTTCAATTAGGCTTTTATAAATGTGCCTTAAAAAATATTACTGGTTATTACTTGAGACAAAGCAATGGCACTGACATAGGACTGTGAAGAGTCTCTTTAATGAGACCTACCCACATTCAAGTGTTGATACAAAAGAATGGATGAACTTTTTTTTGTTTTTGTTTAAAAGGAGAGGTTCTGTTCTTTCTTTTGATATATTGCCTGTTCAGATATTTATACATAAAAATTCTGGGGGTCATGAAAGTTTTGTGAAAATTATCAAAACTCTGGCGCTGGCAACATAAAGACCATTGGCAGGGAAAGAGGTAATATGAATTTGAGCATAATAATTCATAATTCAAAAAATGTTCAAACTCAAATTCTTTCTACTTGGCACAGTCACGACAGACTCGAGTCATATCAGTAGCCACATAAAAATAGTTTAATTTTACACAGAGCAGGTCGCCTCATGGGGTTTGACAAGTTGGCCAACTCAACATAAAATAAAAAATACTGAGTGCAGCTTTGGCAATCACCCCTCTAATCTTCACGCTTCATTCAACCGCAACAAAACCATAACCACTTAATATCCACACCATTACAATGCTAAACGTTTAAACAAAATGAGGCACGGTTTCGATTAAGAGTGATAACAGCAGCTTTAGAGGGGCTTCTGTACGTCTTCAGCGTAGGTCACTTCTGGGAGAGTTGTGTGTATCTGAACAAGTCCGTTTCCATGTGTCTAATGATTTTAAAAAGCAAAATAAGCAGCAGCTGTCTGATTTATATTATAAAGTGTAAAATTTACAAATAAATATTCAAAAAGGTCAACACATGCACAGTTTTAAACAGAATCAAATAGTGTAGGGGTTTATTCAAGTCCAAGTGAAAAATTGATTCCGTGCACGATTCCAATTATGATGGGTTGCCAGGCGACCAGGTACCGCAACCAATCCAGAAGCTGTCCATATAAAACATGCGTTCTCTCCCAACTGATGGCAAAATTTAAGGCGTAAATAGGGTTATTACAAATTTGAAAACTTTTTGGTTTAATTCATCTTCAGTACACTTTACACTGTAAAATAAAGTTACCCAATTTTTTTAAATGTTTATTTTAACATTAAGAAAATAAAAAATGCATTTAGTACAAAGTTTTATCCCAGATAATATAATAGTTTTCTCGCAAATGGGAGTTTATATATTGTAATTCTGAGAAAAAAGGTCACAATTACTTATTTATTTTCTATTCAGTGGTGGAAACGAGCTTCCGTCGTTCTAGGAATTTGGTCATTATTTAATCGAATGTCATGCATGTAAATTATGACCAATTTAACAAAATTCAAGGATACGGGTTATTCATCATCTTCTTGAGGTCCACCTTCTCATTGCAGTATGGACACGTCTGCTTTTTTCCCACGATGCACCAGCCACGAATACAGAATTCATGAAATCTGTTGACCATAGGTAGTTAAGGATAATTTGACTAAACAAACAAAGGTTTGCAGAAGCTTTTACTTCATGTTTCCTCATACAATAAACAGAAGTTCTTGAAACGCATATCAATAAATATAGCTAACATAAAAATGTTCAATATAACAGCAAGACTTCTTGTTTCCTGTTAAGAAAAACATTACAGGCAAGGTTTATGGGAAATGAAGGATACATGTGGTTACAGGAGAGCTGGTAGGTGTCTTCAATGATGCCTTCCTCATCTATGTCCACAAAAATCTTCTGACCACACACGGCGCAAATGTCATCACTAAGGTTTCGGGATGGCATGCCACCCATGTTATAGTACTGAAGAAGGCAGACAGAAGAGAAACCAGGTAAAAGAGTTACTGGGAGAATTAACAAAAACCTTTAATAAGATATGAATTTATTATTATTTTTATTGAAATGTTCACAAATAATACTGCAGGATATCTGAGAATAATTTAAGGGTTTAAAGCCGTGTGTCCACCAAAGCGTTTGTAGCCAGCTGAAAACGCCAGGCGCTCTTCTGAAAACGCCGCACTTTTTCAGTTGTGACGCTTTGGTTGATATGATACGGAATATGCGTGGAAGTGTTACTATTACTAATATCTGATTTCACAGTTTGTATCTGAATATGAAAATGTTTATACAATGCAAAGTACTTGTTTTAACTGATTTTGTTCCATTGTTGTGCTGGTTGTTGTCGTCTGTTGTCCTTGTACAAGCAGGATGTGGCGGTGGGTCGATGTGGGATTTGTCCCGCCCCTCCTCCACTGTAATTGGACGGCTGGGTAAAAAGTGACAGTGATGAGCGAAATAGATGCTCAGCGGCTTGTCACGCTGCTACCGCATTTAAATAAGCGCCGATCCCATTGAAAACAATTGAAAAAAAAAAAATACGGACAAAAACGCTTTGGTGGACACATGGCCATAGAGTTACATTAATATGAGAATGTCTGGACATTGACGTATAGAAACTGATGTATATGTATTTACCCCTATAGTGGATGCCATGTAGTCTGAGCAGATTTCAGCAAAGTCACGTCCCATTACCCCATAGTACAGACCATAGAAAAGCATGATCACACCTACATCCATCGAGTCCTCTGCTTTAATCCTGAAAAAATAAAAAATAAAATGTATTCACTTGGTCATATCCCAATTTCAATTTGAATAATTGTGCAGCCCTTAAAGATTTAAAAACATATTTGAACCATAACTTGTACAATCAGTTATTCTTAGAATGGCAATCAGAGCATGCACATCCTCTGAAACACGTCACCACAGAAGTACTGCATGCATCTATTTCTTTTCACACTCACGATTTCAAGACCTTTTTTGGATGGGACTAGTTTTCTAAACTACATTTGAATTACAGTTCTTATCATTCGACGTCTGTGATTTCATGTATCGATTCGGATGGGACAAACGTCTCCGTGTTAGAAAGTGTGTGCTTCCTAAATGTGGGCGTTACAGAAGCTCATTTGCTGTTCTTTCATGCATCACATATGATGTCTATGTCTTTTAAATGTATTATTTATTGATATAATTTTAATTCATTACACAGGGTTTCTGCAGGTATCTTCAAATTAAATGTAATGCCTTTTTAATGGCATTTTTAAGATTTTTCAATGCCATACACGACCCATGACTAACCAAGGAGATATATATATATATATATATATATATATGAAGAGTTTGGTTCCAAAACGCAATAAATCCATTTAGATTAATTTGAGTAAAAATGTGTTTTCTTTACCAAGAAAGTGGAAAGATGAAAACCACTATTTTCTGTTTCAAACTTTCACATAGCATTTGTAGGTCATAATAACAAAAAAAAAAAAAAAAAATCCAGGTTTTGATTTTCAAAGATTTATTATAAAAACGGATAATTTTTCCCCCCAAAATGCAATAAATCCATTTTTTTTTAAATCAAAATGCAATTAATCCATTAAATCAATATAAAAGTTTTTTTCTTCATATTGAAACTGTTGAAAATACACAACAATGTAAGTTTATTAGTATCATATTTTTATTAAGAACTGTAAAGAAGATTGAAAAGATTTTTCCCTCTCCCGAGTGCCTCATCTTCTTAATCTCCTCACATAAATGATTCGATTTCGATGCCTTATGTTTCTTACCCACCGCAGAAACAACCACAGGTTCATCAATGCCGTCAAAATTATTCATTTTTTTGTTTGTTTGTTGATCGAAAAGTACAAAATAGATAAGAAAAACTAGGAAGCCGGGTGTATTTAAGGCGCTGCCGTTACTGTTTACATTGCGTGGAATGGTGCGTTGTGATTGGTTGAGAGCGGATATATCGCATTCTGCAGAGAAGGGAGACTGGCGTTTATCGCGGTTTGGAAAGAAAGCGAGAAAACATGACAGAATAACATGGCGGATATCGCATTTTACTTAAAATTAAACATTGACTTTTCAATACCAACCAGATACAATACTGATTTTTGCAGTAACTAATTTTTTTTAGAAATGGCCTTTATCGCGTTTTGGAACCAAACTCTTCATATATATATTTCCTGGAACACATAGGCGTAATTTGCGGGTGGGGCGGGTAGGACAGGTCCCCACCACTTTTTGCCAGGGTCGATTGTGTCCCCACCATTTTTGAAACATCTCATGGCACGGATGTACCAATACAAATAAATAAAGCTTTTCCAGTTAACTCTAGCAGATCATTCATTTCGTTCGTTTGTTAAATAAGAGGCGATCTGAAATGTGTTGTTTTTAAATTAAGTGACCAAAGTGCCCGTTGCCGCTGCTTTCAGTGGCACAGATACAGTATTCCGTCTTTACACGGACGCGCGCTTCAATCCGCAAAAAACACATGAGAAGCATTAGGAGAAGCATTAGGAGGATCATACAATATTGGCCATCATAGACATTCAGACCGGATTGTATTTCCCAGAGGACTGGGAGTTTGCTGAAAACAGTGGGTCATTTACCCTGGAAGTTTTACAGAGGTTGTGTGAGGAAAAACTCAGACATGGCAGATTCTGGTGGGATTAAAAATCGCAAAGTATGTCTGTGAAACACAAATTTCTCTAACGTCCCCCTGGAAACTTAGTGCCATCCGAATAGGGCTTAAGGGAGTAATTCCTTCTAATTAGAACGCCATTGTGTCAGCATTGCCATGGAAACAATGAACAGGGGGGCGAACTAACTACTGACTCACTACTCAGACAGACAATTCCTCCTTAGGATCCCTGTGTTTTAGCCTGGCTAACGCCAGACCCAATTCTCGTTGAGACTTGGGTCTGGGAACCGCATGTTCATTTTCTCGTATTTGAGGCGTGGTTTACGAATGCCCAGAGCTGTTTATTGGGTGCTAAGATTGTCTATCAAATGCGCCTGTACGTAGCTCATAGCCAATCGTTTTGATTATACCAGATGACGTATGTAGAGCGACAGAAATAAGACGACGATGGCCGATGGGTCAGAGATTTATGTGTAGCCTACACGATGGCGTGTATCTAACGGCCGTTTCACACCGCATGCGTGAGCGGCGCGTATTTTTTTCGGCGTGCATGTTAAGCAATGAGTGCATTCACACCGGGAGCAGCGCGTGAGCGTCGAGCAGGAGCGGCGCGTGAGCAGCAGTGAAGCGGGGGTTTCGAATCTGTTTTTTGCTGCATTGCTCACGCTAAATTAAAGTGAAAGCACACTTTTGATGGACAAAAATAAATGTGATTTCACACAAAAATTGTCACAAAAAGTTTTAACAAGAACTTGAGTTGGCAAATAAAAGAAAATAAAGACTCTAAAATATTTATAGAAGATTTACCCGGTAAAAACTTGTTTTTAATTATTCAGTTTGGGTGAAAGTTGTGTATTATATAAATAAAAAAAACTAAAGTAAACTAGCCAGAAAATATTATATATAAAGTTCTTTTAGTTCATGTAACGTTAACAGCTACAGGCTAGCACAACCCAAATCAAACCCGAGTGTGTGGTTTATTTGTGTGTTTTGTTTTTTATCCGCGGAGTTGCGGTCTTGTAAACATCGAAAGTATGACTGAAACTAATAGATTGGAGCCATTTTCTGGGTTGTTTTGTTGTATTACATTTAACTTATATGAATTGCTCGCTTATATATAATGCCGAAGTCATATTTCAATGTCTTTGGAAAACAAGAAAAAACACAAAATGACTTAAGCAATTATGCTATGAGGCTAACGATATGTAGCTTTGGAGCCGCTGCTGTGACACTGTCTACAAACTCTTCCAGTGTGAATACTCTCGCGCGTCTGCAGCTGCAGTGACGATGTAGTTACGCTGACGCGCTGCTCAAGTGCCCGCTCACGCTTGCGGTGTGAAACCCATGTGTGAAGCGGCCGTAAGGCTGCATCGAAAGGTAACTTCGCGTCTACTGCCATGTTTGATCCATAGGTATAAACAAACTGCTTCGGTGTGTCGCATAGACGCGTCATCGTCTTGCTGCTCCCTCCCCGTTCTGTGATTGGTTCCCTAAATGAGGCGAAAATTTGGTCCATGGTATCCATACTGCCTTTCAGCGTGAATAAAATCACGCTGCGGGAAGGCAGTATGGGGAAACCCAGACTACCTGTGTTTAGGATTTTAGGATCTGAATGAAGGCACTGTTTCATTTCTGATCAAATATGTCAATGTTACGCACCTGAAAAAAACGTTGAATCCAAACATGGTAAACATGATGGCGAGATATCCTATAACACCCACAGCGTAGCTCAGCTTGTAAATGAGGAGGAACCACTTATACACCATCCTGCAGAAGTGAAAGGCTTTTAGTTCATATTCTATACAACAATGCACAGGCAACACATTCTACAAGGGCCATTACACGTCGTATATTGCACTCATAAAACTTGCATAGCTGCTGCTTTTTTATATGAGACAATTATATGTAAAACAGTGCTTCTGAATCTGAAGGCCCTCCGTTTTCCAACACAATACAGTAGCCGAAGCTGCATACACATGATATTTGTGCTGTAATTCTGACAAACTGTTGATTGATATATTGAATTAACATTGTTAATTAATTCTATATATTAAATTAATGAACTATGATTAATTTTGTGATCCCAGAAGTTACGTTCTGTATTCCAGAACTGTATTTTCTTGCTTTAAAATAATAGTTGAGGGAAAATAAAAATAAATTCAGTTTATTTTTATTATATGCATTCTTTTAGAATTTAATTTAAATTGATAATATATTAATATAAATACTTCAAATACTAAGTCATCCTGCTGCTCTTTTAGCTTATTTAAAAGAAACGATCATCCAAAAATGAAAATTCAATAATGAAACAGTTTAACTTTCTATATGCTATGGAACCCAAATAAGAAATTTTGTAACCCAAAGACAAGTCCTTATTTGCTTAACAAATCATTGATTAGAATATACTTCCATTGTATAGAAACGAACACTGTGAATATTGCTCAAAACTTTTCGTTTTGTGACTAACAGAAGATAAAAAGCTATAGAACAGTCTGGAACAACATACAGGCAAGTAAATGATGACAAACGTCATTTTTTCTTAAAAAACTGAGAGCATTTCAAGCATTACCGTGGCGTTCTGCAGGAGAGAGGCTTGCGTGTGGCTCTGAATATGACAAAGCTGGTGATGACAGAGAACATGCCCCATGTGGACAGGAAACGCCACCAATAAAGCTTAATGGTGAAGTACAGAGGAACCACCCACATCTGCAATAGTGTGACCATCTACAAGACAAACAATATTAACAATATTCATTAACTACTTTATTACAGAGCTTTATTTGTGCACATGGACCCTAGAAATCTGACTACTAGAGAATTGGCCAAATCCGATTAAAATCCCATTCGGATTGTGCTTTAAACCTTTTCTAATCCGATCAAGAGGACCTATAAACACTTGATCGGATTGAAAACGAACTGATGAAGGGAAAGTACTACGCATACGCAATGACTTAGAAATGGCGTAATGATGCGTGAATGAAATCATAAATGACTGCCGTGTCACACTAAAATTTTCCTTCAACTCATCGTCTGTGAAGTGGAGCAGGAAAACATCCCACCAGTCCTTGTTTTCGGACTCTCATCCACAGACACCTTGTTTTGTTATAAACACCTTGTTATATCAACAATGATATATATATATATATCGCACACCACTTGCGGGAAGGGGAGTTTTTACAGCTTGATAAAAAAAATAAACAGTTACAACCACAATCTATGCTAGATGAATGTTTCACTATACCCCCATATAAAGATAAATTTATCTCTAATATATATATAACAAACTACAAACAATGTCTTCCCCCTCGTCCAACAAATATAAAGATATTTGGGAGAAGGACATGGGTATCCATATTCCTAATGACATCTGGGAAGAATCTCTGGAATACATACACTCCTGCTCCAATAATACGAGACATTGCCTTATACAGTTCAAAATTATACATAGGCTTCATTTTTTTTAAAGTAAAGATCCACAGCATTTTCCCGAACGCTTTATCAAACTGTGATAAATGTCAGTCCCTCAATGCAACACTTTTTAATGCTTTTTTTCTTGTACTTAAGTTGCCACTTACTGGTCTGATGTATTTAATGTACTGTCAAGAATTTTTAAGATTACATTATCACCGGAACCATTGTTGATTATCCTTGGCACATCACAGTTTTTAAGAAAATTGACTTCAGCCCAGCAGCGGTTCATTTCCTACTCTCTTATTACTGCAAAAAAGTTACTCCTGATGTCATGGAAAGGACCAGCAATACCCACAGACAAAATGTGGCTTCGCGATTTGTCCAATACTTTACATTTGGAAAAAATTAGATATTTGTTGAAGGACAATCTTTCAGGTTTTCATAAGATTTGGCAACCCTTTATAGACTTCTTACAATCAGTATCAGTATAAATACTTATTTCCTTTCACTTTATTCATATAAATTATTATTGTACTTCCTGCTACAAAACTGTATTCTACTTCCGCTCTGTTTGTTTTTGTTTATATGTACAGTTATATAAAAATATTTGAGCCTCTCTTGTATTGTTGATTGAAAACTGTATAAGATATATATATGCTCAATAAAAACCTTACAATTAAAAAAAAAACATGTACTAGATTGGCTTAATCTAGTTTATGTTAAAACTGGATGTACATTTTATATCCAATTAAATCTTGAATATGAATCACTAAACTGGTTGCAACCTAAATCAAGAAGGCAATTTCACTGGGTTCAGTTTATCTTTAAATGTGTCTATTTTACCTGTCCCTCCTATCTAAAACAGTATCTAATTCCTATCTAAAATCTTCATATCCTGTCAAACACATGCAATACCCCTTTTTCTTTGTACCCAGAATTTATAAAGAAGTGGGACGTAGAACGTTTCAATATAAAGCTCCAAGTGACTGGAATAATCTCCCTCTTTCCTTGAGATCTATAACGTCTTTTTGCTTTTTCAGATCATCCCTATCTCTATACCTTAAAACAACTTGTCTATGCTTTTAACTTCTAAGTTAAATGCAATCCTTGTTTCATTTGTTTATCTGGTCAAATTTTTTCTCATTTTGTTATTACTTTTTCTTATTTCATTTAATTTAATTTAAATTGATTAATTTACTGGTGATATTATTATTATTATTATTTTTACAACCTGTATTTAACTTGGAATAAAATATAAGTTAATGTGTGGGATCAGTGTGAGTGGGTGAGAGAGCTTGTGTATGAATGAGTTGTGTATGTGTATTTGTATTTGTAAAGTATGTTATGTAATGCTTTTCTTATTATTTGTATTTGTGTTTATAGGACCCTCTTGAAAATGAGATGTTGCATCTCAAATGGCTATCCTCGAATAAATAAATTCAAATATTATATCCAAAAAAAACAACAACAAAAAAAACAGCACAACACAATGGTTCATGTGCTCGTCGTCTCCAAATTAGGACCCAAAATAGGTCAATATTAAGTCAACTCTTTAAAACAAAGAAAAGACGCAATGTAGAAGAATAGTAGGTGCACAAAGCGGGAAACCCTCTATATTCGTGCAGTGTGTGCATGTCAAAAAATCTATTCCAATTTGAGGCTTGTAACGTATAAACGCACACTTCAACCTGATCGCTTTAGCATTCATGTAAACACTACATCAATCGGAACAAATTAGTTCAGATTGAAACGGAAGGAGTCCATGTAAACGTAGGTACTCACGTTGTAGGATCTGCCGTGTCTTTGTTTCCACTGAACCAGGACAATCTGAGCAACCACTAGCGTGGCGATGAGAATCAGAACCATCTCGGCATGCATGGCCTCATGACCTCGATGCTTCACATGCAACCTCTCGTGCTGCATCCTGGAGTTACACACACACATAAGCGTACAGACAAGTCAGAAATAATCGGAGAATCTTTATGCCATGAAGCCAAAGACATAGATCAACACTCAAAACTAGAAGCTAATGATACAGAAAACTAGGTTAAGAGGTTGTGAAAGAGGTTCGTTTTTGCAGGATTATACACGAGGCCAGACCTACTGAGGCCACTTGCACGACATTGCCAGTGTTCACTTATAACAATGACACACATGCTCCAGGAACTATTTTTATATAGATGATGGTGACAATCATAAGGCACTAAAAAAGACAGCATTTGACAATTTAGAAAAGTTGAACATCCTTTTACAACAACTTTCACTTTTCTGAACATCTAAAAAAAAAATATGTCCATGATTATTCTAAGCAACAAACCACATAAAAAAAAGATTGCTCATGACTACTTACTTCCACGATTCTCTGTTAGACATTTTCAAAAGATCGTCCTGTGAAGAAAGAACTGGATTTAGAAAATACAAAAATAACATGTTTAGGTAACTGGCATGCTTTATAACAACAACACTGAAATGCATCTTCTATTCTTTTACAATTATTTTGTATATGACCCTTCAAGTTAGTACAAGACCCCTGGTCTGGATTTATTTTGCCTGATGTGTTGATTTCGGTTACTATAAACGCGATTGACCAGTCAGAACTTTTCTATAGAATGAGAATCACATAATAGAGTGCAATAGTCGGGTTCCGGAAGAAGAAATCCCATTCATTTTCTCCATGGGGGAATTGATTTTTAACAATTAGCCTACTTTTAAATAGTTAAAGACAGAACTAGTGTGTGAGCTACAAGGTCGTTAATCAATAGTAAATGCTTTTGTTGAAGGCATCAACCTCCATTATAACTTATTTTTTATATAATCATGTTTAACAGCAGCATTTCTGGTGAAAAAACTATATTACCCATGATTCTGCAGAGAAATCTCCACCAATCAGAGAACCACAACAAGCAAATGCCAAAAGAACAATTTAGCACCCACCCAACTCCCATGAAGCACTGTGAATGATGTAGTGTTTCCCTAAGCTACTACTTAAATATTTAGATTTATTTATAAATGCATATATAGGCTATCGTATTTGTAATATAAAGGCCTATATAGGCCTATTTTCCTTCAACATCTTTATTAAATAAGAAGTTTTGTATATCTCCATCATATTTAATTAAATTATGTCATTCGCAATGCTTCATGGGATTGTAGTTCTTTCCCAGAGTAAAGCTCTTAAGAACACATTCTTGTCTTTTTGTCTGATGAAGTTTGTTACAATGTGATTTACTTTATAGCTGGTTGGTTTGGTTCATGGGTGATAGCTCTTAAACTAAGACTTTTTTTAAATCCCTTAAAAATACTTCTGGATCAAGGCCGCTACAAAAGTGGGCAGACACTTGTGCACTCTATAAACAAAAACATTTCACACTAGAATGCAGCAAATGGCCAATCAGAATCAAGTATTCGAGAGCAGGGGCGGACTTAAGCGGACGCTTGGGGCCCCGGAGAATCAGGGGGTCCCCCCATCAGATATTGGCAAATCATATTTGGCAAAGCTCTAGTGTGTATTTGTGTTATGGAGATTCTTGAACCGCCGTATTATGTAACTGTAGTAGGTGCTGTAAAGAGCTAATCCTAATCCCAATCCTAATCCTACCGTCACTAAATTGTGTGAACCGGTCACATGATTCGGTGGGTCACAGAATTTGGCACAACACTGTCTAACTGTCTTACAACAGAGGTATTCACCAGAGAGAAGAACACGTTTACAGATACGCCTTGTGTTTCATGTAGTGTTTCATCTTGATTTCTCAAAATGATTTGTTCATGTGCTTTTCCTGGTCGAAACTGTATACACTAGCATGAATGTACACAGGACCACAAATTTCCGTTTTAATAGATTACATTTTCGTTTTGTTTCTCAGCAAACCCTACCATGTGCCTTCAGAACACTTGGAATACAGGACAAGTTGCATGGGATTACATGTTTGAATCATTATTTAGTTCACAAATCACTGCCAAGTGCAAGCATGATTTTTTTATTTTTTTTATTTCTTATTTTGTGATAGGGAAAAAAAAAAGGTAAAATGGCTTTAGAACCACATCAGGTAGATAGGTTGTGAAGGGGAAAATAAACTATGGTAACACTTTACAATAAGGTTCATTAGTTAACAACCTTAGTTAACATGAACAATACTTCTTCAGCATTCATTAATCTTAGTTAATATTTATTTCAACATTTACTAATACGTTTTTAAAATCAAAAGTTATATTTGTTAACATTAGTTAATGCACTGTGAACTATCATGAACAAACAATGAACAGCTGTATTTGTATTAAGTAACATTGACAAAGATTAATAAATACTGTAACAAATGTTTTGCTCATTGTTAGTTCATGTTAGTTAATACATTAACTAATGTTAACTAATGAAACTTATTGTAAAGTGTTACTTAAACTACAAACTATGATTGAAAGAGACAGCAAAATAAGGGTTACAAATGTAAAAGAGCACATAGCTGGTGTATTGGGGGCCCATACCTGGAATTTGCTTAGGGCCCCCAAATCATTAGCCTAAGTCCACCCCTGTTCAAGAGATGTAATAATAATTGAAAGACTACATTTTAAAATGCAATTTAGTGAATCACAAAAAAAAAAAAAAAATTGGTACAATTGTACCGATTCCTTTATACATTCACATTTGAACCTATAACTACCCATCTAGAGTGCATATAATCTGATGCTGGCATCTTATTCTGTATGTCATTGAGTGTGAGATAAACATGGCCATGCTTGTCCACACATCTCCATGACATGGCGAGTCAGCTGACTAGAAGAGAGCTTTTGTAGCTCCAGCAGTTAGCTGGACATTTATACATGTATACACATATATATAACTACTGATCATACAACAGTGCCTTTCAAACCTCAAAGTCTTCATAACATAGCTCTCAATGTACAAAAAAGGGTCAAACTGGCTTGCATTTACTCACAACCCAGACATGTCCACTTGCAGGTTGTGATTTATCCTTCTCACTACCCAGTGATTCACTTTTAATAACAGGCAGTGATAGGCAATGGATTTCTTATTACAGTAAGTATCACCCTTTTACAATCTATGGTATCACCATGAATATCATAATCATTCATATGTTTGCAATATAATCCACAAACGGATGTTCCTGCCACGTTTTTAAAGGCATTTTACTCGCATACACCAAGTTTGCTGAACAAACTAAACACAACATTTCCCATTATAATCAACGGATCTATCTACACTGCACGCGAGCGTGTAAACAGATTCGTTCATAATAGCCTTTAACGTTACTAGCTAGCCGCCGCGTCGCTGACAGTGTACACGACAGTTAGCCTAGTAGCTATATACCAAAATATTAAGGCGAAACATCACCGGTTTTAGTTGTCTGAGCACCATCTATATATGAAATACTGAATCCAGTACCTGGGGTTGCAGGTCAGCCATTATTAATATCGCTCTAGATTCCAGTCATCTATTAATGGCTCCGTTTCTACCGGCAGACACCATCATGCTCGTGTTCCATTCTAAATGAATCGTTCCGGTGAGTCGAATCTCTTCAATGAATCTTTTGAAAATTGGCCCGAACCGTCTCTTTTGACCTTGTTTTAATGTTTTATACAGTCTATGCTTTTGACGAAGCAGGTCCTATTAAAATGTGCAAAAATGATTTCAGATAGGTTGCACAAATTAATTTTATTAGGCCTGTTGTTTCATTTGTTATGGTTTAGATATTATTACGTTTTATTTTATTTTATTGAAACGTTTTTGATATTTTACAGCGGGAATTTAGGAGCACGAGATGCTTTATAATTTTTGAATAGTTTTTAACCGGATCTTAGAAGTGAACCGTTCAAAAGAACCGACAGCTTACCCGTGATGTGTTAATGACGGCTTGCTGGCACAGATCTGCGCAGGAGCAACACTCACGCACACAAATCATGACACAAATACGGGATTCGCTCTGTGCACGAGAAAAATGCTAACTTCCGGCTTGAGGGTGGAAATTGGGTACTTCGTTTCCGGTTGCCGTCTTGTTTACATCAGTGGACCGGCGTTAAGTTAGTTTAATCGTTCGCAATGGACCTAAAACATAAAAAAACCCGATTCACTTTTCAAAGGGCAGTCGGTGGTAATACCATAATTCCTCAAATAAAAGCTGGGGCCTTTATTTACCTAAACTGCAGAAGGTAACAGGCTTTTATTAGAGGCAGGCGCTTTATTTAAAAAAAAATCTAAATCAAATTTCCGTCTGGGTTCCATGCTCCTCAAGACAATTTCGTTTTCATTAAAGTTGTTGAAAAGACCGTTACACTAGCAGCACTAAATTATATGTGTGTTACATCTATTGTCTACTACCATCTATTGGCTGTACGTTACGATGAACTTGAATGCATATTAGGGGATGTTTACACCTGGCCACTTCATGTGTTTTCTCAGATCGGAAAGCTCTCTGATTTATCAAAACAATTCTACTTAAATCTGCTCACAAATGCGTTTTCGCAAAACGGATATAAATCTTCAATTCCCACGCTATATGCGGATTTAATGGAGTGGACGTCACCGAAAGCAACAGATATGAGCTGCATTTGATAGATCAGCTCATTTCTAAATCAAAAGACCGCAATAAGCGAGAGCGGCAACAAGCCTGGTAAGATCATTTAATTCGTTTCTTTACTTTTAATGATGAGGAGAATTGTCTGCGACTTACTTTCACTTTAATTTGCAATAGTTTGCACGTTGGCTTTATGGATAGATAGTTGTCAAGACGTTGTCACATCTTGCTATAACATTACATAGCCTATAACACGCTCTCACACTTATTTTTTAGCGTTTTTGGGAGGAGTAAAATTTAGATACGTGGTTTCAACAATCAGATGCATTTGATTTACACTTGTGCAGTTTCGTCTGGAATCTCGTCTCAGATCTCCTCCTGAAGAAGTGGTTTGAGCGATCGGATTTAAATTGTCTCGAATGTGCTTCGGATGGCATTTATACATGGTCTTTTCACGATCAGATCACAGAACACGCATGAAGTGGACAGGTGTAACATCTCTTCAATGAAAGTCATTTAGGAGATTATCCACACTAATTTTCCCCCGGCCTTTATTTGTCCGCGTTGATCACGCACCCGGCCATTATCAGAGGCCCGGCGTTTATTTGAATACCGGTTTTTATTTGAGGAATTACGGTAACCAGGCGCTGCTGCATTGTGAAAAGTAAACAATGTTTAACGTTACTTCTACGTCGTCCATCAGGCTACCGGAAACTAGACACCCCCTATCGGTTTCGCAGCCGGAAGTAGCATATGCTAACGTGCACATAGTCACTAGAAATGATAAAATATCAGTTCATTTAAAGTAGTCTCATTTCTATTTTCTAAAATATCAAAAAGCTAGCTTCTGAAAGTAGGGAATTTACTAGGCTACATTTGTTTTGTTTTTAAATATAATTAAGTAAAAGTTTTGAGAGTAGCTATCTAACAGCCAAAATGTATCATTTGTAATTCAGTAAGATTTGAGAATTAATTCTCATTTACACATTTTCTTAATAAAAGCTATATATCAGTAGGCCTACTTTTACAATGATAGGAGTGATTGAGAGCCTTAAAGTGTTAAAAACAATAACTACACACTGAGTACAAAGTGTCTGTTTGTCATGTCTGTTAGCTATGAGTCAAAGTTAGAGATGTGGGTGGTTGAAGAAGATATGGCACAACAAATCACACTGACCAAACAAACAGCAATAGTTTACTTGCTGAGTAGGCCTAATGCAGATTTAATAGAACATACAGAAACATTTCAACTGATTGAGTGTGTCTCAATCGGAGATTCTTTCCTGTTTAATGTTAATCACAGTTCCATCATACTATTGAGGATTAGTCATTTTACTAAAAAAAAATTCGTTTTATTTTTGCAGTTTGAACAATTCACATGTAATACATATGTACGCATTTTTAGCAACTAATGTAGTAGCCTAGTGGGCAGTTAAATTAAAATGTGGCCAGAAGAGAGCCTTCCTTCTATTCCAAAATCTCTCATTGTAAATAACTTTTTACATTAAATATTATAAGCCACATAAGATACCAACTGTTTATTGCTATAGTTTGTTATAGTGAAATATTCATTTGCATATACGTAGCCTATTACTTGATTGCTTAATGATTATTTATTATTGCTTTGTTCACATAATTTCTTCATTTCCCCAAAATGATGCCATCCCTGAACTGATTACCAAAAGCGTCACATCGAGAATTAAAGATTAACCAGCACTGCAGTCCCTCCTGTTCCAGTGCAGGGGGGCGTATGGTATAAATTCTGGGAGAGCAGCGCTGAATTATCTACAGCTGAGAACCTCACACTGTTGCTGGAACTGAAGTGTGAGCTCTACCAAAATGAAGCTTCTCTTATTACTTTTCCTGTGTGTTGTTGGAACTCTCACACAAGACGATTATGATGATTATGGAGCGGTAAATATTATTAACATTATAATATTTAATAGAATTTTAATATAAAATTTTGATAATGTAGTAATTATTGTCTTGTTTTTATTTGCCGTTTTGCTTCAGGAAGGAAAAAAAGAGGTAAGTCCTTTTTAAAATTCAAAATATTAATAAATAGTCAATTCAAATCTGCATAAATAATACAGAAAATATGATTAATACCCATATAGATACCCATAAATATGGATATATTTGTCAGTTATGGTTGATTAAGATTGTATTACATTTTAAAAAGAAACTTGTCAAATACAGAACCATATATATATATATATATATATATATGTGTGTGTGTGTGTGTATTCAGATCATATTTTGGAGTACATATGACCTCAAATGATATGGAATGTGCAAACAATTACATTAAAAAAATGCAGTGACATTTTTAGATGGATTGTTCTGAATTTAGCTTAAAGCAACTGTAGATCCCAGGGGTCATCGTCCTGTCAGTAGAGGTCGTGAGACGTACTCCTCAGGCCCAGCGGCCCCACCCCCCGTCAGTGGGGCAAGCCGTTATCGTGGACGACCAACTGCAGCGCCGGTGGGGAAAGCTACGCAGGAGAAGGAAGAGTACCCAGAATCGGGTGGATGTACCCACATGTCTGAGAAAATGGTCAGAGTGCCAATATGCTTTGATTCTATTTGTGCAGTATGTATTTAGATGGGCGACATAACCCATTCAGGCACTAAATTTCTGATATTTTAGGATAAGATGACAAAATTGTAAGTGAGGCCTAGAGGAATAATCTTAATAACATATAATCTCCCATTGAAAACCCATTTGTTCAACCATTATCTGAATATAACTGTTAATGGTGGTTACGGCCCTAATTTAAGTAAATACCACACAAACCACAATTAAATTAGTTTTTCTCTCTCTCTCTCTCTCTTCAGGGAGTGTTGTGTCCCACAGGTTGTGAGCTGAAGAAAACCCTCCAAAAGCAAGAACGTAACGTGAAGCCAACTGTAGATCAGCTGAAAAGATCTGTGGATGAGTTGACCCAGTCCACCAACTCTATCTATGGCTACGTCATGGATATGACTGCAGAAGTAGCACAAAGACAACGAGTCAGCGAGGGTAACTAAATATACGTCCTTCAGAGAGCTAAGAATCTTTTGATCTGGAAGTAATAGCCCAGGGTTTTTCAACTCCGGTCCTCGAGGTCCATTTTCCTGCAGGGTTTTGCTCCAACCCTAAACCAACACACCTGAACGAGCTAATCAGGGTCTCGGGATTACAAGAAAGTTTTAGGCAGATGAGTTTGATCAAGGTTGGAGCTAAACTCTGGAAGGTGGACCTTGTGGGCCAGAGTTGAGAACCTCTGCAAGTCTATTGTGATCAGACAAGGATGATTTTGATTAGCTTTCCTATAGCTCAGCTGTTTTATTCCCTGGGTTTGATTACCAGGGAACACATTTTGATCAAATATACATTCTGTAAGTCAATAAGAATTAAGGCATCTGCCAAATAAATAAAAATATCAACTCATTATCGGTTTTATAAGACATTCTCAATTATTAAACATCCCCCTCTTTGTGTTCTCTCATAGGCAATGGTATGCTGGTTGGTCAGTACACAGACAGTCTAGAGACACAGCATGCTTATGTTAAGGAGGCTGTGGACGTCACCTTCCCCCAGAATATCAAAATCCTACAGGCTGTGCTGGAGAAGGTCCGTGAGAAGATTCAGCGTTTGGAGAAAGCCATCACTACTCAGAGAGCCAAGTGCCAAGCGCCTTGTAAAGTCAGCTGCCCGATTCCTGTGGTTTCCGGCAAGGAGTGTGAGGACATTATCCGCAAAGGAGGAGAGGACTCTCAGATGTACCTCATACGGCCTGATCCGCTCAGTACACCCTACAAGGTCTTCTGCGATCAGACGAGTCAAAAAGGAGGTATGTCGACTTCATTTAAACAAACCCCTAATGTAACTCAGGATCTCAAAATCATGTGGCCTATTGAAGAAAGTCACGAGAAACACACAACCCAGATGCATTGGGAAAACGTGCCTGTGGCGACATTTCTGCAAAATGATATTACGTTACTTGAAAGTTTTGCAATACTTTCAATGTGAAATGTCCAGTGACGTGAGTGCCACTAAAAGTGATTTCAGTTTTATCTGAAACAAATGAATGTGAATCTGTTGTATTTAGGCAGTTAGTTAGGACATTAAATGTCTAATGAGTGGTACTAAAAGGTTAATGCGCTAATGCCTTTGAAAATAATGTCGCATCTATAAACACCACCATAATCCTAACCAGTAATGGTAACAAAAGCAAATGTGATATAATAAAGCTTTTGCTATAGCAGCCATGCCATTTTAGCTTGATTCTATCAGTTTTTAGCTCATTTATTGCGATTGATGTTTCTCGGGATTCCAGAGCAAGTGCATTGCTGTATGAGGTACGCTACTGAGCAAGTTTACAAAAAATAAATCTTTCATAATCGATAATCTGCTCCTGTAATCATCATTTGTGTGTTGTTGGTGTCATACTGCCACTAATGGTCATTTCAGCTGGAAACCGTATAGTTTTGGAGTTTTGCAAAAAATGTAGGTAGAGGCGTGTTTTTCCAATGATGCAACCATCATCATAAACTTCTCTGTTATTCCAAAGGTTGGGTGGTCGTCCAGAGCCGAATGGACGGCAGTGTTGATTTTGGCAGGCGCTGGGACGACTACCGAAGAGGCTTTGGAAACATTGCATTTGATGTGGGCAAAGGCCACTGCGAGACTCCTGGTAAGCTATGGCTAACAAATAATATGCAAAACCATGATATAAACATGATCTAGCCAAGAAGTTACTTCAGACTAGCATTGCATATTGTGTGGTTAGACCCTGCAGAAAAGACCAAGATGTTGTGTTATGTTGTGCTGGTTTCCCCTACCAGGCTTCTTAACTAGCTAAACCAGCAAGCTTACATGTTCAACCAGTATTGCCAACAAAACAAAACAAAAAACCTGGTGAACAGCATTTATTCACCAGTATAAACCAGCCTGCTGTACCAGAATAGCAGTTCTAAACACTGGTCTTTCCAGCAAGGCTCTCAATATCAATGTTACATTCACTGATTTACCATATCATCTCATTCTCTAATTAACCTGTTGTGGACTGTTTTAGGTGAGTACTGGTTGGGTAACGAGCGTATTAGTCAGCTTACAAAGATGGGTCCCACCGAGCTTCTGGTTGAAATGGAAGATTGGTCCGGTTCAAAGGTCTACGCTCAGTACGAGCAGTTCACTGTTCAGGGCGAAGCCACCAACTACATCCTAGCAGTTGGTCGTTACTCAGGAACAGCTGGAAACACGTTCTTAGATGGCGCAACAGAACTGTTTGGAGAAAACCGTACCATGACCATCCATAATGGCATGATGTTCAGCACCTATGACAGAGATCACGACAAATGGTTCGTATGGTACACATAGTTTGTCCTAATGATGGCCAGACTGAAAACTGCATGAAAAAACGTCAATATCAAATGTTCTTTCTCTCTCCAATTGTGTCAAACGTAAACAGGATACCTGGAGATCCTTCTAAGCAGTGTTCAAAGGAAGATGGAGGCGGATGGTGGTACAACCGATGCCACTCTTGTAATCCTAATGGGCGATACTACAGGGGCGGAGCTTATACAAAATACATGGCCAAGCATGGGACAGATGATGGTATTGTGTGGATGAACTGGAAGGGCTCGTGGTATTCGCTCAAATCTATCAGCATGAAGATCAGACCTTTCTTCAAATCATGATAAAAGTGAATTGAAATGAGATACTGTGTGTCCATTCTTGTGTACATTCTCGTCCAATGCCACTCATTTCTTTTAGATTTTTTTTGGAGAAATAGGAGGATAATAAAACCTGAACCTAAATTTTTACTAGAGCTATTATTTGTATTTGCATAAACGAGTTTTACTGAACTTGAAACATTCCGAACTGTGTTATTGGAAGTGTTTAAAAAGGAATATATCCAAAACAGTGTAAAACAAGATGGATACACAATCCACCTAATTCTCATTAAAGCTGACCTATAAAATACACATTAAACGAAGTGTCTTCAGTATTTATGTTTTTTTTTTTCTTATAGAGCAACAGTAGTATCAGTTTGGTATGAGATGTATGAAGCTGCAATAACAATAAATTCAGGCATATTCAAAATGACTGAATATAAACACATACAGTTGTTTCTTTGGCACTTTATGAGTACTTTTGACATTGTGGATTTTTTGAAAATAATTTGTATTAAAACCCTTTTCACACTCTCACATGGTTTATTTAATTTGTCTACTAATAATTTCACAAAAGTGAATATACATGCATCATGGGAGAATTATTTGTTTTTCTATTCTGTGATAGAAATGACAATGTAGACATTTTAAAAATAATAATAAACAAAAACAAAACAATAAAGTACCCCTTTAAACGGTACTAATATGTACCATTGAAGCACTATTATGTACATTTAAGGTACTAATATGCACCCTTTAGGGGTAAATAAGGTACAAACACGTACCTTTTGAATAGGTGCCGCTCCAATAACTTTTTTTCTGTGAGTGTATCCTAAACATACACAATTAAATAACAAAAAAATTTATTGACATAATTAATTACATAAAAAAATACATATTTTACATAATTACAGCTTATTGGAAATGACTTCACATGTCTCATGTTACATCCACAGCATGCTTATTACCCATTTTGTTGTGTTCTTGGTAAACAAACTTTTTTAGGGGCAAAATTGTTTGGTTGAAACATTGTTAATAAACATTGTTTAATGTCATACTTAACTAAGTGTAAAAATGAAAAAGTGGCCAAACACCTACACACACACATATGCCTTATGAAAAATGTTGTTTTATTGGCACAGAAGTCATGATACTCATTAAAACGTTACACAGTTGTGAGATTTTAATGAGGTAAATTTGTGAAATTTGTGACATTCACATTTGCTTCTTAGTTGCAACTAAGGTCTTTTTTTCTTCTGCTGTTAAGAATAAAATATTTGTTTTCTAACACCAGGAATATTGGACATAAGTTAGATATAAAATAAAATAAAAAAACAAGAAACTGTTAAGGTGATATTGGCAAAATAAATGGCACACGTGATCTTTAAATAAATATGCAGCAAATATTTAACACAAGAAATAAGTATTTGTCAGAATAGATTACTCGTATACATTACCAAACCATGCCGTGTTAGATAAAAACAATCCCTCATATTACTAATCAAGACATAAATATGATTAAAAATCTTCAAGGAGTTCATCTAAAACCACCTGATGCTGCCCAATGTCTTCAAACTTTGTGAGAAGCTCAGTGCGAACAATGGGAATTTTACGATAAGTGGGGGACACAGCGGGCCGATCAGCAGACTGAAGTTTTAGTTTTTTGACTTTGGCGAATGATATCCGCCTCTTCGAGATTTTGCTGAACTGCGCCATTTTGATCTCCATATCTTTGAAGGCTTCGTTATCAACGGCATGGTCAAAGGTTTGCTTGCATGATCCTTTGCACGCACGGATTTTGATGTCAATGTCCACCTTCACTCCAAAGAATTACACAAAAACAAGTCTGAATCAGGGCAAAAGTTACATTTCAACCTTCAAGCAAATAATGAAATCCCTGACTCACGCGTTTTTGCAGAACATTTGATCAAATATATTGATTATGTGAACCTGAATTTACTCAACTGACCTTGCAGTCAAAAAAAAAAAAAAAAAAAAAAAACCCAGCAGTGTTGAAGAGGCTTTAATAAACTTCTCAGGCTGTAATTTACCTCTCAGAGATATTTATTCATATGTTATTTGAATGTTCAGATAGTATGACTTTGACTGCACCATTGGCTTACAAAGGTTGAGAACAGCTCAAATAAAAGACTTTGGTAAATACCTTACCTCAGTTCGACGGATTTCATTGATCTGATCCCAGATCATGCGATGATGCTTTCGTAAGTCTTCTGCAAGTTTCGCAGACCTCTTGTGCAGGAATGTTAGGTTTCTATGAAGTTCTTCAGCAAACTCAGCATATCTGATCTCCTGCACTGCACATGGAGAAAACCATCAGACCTCCTCAGCCTTTTGTAAATGACTGAAAATGATAATACAACAGATTTTTCTATTTTTGTTATGTTTTGTCGAAGGGGCCTTCTGAGTAATTACTCCGAATCTTGAAATGAATGTACTCTTCTGTTCGGCACATTGGCAGAATCCTCTGGAGATGAACCCTTTAAAAGATAATTCTCTGAGGAACATAGATGGAAGCTATTAGTTCCAGTCAATGATTCCTCCAGTGACCTCTTTAGAAGGCACTTGAAATATATATTAAAACTGTGTGAGAACAGAAATAAATTATCTTAGGCAACTTCAAAAGGATGTAGAGGTTATCTTGAGGATTCCTTCTTGTGTTGCAATCTAAGCAACTCCAAATGGTGCTTCAGGTATCTTTCCATTTTTATCTTTTTTTTTTTTTTACACAAAACAAAAAGATATAAAAGCATATGAAAAGAACCATAAAATTGAACATACTATATGTTTGGATGATAGCTTTTCTTTGTAACCCATAAAGCTGGACACTCATTTGCATTACTGATGAGGTGATGCCCTGATTCTGTTGAATCCTTCCACAAATATTTCTCAGTCGTTTCCGAATGTCTTCATCTGCCACATTAATAAGACCCTCCAGTTGACATCCAGATGGACATTTATCCTCCTGCAAAAGATAAAAATCACAAAAACATTCCAGTACTGACTAATTACAACAATTGTGGAATAACAATTTCTCTTAATCTAGAATTTCTCTTAATCTTTTCTTAGTTAATGAATGCACTTTTATTATTTCATAGTGGTTTGTGATGTGCAATATAATATCTGATTATTTAATTTATTATTTATTACTAATTTACTTATTAATTAATCTACTAAAAAAACAGGGTTTTCACAGCGATGCCATAGAAGAACTTTTTTTTTTTAGAGTGTGATTCTCCAAAATCACTCACCCTCTCCTCATCAGAGCACAAAGGGTTTGTTGACCATGCTGGACACTGTCCAAATTTGCTGAAACCAGAGTGATTATGTTGTTTGCGACTGGATTTCAAGGTTGTACACACTGCAAAAAACCAAACACACTTGCATTACACTTCAATGTTTGTTATCAGATGGGTGATGGTGAATAATTTTGAACATTTCGTTCACATTAATAGGGTAATATCATTTGATTGTGATATATAGTGGTAATGTTGTAAGGTCATGGTTTGTTCTACAATCTTGATGTGAAACCACCTTATAAAGTCTAAAATAAATAAAATAACTTGTATCAAAACCAGTAGGGCACAGACGACTACAGTCTTATATTAAATACTGAATATATTAAAGGTAAATGAGTTTTAATTATTAACTGTGGTCAAGATGATAATATGATCTTTAGGATACACTGCCAGAAGAAAATGTGCAGAAAATTTGCCACTCAACTTTGTATCTAATCTACCCCTAAAAGGTGCATATTAGTACCTTAACCTACTCTTAAGGTACAACTGTGAAACTTTTAGAGGTAAATAAGGTTCAAAGATGTCCTTTTGAGGGTACTGCCCCAGTGACAAAGGTCTGATTTTTGCAAATGTTTTGCTGAGACATACTAAAATAAGCTTTATTTATTGAAAAGGTAAAGAAACCATGATTATGTAAGCAGATGGTCTTTTTTTGTGGTTATGACTTAGCTTTAAAGTGTCTATTTCCAGAAAAATATTCTAAAAGCAGATATTTTGACATTTTAAAAAAAAACACACACACACAGTCCAAAACTTAAAGTGAACACATTTTTATTGGAAACATGAGGTATGATGGTTGTGTAAAAATATACATGGCAACATTACAGCTTTACATTATGACAAGCATGCTTATTGATACTGATCATTCAAAGCAATGGCTATCTGTCCTCTCCCCCCCAAATCCCCTCTTTTTCAATTTTCAGACAGGTCTGATCTTCATTCTCACTACTTTGAGAGAGTAATCAGCTGGTTTGAAAAGCAGCCACACGACACCATTCTCAATCTCATAAGGGACTTTGGTGTTGGGGTCGTACTGGCCTCCTTTATAGTAAATCCCATTGAGATTGGCTGACTGGCAGTTATTGTACCACCACCCTCCACCATACATCTCCGCACAGTTCTCCTCCCACTTATCGTTGTCCCTATCAAAGGTGCTAAACTTCATGCCAGCATGTGAAAGGAAGGATCCAAGCTTAGGCTGTCCGTTCACTAACGCATCACCTGCGTCCCCCGTGTAATGGGACACGGTCAATGGGAACCCATCTGCCTCCGAGCCAACTCTAAAACTGTACTCGGCATATACCTCGTTCCCTTGCCAGTCCTGCAGCTCAACTCTCAGAAGACTCTCTTTCTGAGTGAGAAGGTGTAGAAAGATGTTGCCGATCCAGACCTCGCCCTTACCCTGTTGGTCTACCTGCCCAAAACCATTTCGATACTCCTTCCAAGTGCGATTGAAGTTAACAGACCCATCCTCCCGCTGCTGAACCAGAGCCCAGCCCCCCATCCCAGTGTCCTGGTCACAGTAAACCTCTACTACCTCCTCCGACCCAGCCAGCTTAATTTTGAACAGGCCGCTCTGACCGCCGTTAACATGCTTCTGCTGGATTTCAACGCAATCTGAAAGAAGATTACACACCTGCTGATTAGAGCAAAGCTGCATTGCAAATTCGCTTCATTAATTTCGGAACTAATATGGAATATACATAGTTCTGTAACCTTGTTTCTGGATGGGTGGATCTGAGTGCAATTAAATGTGACATGTTGTTTGTAATTACTTGGATATTAGTTTAGTACATTTACACCACATGCTTCCAAGAAGATCTAAACAAACTCTTGCTAATATTGTCAGTATTATCAAGAGAATTTAATTTGCTAATGGTTCACTTGTGTATGTTGCTTGAGTTAAGAGTTTCACTCCAGTGTACCTCCACCAACAAAGCCAGCCTTGCGCTCGTCCTTCGATTTCAAACTTCGTGCGTGGATGTCGGGCAGATCCTCTTCGACATCAGCACGCATAAACGCCCCGAGGTCATCCCCATCAAAAAATGGGTCGCTAGAGAAGGTGGTCTTTGAGAAACTTTTGCTTCCATCTGACACGACTGTTTTTGTGGAGGATGAAGATGAGGATAACCTTTGGGTATCAGTGCCAAGCCCCTTGAAGAAGTCTTCACCGAAGCCGCCTAGATCACTGGTGCCGTGAGTGAGAGAAGTGATAGACTTTTCATCCCCACCAGTCATGGTTATTTTTGTGTTGCCACGGCTCAGATCTTTCCCATCTTTGGGTGACGTCAAAAATTCGGAATCAGAAATTGCTAGTTTTACTAAATCTTCACACCCGGGCCCGCTAGACGTAACCTCGGTCTTCTCCACGGGGCCGTCTTTGGTGTGTGTTACCACTTTGCGCACTGTCTTGGTGCACTGCTTGACGGTGGAGGTGGAAGAGGAGGAGGAGGTATGCGATGAAGAGGAGGAAGTTGAGCCCATACCTGATGTGGGGAACTTGCTAACAGTTGCGGCAGATTCGGCAGTGGAACCTTCCGCCTCCAGAGTAAGCTGCATCTGACCCACGTCCCCGAAGAGGAGCTGCTTCTGCTCGGCTTTACCCGTTCCACTTTTGTATATGGAGGGTAACACCACGTCCTTCAACGGCCTGCTCTTCATGATTCCCAGGGAACTGACTGTCTCCACACTCTGCACGCGCATAGTGTCCAGATGGTCCATTTGCTTGTCCAGAGACACGTAGCTCTCCCTGTCCACCGTGAACTCACTGTAGCTGGCGCAAGAGCCTTTGCATGTGCGTAGTTTGATGTCAATGTCGACCTGCGCCAAGAGAGCATTGGGAGAATGTGCTTTAATAGTAAGTTATATCAAGAAATCAGTGTATAGATAGATAGATAGATAGATAGATAGATAGATAGATAGATAGATAGATAGATAGATAGATAGATAGATAGATAGATAGATAGATAGATAGATAGATAGATAGATAGATAGAAATATTTTTTCTCACCTCAAGTCGCTGCATTACAATAACTTGATCTTTGACCTGCGACTTCAGAGCGTCCAGTAACCGGAGTTGACGGTCGATTTTAATCTTGATATCAGTAATTCTCTGTCTCAGCTGATCAGCCAATGAGGCGTACCTGTTATCATTACCTGGGTGAAAGTAGAAAACATTATTTGAATTGTCTTCAGAAAATAGTGTGAGCTTCCAAAAATTAACTTTATACTTGGCATTAATTATGAAAAATCAAAGATTGAATCAAAGCGAATCCTTACCGGCGGTAGAGGTCAGTCGCTCTCTTAGGTAAGTGTAAGTGTTTTTGGACACTTGATCAGCAGAGCGATAAAGTTTCTTGCCCTCGTCCAGGAGACTACGAATCCTCTCAATCTTCTTGAGGATATCGTGGTCAGCTTTGTCCATGAGGCCTTGAATTCGGCAGCCGGATGGACATTTGCTTCCCTGATGAAATGAAATGGTCTTTAGCTAATTTGTTGTTGGGCCTTATTGCACTTTTCTGTGCTTGATGAAATCTTCAATCGATATGGATGACTTAAATAATAAATAAATAATACATACCCAGTCATCATCTGTACACATAGGCCATTCTTTTTTCTGACAGGTATCTTGTGCCTTGTAACCGTGTTCAATAGGACGAGCACCTCTAGGGTTCACGACTGTGTCCTCTGACTGGAAAAAGAGTCAGAGAGGGAAAACTAGTTTAAGTGTGCAAATACATTGTGATCAATGCATAAATAAGTCAATTATTAGTGGTATTTGTTTAAGAATCCAAATGGGTTTAAATAAATGCAGTGCATGAAAGAAAAGGCAGAAAGAAACTTACCAGGGCAGAGGACACGACCACGAACAGGCAGAAGAGCGAGTGTGTGAGCTGCATCTCTGGCCTCTTTGTGCAGAATACAGACTCTCACTGCTCACACATCCCATATGAACCCTTCTGATTGATCAACAGATTGACTCATTATTGACCATCGTCACTGATTCCCCAGACCCGCAATCTGGAACAGAGAACAGTGTGTGAACAAACTTGCCCTCCCAGAAAGAGAGAGAGAGAGAGAGAGAGAGAGAGAGAGAGAGAGAGAGAGAGAGAGAGAGAGAGAGAGAGAGAGAGAGAGATGCAAATTACACAATTTTGACCATTATCAACTGGTTTACGGGAAAGATGACATTTGTACTTGTACAAGAACTGACACTGCAGTATGACATACTCCTACATTCTTCGTGGGGCTAGGAACATATTAATGGAATATATTTTTATTGTATCATTTATTATTATAATATTTAAAAATATATATATTTGGGGACTTAAGGGGTCAGATTTATTTAATTTTATTTCAAATAAATGCTGTTCTTTTGAACTTTATATTTATCAAAGAGTGCTGAAAAAAGTATCGCAGTTTCAACAAAAATACTAAGCAGCACAACTGTTTTTATAATTTATAATAATAAGAATCTTTTTTTCTTTTTTTTGGACAGCGAATCAGAAGATTAGAATGATTTCTGAAGGATCATGTGACACTGAAGACTGGAGTAATGATGTTGAAAATTAAGGAATAAATAGCATGTTAAGATATATTAAAATAAAAAAACAGTTATTTTAAATTGTAATAATATTTCACAATATTACAGTTTTTATTTTTTTATTAAAAAAAATGCAGCCTTGGTGAGCTAGGAGACTTTTTCAAAAATATACTGATCCCAAATATTTTAACGGAAGTGTATATGGCAGAAAGTTGTTTAACATTTGAACTATATTTTACACATTTTTTATTTAATTTTAGGGTTGTGGATAGATCATTGCTTACTGACTGATTCAACAGGATGATTCACTGAATGTTTGCAAACGTGATTTGCACATTGAAAGTGGGAACTTGTGTCTGTGAAGATCATTTCTAGGACTGTCCTTTTCAATTACACAACTAATGTTTGTTTTAAGTTGTTTTTGATGTGCACTCTCGTTGCACTACAGATAACATATCTTATGTTGATGAAAGACAGCTCAGCTTTAATGTTCTTTAATGTTCTTTAAACATAATTTTAGAAAGGATAACAATTTCGGCTACCAAACAGAATTTAATTTGAATACATTTATTATTAAAAAAAATAAACACCATACAAAGTGGCATTTTGCTTCTGAAATGATATTACAAATCGCATATTTAATTGTTAAATTTGGTGACAATTTCTGTATAGAGAGCAGTAGGCCTATAGTAATAAATATAATATAGCAGCACATATAATGCACATAATAGTGTGTGTGTGTGTGTGTGTGTGTGTGTGTGAACTGTCCTAGAATAGTGTGTGTGTGTGTGTGTGTGTGTGTGTGTGTGTGTGTGTGTGTGTGTGTGTGTGTGTGTGTGTGTGTGTGTGTGTGTGTGTGTGTGTGTGAACTGTCCTAGAGTAGTAGGAACTACGATAACATAATTTTGTCCTACACGGATGAGATTGTGTGTAGAACGAGAATGTACTTTGAAAGTCCAGTCTTGTAGTAAGTGTGCTATCGTCTGTCCGCATAAAAAATAAAAAAATAAATTCAAAAGAAACGCGTTTGTCGATCATGACGAATCTCACGCGCATATCCGGGAGTTTGCATCGTTTGACATTGAGAGTTTGTTCAACCTTACCACTGCCTTTCTTCGGGAATAATGTTTCATATTCACACAATATCACCAAATCTGCAACTACTGTCAGATGTTTTACAAGAAAATCACGTCACAGAAGCAGTATCAGACATTACGCCTCATCAGCACACCGAACTCTACGTATTGGATGCGCGTCGGGGTTTTGGGGTGATACTGCAACGTCAGGTATTTAAATTAAATTACTTTACTTTATGTAATTTGACATTGGTTATAAGTTATTTATCCATCTCTGCATATTTTAGTTCTTGACAAGAACGTACACAAAACAAGCGAACTAGTTGTTTCCTTTACTGGCCACTAGATGTCACCAAAGCCTTTTCACACTTTCTAACCTCCCTGACGCCAAACTATTTGTTGTTTGACTTTTACTGCATTATATTAAATTACATCAAAACAACCGTGAATCTGAAAACAAATAATTAACTACTAAACATTTTCTTCCAGCTTGTTCTCTAGCTAATTTTAGTGGACTTATGTATGTTCATAACGTTTAACAACCACAAATGTCCAAATATTTTGGTCTTTGAACGGCCTCATGTTACCACGATAGGCTATAGTTAAAAAAAAAAAAGTAAAATGTTTTGCTCATAAAAGTATGCTAGTGCAATGTTTATCTAGAAGAAATGCCACTTTGTTTTTGTTTTTAATTAATTCATTTTTAGGTGTCCAAATAGCCTACTGTTTGGGCCAATTTTGTCTTGATGAAATTGTGTAAAAAGCACCATCAAATCTCACAAAATCTCTCCCATGCAGTTCCTCAGCTCATATATGGTGGGAAATTGGACTTCCTTGTGTTTGATTATCTGTCAGAAATCACCATGTCACTGCTCTCAGCAGCCAAAGCTAAAGCACCTGTAAGTTATTTATACCTGATGTGACCCACAAAAGCTTTTGTTGGTGTACGGTAATAAAGTAAGGGTGATTCTGTGACATTTAATAATATTTTTGACTTAATTTGTTAATTATGATACACACTTAGATTAACAATGCTCCCTTTTCTTTAAGAATATGGGATACGCTCCTGATTTCGTCCTTTCACTCACCCCATTTATTAAGGATATCAGCAAAAGAGGTAAAGTTATGTTAAGTTATGACAAGAATGTGACTTTTATCCAGACACATTTTTTATTAGATTAATGAATGTTTTTATGGGTTTTATTGTGTTATGATTATTTTTATTATATAATATAACATGCAAAAATGGTTTATCTTTATTCATAATATTTTATGGAAATACTTTTTAGACTGAATGTCTTGTTGTCATGCTGTTTTTCTTTCTTCCTGTAGGCATTCGCGTGGTCAGTAATGCTGGAGGTGTCAATCCTCTTGCCTGTGGAGCAGCTTTACAGGAAGTAGTTAAAAAGGCGGGACTTGACTTGAAGGTAGCTGTGGTTACTGGCGATGACCTGATGCCAAAGGTAATTGAACTTTAGTTTATTTATGCTTATGCGATGCATGGGCATTTACTCGCTTCATAGGAACTGACATGTTGACATCACATGACCAGCCAAATACTGCTCTTTTTATCTCAGTAACCCCCTATTATTGGACACTTTCACTTAATATAGTCATGACTGACTGCAAATACCCACAGTTCTACAAATCTTTAGCTTTTTCCTGATGCTACAGCCACATCACTAGGTGTCAGTATAATCTAACGTGAAAGCCATATCTGATAGCCAAATGATACATCACAACAAACAATACAGTTTTGAATGCACCTTAAGGAGATTTTGTATTTAGTGTCTTAGCATCTATTATTCAACACACATTGATGAATATTTAAGGGCATCATATTGACTAGATATTTTTTTTTTTTTTTTTTTTTTTTTTTTACAAAATTTGAATAATACTTATTCAGTATATATACTTTATTTCAGACTTTCTTTTTATCAAAGAGTCCTGAAAATGTGTTATTAGTTTCCACAAAAATATTAAGCAGCACAACTGTTCATCATTGATCATAATAAGAAATATTTCTTGAGCATCAAATCAGCATATTAGAATGAATTCTGAAGGATCATGTGACACTGAAGACTGGAGTAATGATGCTGAAAATTCAGCTTTGCATCACAGGAATAAATTACATTTGAAAGTAAATTCAAAAAGAAAATAGTTATTTTAAAATGTAAAAATGTTTCACAATATTACTGTATATTTGATTAAATAAATGCAGCATTGGTGAGCTTAAAAGCATTAAAAAATCGAACGGTTGAGTATAGTTAATACTTTAACACTACTTATGGGTAAAGGTGTGTATTACCCCTGGGAAGCACCAGCTGTAAAACATTACTCTTATTGGAAGATTGCAATTTCATTGCAACAATTCTTATGGGTTTGTTCAAATTCCTAAACTAAGTATGAGTTATTACTATAGCCATAGCACTAATACTATTATATCCTCTACCCTTACTTAGGAATTTTTAGACAGTGTTGAAATCTTTCCTGTGATCTTTTGGTTTGTTGTGTATCCTAGAAAGACTCTTTGACTGAACTCAGGATGACTGATTCAGAGGGAAAGAAACCACTTCCAAAAACCGTTCACAGCATGAATGCGTATTTTGGGTAAGAACTACAAGTTAATTACAACGTGTCATTGGTCCTGTCTGTTATTCATGCCTGGAGCTGCACTGGTGGTTTGAGCATATGAGATTCAGCTTTCTCGTGTCTGTATCTCTCAGCGCCCTCCCCATTAAACGTTGCCTGGATCTCGGGGCTGATATTGTTGTGACGGGACGCTGTGTGGACAGCGCTGTGGTTCTTGGACCGCTGATGCATTCTGTACGGTTTGTCACGCAGGAGCGTTCTTCAGATTTCTTGTACAACAGACATTGTGTAACAGACTCATCAGTAACTAACGACGAGTTGGTAATTTGAACCTTCTTCATGAAAACAAAACCGAAACAAGTTACACACCAGCAGCGTATCTTTTCAGAAAGAGCTAAGTTTACTTTAGCTTCTACAGGGAGAGGTCCAGACTTTCAAAATCAAAAAGAAATTCACATTCAAAGTTTTCTTGTTAAGCTGTTATTGTTGTGGTGCTTTTAACAGTATTTCTGTACATATTTGGCAGTATTCATTCACAAAAAGTGCATATTTTGCATCCACAGAACCTCTTCTCAGTCTAACATTTGAATTTTTAAGACAAACCTAAAGATTCCTTGACTTTATTTAATTTTCAAAAAATATATAATTAAAAATCTTGTAAATATATATTTTAATGTTTTTAAAATAAGTCTGTTATAAATAAGTGTATACATAATTTATATAGCATGTTGACAAATTCTTATTAGTCTTTGATGTTTCATTTTATGTTTTTTCATTCTTAGTTGCATTAGATTTTCATTATTGTAATTTATTTCAAAATACTGTAAGTAGTATATTTACACATAAATATATATATATATCAAAACCAAGATTTTTTTTTAAATAAGTCTCTCTTAAATGCACAAATTATTTACATAAATCTTATTATAACATTTGTCTTTTAACAGTTTGCCTGGGAATCCAATAACTATGACCTGTTGGCTGCTGGAAGGTACTGTTGAATCTGTGAGCTCTTGAAACACACACACACACACACACACACACACAAATACACACACTGGTGTGAGGTGAACATAAGGTCAGACAGTCATACATGAATCATTTGTTTTTGTCGCGTGTTGTGAAGGACCTTTCAGTGTAAGAATATGTATGGTTAACCACATTTATGTTATAAGTCAAGGTCTGTTCCTGTTTTGGTTACCATGAAATTTCATGAGAATTTTTTTTCTGTTGTAGCCTTGCAGGTCATCTGATTGAGTGCGGTGCACAGGCCACAGGGGGGATTTTCACAGACTGGCACACAGTTCCTGACTGGTAACAACTCAAAATCTGATATATTCATGGCACATTTAAACTCAAAATCAAAAGAGAAAAATTCATTGCATCGTGAGTGACTGTTTCATGACAGCACTTTTTCCTCCATAAATTCTCATTACAGTCAGTTATCTTGATGATTCTTTGATGTTTCACTTTTATGTTTTTCTCAGAGGCGGACAGAGTACACAGCTTTGTTACTTGAGTAAAAGTACAGATACCCCCTTGCTAAATTTTACTCAACTACAAGTAAAAGTACTACAGTCAGATGTCTACTTAAAGGTGCTCTACGTAACTTTTAGCGGCCTCTAGTGGTGATGTTTCAGATTGCAACCAAATTTTACAAGAGCGCTCGTGCTCAAACTCATAGACAATACCGTCTATTACGCAAATATCTCGGCGAATACTTGACGGATTCGGCGAGCACCGAGCTCGTTGGGACCATATAGTCGAGCTGAAAAGAACCATATAAGTTCCATAGTTTTTGGTGGTGTTTAGCAGAATATTAGATATTAGCAGAAAACCATCGGGCGCGCTGCAAAATTGCGGACGCCGGTGACGTCACGATCTCAGAAGAAAATCGCTCGTATCTCTGGAACGCAAAGACCCAGAGAGCTCAAATTCGGGGGAGGAGGTCCCAGGGGAACCCTTGCCCGAACGCTAGAGTGGTGGGCCTCGGGGATGCCCCCTACCGGATCTGGGACCCCCGATTTCGAACAGCTATAACTCGGGGAGCCGGGCGAGTTGGACCTCGGGGGTGGGCTCGTTCGAAAGGCCCCGTCCAGCACTACGAACGATTAGAGTCTTGGGAATATTGATCAAAGATTGACTGAGATATAAGCCGAAAAACGTGCGCCTTTAACCGGACGAAACTCCCTGACCGTAGACTGTATATAAGGAGAGAGGCTCGGGAGCGCGCATGCACGTCACATCCGTTGGATTTCGCGGTAAATCCGACCCGGAGACTTCACATAGAAATAGGAATACTGGCCTTCAGAGGTAAAAGCAAAACCCGACAAGTGGATCATTGTAATGTGTGATTACAACCCCTTCACACACAGACAATAAAAAAGGATTCATTTTAGAAGAAAAGTTCCATATAGCACCTTTAAGTAAAAGTACTGAAGTACTTGTTTTTAAAAGTACTTGAGTATCAAGAGTACAAGAGTAAATTTTCTAAATATTGTATTACTACTGCCACAGTGTCAAGTCATCTTCATTTATATAGCGCTTTTAACAATGTAGATTGTTTCAAAGCAGCTTTACAGAGATAAACATATAATTTAAGGTAACAGAGATTGTTTTGGCTTTATAGCGATTCTTGAATAATGTTATTTCCAGCTAAAGTTAGTTTTGATTGATTCACTTCCGTCGAAATGATCATTTGTTATTAAATTAGGGGCCGCTAAGACGACACCGTTCTCTCTAAATAGACTTTAAACTGAACCTGTGATAAACGCTGATGGCGTTCACATGCGCGTTAAGAATTGATTCTATAGTTATGTGTGTTCGAATATATGTGTGCAGGTTTGTAATTCCCTACAAACCATGCCTAAAAAAACTACTTGTCTTTGCCTATAAATTTGATACAGAATTTTATTTTATCACTTCGGGGTAGGTACGCGAACCGTGCTTACATTTATGTACAGAAACGTCCTACATGGAGTTATGAAAAATGTTAATGTTAATACCTTTGATAATCTAAAAGGAATTGAAAGTTAATTCAAGTCATTTTCATCTTTTTACCATGTTGCTTTATTTAACATTTCTCACTTGCCCACAAAGCAATGCACAATGGCAACGCTCTGACAAACCTCTGCTAGAGTTTTAATGGATTTTTTGCACCCACATTTGAACCTGTTTCGTCCATGGTTTCGTCTCTTATCTAAATCTGACCATGGAGTTGACTTTGGCGGAAAGCTGAAGGTGATTGCTGATAGGCTGTCCCAATCAGTGGCGCCTGCACAATCCAATCACGTTTGAGAGGGAAACAACAAATTGAGGGTTTCCGAGATTTTTCTTTTTTCCTTTTTTTTCTTTCTTTTTTTTTTAGAAGTAACCGGTACTCACGGTTATGGATAGAAATGTAGTGGAGTAAAGAGTACAATATTTGCCTCTCAAATGTACTTGAGTAAAGTCATGAGTAATCCCCAAAAATGATACTCGAGTAAAGTACAGATCCCTCAAAATTGTACTCAAGTACTGTACTCAAGTAAATGTACTCCGTTACTGTCCGGCTCTGATTCTCAGTTGCATTAGATTATCATTATTGTAATAACGGACAGAGAACTAAGGAGAACTCGGGTCCTAAGTACACAGAGCAAAGTAAAGAACTAATGAGATAATTGATGAACCAACAGGTTAATGGGATGAATAAACAGACAAACTGAAAACTGTCAAACAGGCAGTGAAGGAAGACAGAACCAAAACACAATGAAACATAGCCAAAACAGAACATAACTGACTATAACTGTAACATACAGTATACTGTATATATACCTGAATGCAGTATTTCATACTTAATTTCATTAAGACATCATATCTTTGCTTAAAGATTGTCATGAAAATAATGTCACAGTGCCAAAAAATCTGATAACACATTATTTTACAATGTCCTTGTTACACGTACTTACTATTGTAGTTACTATAACTTGTGCATAATTACATGCAACTAACCCTAAACCACACCCTAATTCTAAACCTAACCCTATAGTAAGTACATGTAGTTAATTATTGTTACTCAGTATTTAAATGTACTGTAACACAGACACCTTAAAATAAAGTGTAACCAAAAATCCTAATGGTCCAGAAAAAGGCTTTCTTCTCTTTAAGTAAAATACAATTTGTTGTTAATTCTAATTATTATGTGCATTCTCATTTGATTTGCAGGGATAACATGGGCTTCCCTGTGGTAGAATGTTCTGCTGATGGTTCATTTACACTGTCCAAACCTCCAAAAACCGGTGGGCTCGTTTCATTTGGTACAGTGGCAGAGCAATTAGTGTATGAGATCGGAGACCCACAGCATTACCTCTTACCTGATGTGACATGTGACTTCTCCAATGTCACCATTACTGAAATCCCAGGTCATTATTTTTTTTTAGTCAGCTTTTACTGGATCTTACATGCATGGTTGTTTCTGATACTCTGGCAGTAGCATATTTAAAATTATTAATAATTTTAATATTGTGGAGACAACTTTAAGCAAGCCGAAGCTCGTTGGTGACAGTAGTTATCTCCAGGAGAAAGTCCTCACGCAGTGATCAGATTGTTGTTTATTATCTCTAAATATCTGACTCAGAGACGCAGCCCCATTGATTTTACACCAGTTGTCTAGACTGGCTACCTAAGAGCCGGTTCCAGCTATCTGCTATAACCTTTACAACCTCTTCCATTTAAATGTTATTTTCTTTATCACAAAACAAACATTTTATTTGTCCCCTAAACTTCCATCTCATTGTCCATGTAATCAGTAAGCTAACAGTACAGTATGTACACTAGCTTGATTTGATCTTTTGTGGAAACATTCAAAAATGCTGAGATCAATATGTTACATGGGTATTTTTAAGGGCTGATATCTAAATGTGATATCTAAATGTGACCAATAGCTGCTATATATATAAAAATATCACAAGACTGATGAATTTAAATGAACATTTATTTTATTTTTACTCGAAACCAAAACTGCCATAAATTAAGATCACATTATTTTTATGAAATACTCACATTATTTTTATTTAATTATTATATATTTTTAAATAAATTATAAATATTCATTATTTATATTTACTTTATTACTAATGCTATTTCACTATGACTTATTTTGCCCTTCTAGATGTGGATGGTGGAGCAGTGAAAGTAGATGGTGCCAAGGGATCACCTCCATCAGGTGACTACAAGGTAAACCTTTCCACCCAAGTTGGTTTAAGTCAGTCATTTTAATTCATTTATTATGCAATAATCAATAATTAATAAATAAGCTTTTAATAATAAAAAAAAAAAATTGGTTATGGTTTGTATTTTGTCACCTCAAGGTTTGTGCCACATATGTAGATGGGTTCAGGGCGACTGCAGTTTGTCCTGTTGGTGGTCCGAGAGCTGTGGAAAAAGCCAGAAGAACAGCAGAGAGTATTATCAAAAGGTTAAGGCTTTACTTCTAGTGATTTTGTATGTCAAATACTTAATATGTAATTCATTGTTTAAAAAACAAAACACATTTTTCCATTGGAATTGGCAATACAAGTTGGTATAAGTTAGATTAAAGGACAATTCATATAGTACCCACAAACGCAAACGAATGCCGACAAATACCAGATTACAGTACGTCACTTCTCAGACATTCCACAAACCGACAAACGACGACTGAACATGATCAGTTGGTGAAAACAAGTGCTGACCAACGGCAACGGACGCCGGCAGGGGTAACACACTGATCCGACAAAACCCAGACAAAGTGTCTGTTTCCATTGGTTTTGGCGTGAATTGGCCTTTTGCCAGTCAAGAATAAATTTCCTAAAAAAAAGTTACAATACAATGTTTTGAAGTGTTTAAAAAGTGTATTAACCCCCCTCTAGAGCTTTTAATGCATGATAATATGATATGAAATGAACTGTGCACTCTTAAAAGAAAAGGTTCTATATAGAACCATAAAGGGTTCTGTCAGGTGCTTCATAAATAGTAGTTTCCCGTTATGGGATCATGTTATAAATTTAGTTTTAAGGAAAAACACAATAATTTTGGTCAGAAATCGTTCGTACCACTCTGTATCAAGTGCTGAGGAAGCCTCCGGAGCTAAAATTAGGCGTTTCGTTTCCATCATGCGCTGTTAGTGATCGACCAATCCCAACAGACTGGTCCGTCTGACCAATCAGAGCAGAGTAGGCTCTCAGAAAGGAGTGGTTTAGAGAGACTGAATCTTTGAAATACCGTTTTCAGACTCTTTGAAAAATGAGGTGATGTGAATTGCATATTATGAGAAAAATAAAGTGTTTTTTGACCTTGAATTCATGTAAGCCTATTGTAGGAGACCTTCAAAACAAACCTTTAAAATAGCACTTTATCTGAATTTTATGAATTAAACAGCTTGTAAATATACTTTACCACTAGAATGAATCGAAATAACCCTTTAAACATGCAAGTATTATGCAATAATATTAGACATTTCTCCTTATATAGAACCTTTTTGATATAAGGGGCACTTCAAATTGAGTTAAGAACCCTAGGGTTTTATATAGAACCTTATTGAACCTTTTTTTCTAAGACTGTAGCACTTTATGCTGAAACATCATCTTTAGGACCCAGCAAATTTTCAGTCAGCTGGGTTTGGAGGACTATGCTGAAGTCAACATTCAAGTTCTGGGCGCTGAGGACACATATGGACCACATGCGGTCAATAAAGTAGGCTGTCTGTTTCTGTTTTCCATTCAAAATTGTGTTTAACATCACAGTCCGTTTACAATCAGAACAAATAACCTACAGTTTTTGAAGGCTGTTCTTTATTGCGCAGGGTCTTCGTGAGGCTGTGGTTTGGATGGCCGTCCATCACAGGCAGAAGAAAGCGCTAGAGTTTTTCTCCAGAGAGGTGGCACCAGCGGGAACAGGCATGGGTGAGTTACAACCTCAACTCAATCTTATCCTACTCTGTTTCCACTGTGGTTAAGCTCACTGTTCATTTAAAGCTGAAGAAACATTTAAACATCTTAGGTCAGTATCTTATTTCTTTCTCTCTCCCCTCTACAGCTCCAGGACTCACAGCTATTGTGGGAGGGCGACCAAGAATGTGAGTGTTAGTTAGTAGTTCTTTAAGTACCAAAAACTGTTTAGAACTTTGGATAAAAGTGTACCATGAAAAATGTTGTATATGTCTTATTTCTCTTTCTAGATCACCAGTTCTGAAACCTTTCTTTTTCCTGCATCCCAAAGCAGATCTGGAGGTATTACCTTTTTTTTTTTTTCATGATAATACAATTATTTTTTTTAACATTTACTATTTTATACTATATATATATATTTTTTTTTTAAAGAATCATTCAAATACCATGTTTTATGAATATGGTAATACAGTACCATAGTATAGGGTGAATTCAGGCAAATTGGCTCACAATTCTTATTGAGATGAATGGAAAAAAGTGTCCCGATTGACCTGAATTCATGCTACATCTAAGTATCTGATATCATCATCACTGTATGTTTTTTTTATAAGGGAACTGATACAACAAAATCAAAATGTGCATTAAATTAAAAGGTCATTCGATATGGATTGGACAGAATATGCAAATGGCTCACTTAAAATATACATATGGATGATTGTGTGAATGAATGACTCTTAATTGTTGATTTCAGGTGCACATTCATGTGAATGGGGAGCTTGTGGAGACACACAGAGAGGTGGTATCAGACACTTCATTAGCAGAAAGACATGACCCCTCCCTCCCCTCAGAAGAATACAGAGGAAACCCCACAGGTACCCTGCTGATTGTATGTGGGATACAAAATGTAAAGTGAATAGTTCACACAAATATGATTCTTACACTACCTGAAACTTACTACTTTAAAAGTTTAGGGTCAGTACTTTTATTTATAAATTGATCAAAAGTGACAGTAAAGACATTTATAATGTTACAAAAAATATATTTCAGATAAATGCTGCTCTTTTGAATTATTGACTAGTCATCAAAGATTCCCAAAAAATGTATCACAGTTACCACAAAAATATACCACAAAACAGCACAACTGTTTTCTTTGATAATAAACATATTAATTAATTACAATATATTATAGTGATTTCTGAAGGATCACGTGACACTGAAGAAGTAATAATTTACATTGTAAAATATATTCAAATAGAAAACAGTTATTTTAAATAGCAATACTATTTCACAATATGGCTGTTTTTACCGTTTTGTTTTTTTTACCAAATAATTGGTGAGACTTCTATCAAAAGCATTAAAGAAATCATACGGACTCCAAACTTTTGAACTGTAATCTACACCATCTTTTTACCTTAACGTTGAAAAAGGAGTTATTTAGCAAGGTGCTCTTTTCCGTAAACTGAAAAAAGAAGGTTGTAACCCCGACTGTCGCGCTTTGGGTGAAAGAAGTCTGAATATGATATGGATAATATCTTTCCTTTCATTGACAAGTTATTATCTGCATCTTTTTCTTAGATAACATGCTTTATTTGCTTCCCAGCACTAACGTTTTTTTTTCTCCAAAATTCTTCCCAAATCAGCACATTGTGACTAATCCTTTTTAATTAATGACAGACTCTTGTGTATCAAAACCGTTTCTTTTCGCATGGAGGTAAGCATGCAGTGTTTGATATGACCTACTTCAAGGTGGAAGTGGATTGAATGTTTGAGCAACAAACTCAGCTGAAAGAAATAGGCTTAAGTCTGGTTTTAAGGGCCAATTTGATTGTTCTACCAAGAGAAGGTTTTATAAGATCCCTTGCACCGGAATCCAGTGCTGCTTGTTTTCCCAGAGTTCTTTGCCAGAACACTACAAAGGTTGTGCCTTTCAGAGAGCCTAAAGCAGTGTTTGCATGAGTCTCTTTATCTATTTGCCACTTCTCAGTTGCCGCAAGCAGCTAAACCCTTTAAATGATCGGAAACACCCTTTCATTGGATCTAGCGTTTAAACACGCAAGCATAGACTGTTACGCACACACTCGCATTCATTCACAAATATGCAAGGGCCATGCACACAAACACTGAAGGTCTTAAATACAAATGAACACAAAATAAAGCTTTTTTTTCTTTTCTTTTCTTTTTGTTTCGCTCTCCTTCCCACTCAAATGGACAGACAGACGAACCTGGAGCCACGGTGATTAGAGCATCACAGAGGGCTGATTGTAAGAGAGGCTTCTAACGTTACCGCAGCCCAAGGGCATTTTTACGAGACAGAAAAACTGATTAATGGGGATGTAGCCAATGATAACCGCCAAAGAGCTGTGTTGAACTCCAAAAGAACCAACCATCACTATTACTATTGATAGTTCACTCAAAAATGAAATCTGTATTTCTTTCTTCTGTGGAACATAAACGTTTTGAAGAATGTTCATGCTGCTTTTCTTTATGCAATAAAGGGGCATAACAGCAAAAGCTCCAAAAAGTACATGAATGCAGTCGTATACTGTCTTCTCAAAGCTTAGCTTTGAATGAGAAACAGACTGAATTTTTGTTATTATTCATAGAAAATCTTGAGCATCTTGGGCATTCTGCTTTAAACATCTACTTTTGTGTTCCACAGAAGAGAGTTAGTCATACAGATTCGAAACTTCATGAAGGTGAGTAAATGATGACAAAAAACATAGATACTTAACATTGGGCTTTTTAGACATGGGACAATAAGCAACTACTCACAACATCCTAAGAACCACATTGCAACAACACCCTGGCAACCACCCCAAACACTGCAGCGTCATAGTGGCGTGTTACATTTTCTACAGTAAAACATACACTACCATTCAAATGTTTTAGGTTGGTACGGTATTTTCATGTTTTTGAAAGAAGTCTCTTATCCTCACCAAGGCTGCATTTATTTGGTCAGAAATTCAATTAAAACAACAATATTGTGAAATATTATTATATTGTTATATTTTATTATAATTATTACAATTTTATATATTTTATAATGTAATTTATTCTTGTGATGCCGAAACAACTAAAATTTTCAGTGTCACATGATCCTTCAGAAATCATTCTAATATGCAGATTTTCAGCTCAAGAAACATTTCTTGAAATTATCAATGTTGGGAAAAAAAGTTGTGCTGCTTAATATTTTTTGGGGAAACTGTGATACATTTAGTCAGATTCTTTGATGAACAGAAAGTTCACAAGAACAACATTTATTTGAAATAAAAATCTTTTGTAACATTAGAAATGTCTTTACTGTCATTCTTTTATCGTTCTAATGCATCCTTGCTGTATAAAAGTATTAATTTCTTTAAAAAAAAAAAATCTTACTGACCACAAACATTTGACCAATAGTGTAAATGGACATTTTAATTTGCTCATTCCTATTTAAATAATCAATCAGATCAAGCAATCTGTGAGCTGACTGAGAGCAAAATGGACTCAGATGCTCGCTGTTAGTCCAACCTGCCAACTGCTGAATTTAATTACACTGAGAACAAAATTGTCTCTCTTTCAGATCTGCCTTCTGGGCCACATACCTTCAGACTGGAGGATTTAGCATACACACGCAGTGGAGACAAAGGGGACTCTGCAAACATTGGTAAGTGTTTCTCCATGTGTTTTCACACGCAGTGAATAATATTTCCACGATGAGACAATTTGCTTATTGCATGTCAATGTCACACCAAAAAAGCCATTCTGGCTATAAATGCTGTGAAAATGCTGGGTCAGGCCATGTTCTCTGACCACAAACCACGAATCACAGCCCACTGTCTGCAGCCCAAAAGGCAACACTCTCTTGTGATGTGGCAACTTGCCCTAGTTTTAACTTCATCTTCAATGTGACGGGTGGTTATGTAGACTGTGAGTCTGGGTTTTTTTGTTTTGTTGTTTTTTACATAATTTGTTAGCTTTTCTCATGTCGAAATAACATGTCTATATCTATCTATCTATCTATCTATCTATCTATCTATCTATCTATCTATCTATCTATCTATCTATCTATCTATCTATCTATCTATCTATCTATCTATCTATCTATCTATCTATCTATCTATCTGTCTGTCTGTCTGTCTGTCTGTCTGTACATTATTATAAATAAATAAATGCATATGCAAATGTAGAGAAATTCTGCTAATCTATGACTTTTTGCACGTGAGTTGTACTGGGAACATAAAACGACTAAACTTAAAATCCACTGTCATGTTTTTAAGCAAAGTAACAGAGTTTTTTTTTAAAGTTACATGAATATGGTAATATCATTCAGCATGATGGTATAAATCAAATATTTAGGATAGATGTCTCACATGTCTATTCCATATATCAATAAATCTGTATGTATAACGTCTGTGTTTAGGGGTTATTGCAAGACACCCACTGTATTTCCCCTACCTGAAAAAGTTTTTAACTGCTGAAGTTGTGGAGCAGTATTTCCAACATTTGATCAGAAAGGATCCGACCGATGAACCCTCCGTCATACGGTAAGAAGAATTCCAAAAATGTGCTAGCAGATGTGCTTTCAGTGGTGAAAGAAAGCACAATAGCCGATCTTTTAAATAAACGATAATCATAAAACACAATATAATACTTTGTTAGTAGTCTGTTTTTAAGGAAATCATTACCAGTTGATGTCTGAAGCTGTAAGGAAATTAAAGTCACACAACATAAACATTGTAACACTTTCATACTGAGCTTCTCAACATCTGCAGCCTGCACAGCTTTTTAAAGACCTGTGTGTGTGTGTGTGTGTGAGAGAGTGCATACATGCAAGCCTCTTGTTTTATGGGTTGGGGAAAACGCCTTTGGTGCCGCTAATGAGGACCACCTCATGCTGAGGACTGACATGTCTAGATGCCTGTCTGTATGAAAGTGTGGTGTGAGCTAATGCACAGATGTGTGAAAACCGGGAGGTGATCTCAATTAAAATAATGTATTTCACATGTTTGTGGTGGCTTCCAGGTACGAATTGCCTGGCATTCACGGTCTGAACTTCATTCTTCCAAACTCACTCGGAGGGGGAGGGGTGGCGTCTCTGCGCAGCGACCCTCAGGTAACACACATTCATTCAAACAAACTCGCAAAATGGACACAGGCACAGTGACTTCAACCAGTGTGGCTATTTTTAAAGTTTCATAGAAAAGGTTAGCACAAAAAAAAAAAAAATGAAATTCTGAGGAGAAAATGTATTTTTAAAGAAGAAAGCAGTTCATATTTGCTATGTGATTACTTGATCAAGCTATTTACAACCTTAAGGAAATGGCTCGAAAATGTTTTCTCACCCTTGTGTCATTCCAAACATGTATGTCATGATACAAAAAAGTAAGAAAAAATACCACATAGTGTAACATTGTGTTTTTAGTGTTACTAAAAATGTGTTATTCCGCAGGGAAAAGCCTACGGGCAAATGCTGCTTGACTACAAACTGAGAGGCCTACCTGATTTGAAATCAATGGTCGATTAAAAACGGACAAAGACTGAAAGATGCCAGTGGTGTGTTGAGATTTCACATTTTTAAAAAGTGCTTCAAATGGATAATGTCAAAGAATAGTAGTTTTATAATGTTTGAAAATGTCCAGATGGATTATATTATGAAGTTTGTATAATGTAAACAGTGTCTTCCGTTTTAGTTTGTGTCTACTAACAGTTTCCAAACTGTTCAAATAATTCCATGAAATGTGAACTTTTCAAACACATAACTGTGCCTTTAATCATTCTGTTGTAATTATTAAGCATTAAAATGTTTTATTTTATCAGAGTAAACAAAACAAAGAGCCAATCGAAGTTGAATGCGAGTTTTGTCGGGTCGTTGTTGAACATGCAAGCACTTTGATATGTAGTGAATACATTAGAGAACGCCGTACTTCACTTAGTTGTGTTGAGATGGCCACGTCTTACAGGCGACGGCAAAACAATAAACCCTTGAAGTCCCCATATACAACGTCCTCTCATTACCTCTGACCCCTATCGACACAGGAAGGCAGAGAGCAAAAGGCTTTTCCTCTTCTGATGACTGAGTTCGTGTTTACCGTTGAAGATATACGCATGTACTCTAAGGAAGAAGAATTTGCTTGAATGCCACAGAAAAAACCTTTGTAAAAACCAAATCAAGTGCTCATCATTGAGGTATTTGAATGATTGTAGAAAATGGCCCAAACTCTCATACTTCATGCGTTTTTATTCACTGTGACGTTAACACATTCTTTTATTAGGTTTTATGGGAAATCGTTCGAACTGCGATGTTTTGACCCGCATTGGCATGTGCTAACAGCATGATCTTAGCAGCACAGAGTGATCAAAAGGAAGTGGAAGGCGAGACATGTGAAGAGTTCATTTGTCAACGGCCGACAGACAGATCCAGCAGTTCCTCATTGTGCGCTTGCAGAGCTTCTTGGCTTCGTCTCAATGCAACGGAGTGTCATTCACAACAAACACATACACGGTCGGTCACATAAACTGAAATCACTCTCCCTCAAAACTCGCACATTTATCACAAGCGCATTCAGCTGTCACATGCAGACTTTGGGATGCTGGGGTACAAAACAGGGAAGGAAGATAAATGGCTTGTCATTTATCACCCGCTATCTTTCAGCGCTCCACTGCTGTTCAAACAAGCAACAGCCCCGAGAGAGCACCAAGTAATCACTAATCCCTCAACATTCAGCTTTTGCCCTCACTGGGACACCTTTGTTACCATTCTGACACTGATTTCTCCTCCTGTCCATCATCGCTCTCCCACTAAACTAAACCTCAGGGGGAGGGTGCAGCTTTAATCCTTTCCTTTATCTCTGAGTTAAGACTGTTTTGCATCATTTTGCTACAACGTTTACCACTTAATGTCCTCTTAAGCTCAATGTGGGTTTTTATAAACTTTGCATTAAGGATTGTATGGAGCTGGGCTATTTACAAGACAATTGGTTGTTTACATTCCATTGACACACTCTTAGTTAAGACCATTAGGTGCTATTGATATTCATTAGTAGTGCTGCTGAACTCATGGTGAATTCAATCCTTTTCTGTTTTGGAAATGTGATGGCTACATTTCTGGGGACTTTTTATAAAGTGCTGACATGTGCTCTCTGTCTGCACGGCCCGCTAACTGGTCTATTGGTAAAAGGAGCTCTTGTTTGGTGCGGTCTGGGTGAATGTATTGAGGACTTTAATTATTGCCACATGGCATGAACCAGCTCTCAACTTCAAACCACCGTTGGCCAAACTTTCTGCTCTCACTTTTTCCACATTCATCTACCCTGCCCGTACCTACATCAGAGAAAATCCAGACGCTGCTGGAGCTCAGACATTCAGTTGAACTAGTTTATTTTGTTCATTTTCGAGCAATAGCCATAAGAATAAATTAACTTGATTTGAAAAATTACTATATATATTTACACACAGATGTATGTATGCATGTTTAAATATATATATGTATACAGTATATACATACATGCATCGGTTTGCGTGCATTCTTTCTACAAATTTTTTAAACATCTTGTCTACAGAAAAAAAAAAAAAAATGATGCGTTAACCAGAACTTTACTGTAAAACTTAAACAGTTATAAGCATTTCTGGATGCATTCTGGTGAGTTTTACTTATAAAATAATAGGCTATGCATTGTTTTACATGCATACCTATATTTTACCGTAGCTATATGATAAGGTATCTTACAGCTAATCAATTATCAGGTTTTAATCACATTTTCTTTCGTTTACATTTTTACAGCTCTTCAATAGCGTATCAATAGTGACCAATAGTCATTTCAGCTAACGCACTGACGTCATGCCGGACCGCTGCTCCTTAGAATAAAACGAAGCGGGGAAAGTGAAGCCTGAGCAGCACTGCAAAATGTTAGATTCTCTTGCTCTACTGTTGGAGAAAACCTTCCTACTTGCACATTTTAACTTTTTCAGAACCACTTCATCTAAACAAGAAAGATGCACAAAGCGTCGCGAGGAGAGCACTTATTTCCAGCGCGGAGATCTTTTGGAGGTTCCTCGCACTTTGTTTACTCACTTTGGCATTTATCTCGGTGACAACAAAGTTGCCCACCTTATGCCTGACATACTGCTGGTTCTGACCAGCAAAACATCTCAAATCCAGAAAGTAGTGACAAACAAGAGGTTGCTTCTCGGCGTGATCTACAAGTATGCATCAATACGGGTCGACACGGTGGAGGATTTTGCCTTCGGATCCCCTGTTTTGCTCAACACAATGGATACTACCCTGAGAAAACAGCCGCTGGCCGCTGAGGAGGTCGCCAGAAGAGCGGAAAAACTTATCGGTCATATTCCGTATAGTCTTCTTTGGAATAACTGCGAACATTTTGTCACTTACTGCCGCTACGGGACAGCGGTCAGCCTGCAGACAGACAAGGTAAACGAGATTGGATTCCAGCCCGTTTTCTTTTTGAATCGACGAGTCGATACTTCATATCAATGGCCACTATAAAAGATATAAAAGTTAATAATTAAATGTTGCCAATTTCTTGACTTTCTTCTTTGCATGACGCACATTATTTAGCAAGGTATGTTTAAAATAGGTTTAGCAAAATCAATAAACATAAAATGAAATGCAAAATTTTGTATCGATAAGGAAAAAGTTACAGGCCTAGCCTATTCTATAAAACCTTATTTCTTCACAAACTTAATTCATGGCTAAATGGATTAAAGTGTTATTACATTTTTGTCCCACTCAGAATAAAAGGTAGCTACAAAAGCTGTCACTGGGGCGGTACCCTTTCAAAAGTTACACCTTTTTTTTCATAGCCTATAACCTAAAAAAAAAAAAAAACGTTTATGTGGCCACAAAAATAGGCTGTGTTTCATTCTATTTTATTTTTTCAAGGCTTTTTTTTGTTTTTTACAAATTTGTTTTTTCAATTAAAAAAAAAAAGTTTCCTTATTAACCTAATGTTTCATGTGAACTATCTAAAACACGACTTTTCATAAAATAAAATATATATTTTAAAAAACCTTTGACTGGCATTAATGAGGGTCTAATAATATTTAAAAACAAATTAGGCTACAATTAAAAAAAAAAGGTACAATCACCTATATAGCCTACTAGCATAGGCTACTGTTGTTAACTTTAAGCCCCTAAAAATATCATAATGACTAATTATACATTACATTTAGGAAGAGGTGTAGATATTAAGCTTATTTTTTTGTCCGAATAGGCTAGAATTCTATGAAATCTTTAAGATTCTAAATGCCAGATTGTCGCAGGGTTGGATGTTCCACCGACCACTTTAATTCCAAACTTCCATCTCCAGTGAAAACGTATTTTCACGTCATTTGGCTGACCGAGAGATTTTCGGAAAATCTGGGTCATTTTAGCGCAAAAACAACAGCTTCATTCAGTGGCAAGTGGGTTTGGGGAGATGTACTCGCCCAGAAAAACATAGCAGCACCTTCTCAGATGCGAATCACACTTTGCTTTTTTTGTTTGTTTGTTGTAGTGCTCTGAATCTCATCTATCCCATCTTTCTTTCATTCAACAGTTCTGTGAATGTTTCAAATCAGTAATCCGGGACCAGAGGAGTGTTCTTCTGACCACTGTCATCGGAATGCTTTCCATGTTTTTTCTTGGAATAGCGCCGTCCACCGCACTTCTAACCTTTATCATTCCTTTCATCTTGTGGATGGCTGGATAAGAGACACTTCAAGTCTAAACCCACACGAACTAGCCTATTTAATGTATCAAAAAGTTTGTGGTTTTTTGCTGTAGCCTAGAATGTGTCACTGCGGCTGTTGACATTCAGTTGTATTTTTTCGCTATTGATAACTTAATCTTTTTCATTCTTTTTACCTTCATATATTAACATTTTATATTGTAAATTTTGTATGACCTTTTATGAAAACATACTGTACAATGTTAACAAGTTAATAAATGTCAAATCAAATGTTATATTCTGTGATAATAGCACAAATATATCAATTTTCTTTCGAGAATTTCACGAAGAGCCTTTAACATCCGTTAACCTTTCCATTGCACAAAACGTTCTTTAGTGGAAAAGGGATCTTTAAATTGTTATTATTATATTGTTCTTCACACTAAGAAAAAAAAGGGTTATTTTAAGAACTGTTCACTGAAAGGTTCCAGGAGAATGTTCAAAATCCTTAAAGGGATAGTTCACCCAAAAAAAAAAAAAAAAAATTCTGTCATATCAATTACTCACCCTCAAGTTGTTCCAACCCTGCATGAATTTCTCTCTTCTGCTGAACACAAAAGAAGATATTTTGAAGAATGCCGGTAACCAAACAGTTTTGGCCTCATTGACTTCCATAGTATTTTGGTGCCAACTGTTTAGTTACAAGCATTCTTTAAAATATTTTCTTTTGTGTTCAGCAGAAGAGAGAAATTCATGCAGCTTTGGAACAACTTGAGGGCGAGTAAATGATGACAGAAGTTTCATTTTCGGATGAACTATCCCTTTAACGATTATAGGTAGGCTAATTAATCTGCTCCATGAGCTTATAATAGCTTATTATCCAAATTTAGATTTTTAGAATACACATAAAACCTACGCTGGAGGCTGCACCTGCATGAGAGACTGTTGCTAACTTTGCTTAATGCTGGACATTTACAGAGAGTTTGTCCAAATCCTGGTTTTCAAATGCGGTGTTAATGATGACTAAAATATTAAACTGTAATGAATTGTATCGTGTGTCGGTAAACGTTACATCCCTACTTGTATCCCTCAAACTAGAGTGAGCTTTGTGACCCCTTGTAAATCTTTAGTGACCCCAGGGTTGAGAAACACAACATGGGGTGCCCAAAATGGTTCTTCTGTAGAACCCACTTTTGGAACCTTTATTTTACTGAAAGCATGTAAGAATGAACATAATTGAGACTTTTTAATTACATTAATTGGTTACACTTTATTTTAAGGTGAAGTAGTTGCATTGTATCAAATAAGTCTATTAATTAAATGTAAAAATACATGTTACGGTTAGGCTTTGGTTTAGGACTAGTAATATTTACTGTTATTACTATATATGTAGTATGTAACTACTTCATCTTAAAATAATGTGTACTTAATAAAAAATTATTTACATCTATATTTGGATTTGTGTTTATTTTCAGATGTTTGCCAAAGAAAATGAACACCAGTTGCTTCAGTCTTTAAAAAAAAGTACAGTTTACAATTACACTTGAATTTTTACAATTTAACTCAGTGTTAACAAATACCTTTGGTAATTGATGTTTGCCTGGTGAGGCGGCATACGAGTTGATTTTATTGGTAACACATTACAATAAGGTTTAGTTTGTTAATGTAGTTAACTATAAAATGGTTATGCTTTACAATAATTTGAATGCATTCACTAACATGAATTAACAATGAGCAATATTCATACATCATGCAAGTTCAAAATGTTCATGTTAGTTCACAGTGCATTATCTAATGTTAACAAATGCAACTTTTGATCTTAAAAAATGTATTTGAAATGTTAAGATTAATATTAAGGTAATGTTCATTGTTGGTTCGTGCTAACTTTAACATGAACTAACAATTAACATATATCGCTTAGTTAATAATCTTAGTTAATGTTAATCTTAACAGTACATTTTTTAAGATCAAAAGTTGCATTTGTAAACATTAGATAATGCACTGAGTGAACATGAACATTTTGAACTTGCATGCTATAGGAATATATTGCTCATTGTTCATTGCAAAATTACTCCTTACTGTAAAGTGTAACAATTTTGTTTAACCAAGGAGAATCTTGAAAATTTTTAACAAGTCAGTTATTGGTTTTAAGGACTTACGATGGCATTGCTGCAAAATTTGTTTATACAATCAGCAATACACCTTCCTTTGTTCCAGATATAGAAAATATTAGGCAATTTTATCCACAAAGGGTGAGAAGGTCTACAGAGTCATTGAGTAACTATGCTTTGTTTGTTTCATTTGGGCATGTGATGTACTTATTCTGGAGCTTTTTTCTGAAAAAAAAAAAAGCCCTGGGTTTGTAATCCCCCCTCCCCAGTCTGCCCCGACTGGGATAAAGCCAGCAGGTGCCAGACCTTCCAGAAGCTCACCACTTCTCCAGTGAGGATGTTTCCCCTACAGTTCCTCAGCCTGTTTAATATCGCAGTGACCACAATCTTTGAAGAAAAAAAGAAGCAGCAAGTGGTCCAACATGACATCTCCATTTATAAAAGAGGAGATCTACTAGAGGTCCCTCGAACTCTCTTTACACACTTTGGAATTTATCTGGGGAACAACCGTGTGGCTCACCTCATTCCTGATATCTTGCCAGTCTTGACCACTGAACAGAAGGCCCTTGAGAAAGCGGTGACTAACAACCGGCTGATTTTGGGTGTGATAGCAAAAAAAGCGAGTGTCCGCGTGGACTCAGTGGAGGACTTTGCATATGAAGCAGAGATTCTGGTCAACCATATGGACAAGGTGTGCAGTCGGCCACCGTTCACCGGAGAGGAGGTGGCTAGAAGAGCTGAGAAGCTCTTGGGCTCTGTGGCTTACAGTCTGCTGTGGTACAACTGCGAGCATTACGTCATGTACTGCAGATACGGCACCAGCATGAGCTTTCAGACCTACCAGGTGAGATGTTTCAGAAGAGAGAGAGCAAAATCAGAAGTCTGTGATTAGCATGTTCAAAATAAATCTACCAAAAGAAAAAAAGAGGTTAATTTCATGTACTCTTGAAATAACTCTGATATTTGCAAATCTTCAGTATTATTAACAACTTTAATATTCAGTACCAAATTAGACTTTCTTGGGTTGCTTTGGTAGAGTATATTTGTGACCATAAGACCGTGCCAACATCAATTTATGTCATCTACAAGGACTAAAGGAAGTAAGGAGTCTTTTAAGCATTTCATCTCTCGCTATGTTGTTACTTTAAACCAATTAATGCGCGAGGAGACTGCGGAGGACACTTGTATTGACTAAAAAGTCTTGAAATTAGGATAAAAACATCTTTAGCTTATGAACGTATTGCAACATCACTAATTCCATTTCAAATGGAATTACGCACAAAAAATTAGGTTGAGAAATGTAATGTGATTGAGAAATATTAATCACTTTTTTGCAAGACATTGTTGGTGACTGTGTAGGGTTGTATGAGTTTAGACTATTAGACCGTTAACATTAGAGGTGATTTATTCTATTTATTTATATTTATGATTCAGTTGCACCAGTTGGTGTTGAGCAAGAATGTTAATCTGCAGATTCCAGGCAACATGCAGTAATCTCCTTGAAACTATTTGCATACACACACATCATCTCTCTTTCTTTTTTCAGTCTAAAAGATGATGATATTCCAACAGCATGACAAAACTAACCACTCTCCAACTGTGGTGGATATGATTTTGCCACAAGAATCTAAAATATAAGCTCATTAAAGGACAACTATTTTGTTTTTGTTTTGGTAGGCTCTCCAAATGATCTGTTTTCCATTAAATTGAAATGAACCATGGAAATCAGGAAATCTGTGGTGGTACTTTAAAAAAAATGCATTTATAAAACCATTTGGGAAAATTCCACCAATGCAACACCAAAGAAAGTCATTACTGTCTGAGCTTTCTGTTTTAAAAAAATTAAATATGTTTAATTGAATGCAAATGCAAAATTCTAAACTTTGTAATTCTTGTTTTCTCCCCAACAGTTCTGCAAAGCTGTGCGCAAGATTGTGTGCAGCAAGACAAGTTCTCTTCTAAGTTTTCTGTTGTGCTTGTTCATTATGTTTTATCTGGAATCTGTGTCCATCTTTGTAATTTTACCCACAGTTTTCATCCCATCCACTATTTGGATGGCATCCTGAAGCTGTGTCAAACAACTGCCTGGAGACAACAGGATATTTTTTGGATTTTAAAAACATTTTTATTTTATTTTATCATTGTTCATTATTTAGTTCAACATGCTTCATTATCCTAAAGCACATTTTGAGCATTGTATAAAAAAAAAACACACACACGATATTTAATACTTATCAGGGCAAAGAAAACCTTTCGATTAAACCTGTGATCTTTCCAGTTTTGTCATGTTAATAGCCTATCAGATAATTTATTTTCATACTGTATGTTGTGACTTACAATAGGCCTATTGCCATATCAGTATTAGGCCTATTAATTAAAGGACATTTAAGTTTTTGCCTGTAAATGTTGTCTATTCATGTACAATTAATGTATAGCCTATACTGTATATATTTTTAGAGCCTACTTAAAGGTAGCTACTTAAAGAATGTCATATATTTAGGAAAACCATGGTACTCAGTCTAAATTGTGGGACACTTTTTGCCATTGAGATGGCTTACTAGAAAAAGTTTCCCAATCAACCTGAAATAAATAAATAAATAAATAAATACCATATAATATTTTTAGCATAATTCTCCCAGATTTTCCTAAGAATTTAGATTTCCATGCACTATTTTTTTTCCCTCTTTAACGTTATTTACGTAAATGTAAGTTGTAGATCAAATGCAGCCCTACTGCAAAAACGCCCAGCTCGTTAGTTGAAAACACGACCGACCGTCAGGTAAATAGCGTTTGTCGTGTAACGTTAACAGTAACAGTTAGTCAACAACATCGAATCGTCGTCGATCATCAAGTGTCACACAAAGCTATCCCCGTAATTTAGGCTACGTTTATTAATTCCTTTATTGTGTGGCCAAAAGGTAAGAGAAGCGGTTTAATTGCATCAGTATCAGTTTGAACAATTCCAGTGTCATTTTTCACGAGAGCTGATAAGTTAACAGAAGTGTGTCACACATTACTCGCATCATACTATTATTCACTCACAGCTTGGTATATAAAATATATTCGACTAAGGAAACTTGTTTGGTTGACCCTTTTGCTTCCCGCTCGTTTAAATGGTCTGGCTGTTCTGTTCTGAACTTTTTACCTCAAAATCCTGACATATATTTTTTCGTTAAGACTCTCGAAGGTTTTATATAGGAGTGAATTGTTTTATTGGTTTATACAGTTTTATTGGTGTTTTCATAAAAAATGAACGTTAAATTCGTATAAGAACGTATATTTTTGTTACTTGACTGACAGGTCGATAGTTATGATGCTAATTGTGTTTGCTAGCTGAGATAAGCTGCGTTCCTACGCGAGCCTTAAATCTCACACTCGTCAATTGCCATTTTATCAATAAATATAGATATTTGTGTGTAACACCTTACCGTTTTTCTACTTAGTACTTATCTACAGATATACACGTACATCATTTGAACTTTCATGAATAGAGAGGCTCGAGTGTGATACCTGACGCAACGGTTTTCTTTGGTAGCGTTGTGTTTTCTGACGTGATCATGGATGAAGGCAGCATCAGTCAGCCATCTGAGAACAGTATGATGATGGACAGCTCGAAAGAAGCTGCTCTTTTATCCCTGATGGACAGGACAGGCTACAGCATGGTTCAGGAAAATGGACAGAGAAAGTTTGGTGGTCCACCTCCAGGTAATATGGAAACTGCATACAAGACTATCATCTAAGTTAGGCCCCATGAATAATTTATGTATGGGCCAGACGGATGGGGAAATATTGTTGACCAGTAGCCAAATAGCTTTTTAGGTATTATTTTAAGCACCTGATGTAGATAAATCAGCATTTCTAAAATCTCTGATTCCTGGGACAAAATGTTAATCCTCTCCACAAATGACTTCAAACTTGCAATGAGCTTTATTCTGTTTCGTTACAATCCAATAATTTCAATATAAGTACAATCAAGCTCCAGCCAATGCTTTTTCTTGCTTAATATCATTCATCACATCATATTAAAAAGGCAAAATGACTACAAATGTAATTTCATGTTGTCTTCAACAGTTTACAATTAGATTGATTCATACAAATATGATTTGTAAGTAGTCAAGAAAGTTTAAATGGCTCCACTCCTTATGATGTATTTAATCATCTTTATTTTGTTTATTAGCCTGTATCATAATTTACCTCAAAATGTGCAATAATATTGGTGTAAAACATTACTGTAATATAATTAAGACTGGAATGCTATAATACAAAACCATTCAAACTTGATATTTTTAGTTTCATCAGATAGTGGTGTTCATAATAATGAACTAAAGTTATGTCTCAGGTTGGGAGGGCCCCCCTCCTCCACGAGGATGTGAGGTGTTCGTGGGTAAAATCCCCAGAGACATGTACGAAGACGAGCTGGTACCTGTTTTTGAGCGGGCCGGACGCATCTACGAGTTCCGTCTGATGATGGAGTTCAGTGGGGAGAACCGTGGCTACGCCTTCGTCATGTACACAATGCGAGAGGGAGCCCAACGAGCAATCCAGCTCCTGGACAACTTCGAAATCCGCCCCGGAAAGTTCATAGGAGTATGTGTAAGTCTGGACAACTGCCGCCTTTTTATCGGCTCCATCCCGAAAGACAAGAAAAAAGAGGAGATCCAAGAAGAAATGATGAAGGTCAGTATATCACAGGACTGCACACATTAGAAACTACACAGAACTGTAAAAACATGTTCACTAGCACCATCTTGTGAACAAAAAACTTAAAAGAAATTGACTTCATTTTATAACATTACAGAAAGCATAATAAAACAGTTGGTTGTGATCTAATGTCTAATCTTTTTTTTATTGCAATTCTAAATCCAGGTGACTGAAGGGGTGGTGGATGTGATTGTGTATCCCAGTGCAATGGACAGGATGAAGAATCGTGGCTTTGCCTTTGTCGAGTATGAATCCCACAAGGCAGCTGCCATGGCTCGCAGGAAACTCATACCAGGTGCAAGATCACAGTGGAAATATACATCTTATATACATAAAATATTTATTTGTGGTGGTACTTGATATGGCAAGCATTATTATTTCTATTGCTCATATATTAGTTTTATTAATTTTCACCGCTTTGTAATCTTTAATCAAAATATAAAAAACTTGCTATACCACCATGCCTCTTCATGTACCCCACCTGGGTACATGCTGGTATGTAATGACAACTTTTCACAATTCAGTCAATTCCTCCAGTTGATTATGGAAGTAAAACAAGATCTTTGCTGGAAAATCCATAAAAAAACCCCACACATGATATTTTGTAAATAAAATAATTTTATTTCAGACAGATAGGAATAAAGTGGCTGGAGAAGCATGCCAAAAATAGAAACTTCATTTATTATAATGGGAGCAAATAATTTTTGTCGATGTGTGCCCACTGTAGACAGTGTAGTCTATTTTTTTATTTAAAGGACAATAATTTGTATAAATAACGGCATTACTTTTTCCAGTAACGAGTAATCTAATTGATTACTCTTCTCATCTTAATAACGCCGTTACCGTTACTGCCAAAAAATGCGGCGCGTTACTATAACTGATGAAGCTGTTTTTTTTTTCATCAGACCAACTAGATCTCTGAGCAAGAGGCAAATACTTTTTTTACTGTTCTTCCTTGGTTAGTGGGCAGAGCATGAGACAAGCGCATAAATGCTGACGATTGGCTGAGGTAGAGTAAAATGTCATTGTAAGCCAATCAGAGGTAGAGTTGGGCGGGTGTTCGAAAGCACGCATAGTTGTGATGGGCATTCGGCTCTTTTGACTCAGCTCACTGAAAAGAGCCGGCTCTTTTGGCTCACAAACGGCTCTTTAAATGACTTTGACTATAATATTTCAATTTTTATTACATAATTATTTAATTTCTATAGGCTAAATTTGTAAAAATAGAGTCGGCTCTTCAGATATGCGAGATATGGCTCATAGAGTCGGCTCATTCGCGAATCGCGAACGACCCATAAAAAGCTAATTCGCGAACGAGTCGATCCATCATCACTAACGCTCATTTGCGAACGACCCATCATCACTAACGGCTAACGCTCATGAATTGCGAACGACCCATCATCATAACGCATAGTCGGACAGGACAGGACAGGACACACAAGGAACAACACAAGCCAGTCAGTCTTTTTGGTATATTGCTTAAAAAGCTTAATTAAATTTTGCCCAGTTGTGGCCTGTTGAGGGGCAACAAATATCAAAAGTTCCAAAACATCTAATGTGTTATTTGCATTGATCCACTATATAAACATAATATCTACATACATGGCATTTGATTGGAGGCTAGTCTCACTTTGTCCCACAGCAACATAATTTTTTTTAGATGTGTGTACAATGTTTCTGTTAATAATGTATTGTATTAAGTGTCCATTTCATTATAATATTCAGATTTATCATAAATAATTGAACATGCACATGTATTTTAAGTTCCGTTAAAGAGGGGTAGAGGTGGGGTCACATTTAAGCATTTAAAATTTAATTTTACTTGAAAGTAACGCAAAAGTTACTTTCTTAAGTAACTAGTTACTTTTAAAATACTATAGATACTTTATAATAACTAGTAACTGTAACTAATTACTTTTTAAAAGTAATTTGCCCAACACTGACTATCACACTATATTGAAAGTGTAACCAATTTGGTGTTTCAATTTTAGCGGGTGCATATTTCACAAGGGTTTGAGCATGACACTTCAACATTACACTATTCACAAATACGCAACTTGCTGTGTGTCAATGTCAACTCTATGTTTCAGGAACATTTCAGTTGTGGGGTCACACCATCCAGGTTGACTGGGCAGAACCTGAAAAGGAATTAGACGAGGAAACCATGCAACGAGTGCGAGTCCTCTATGTTCGTAATCTCATGCTGAGCACCACGGAGGAGACGCTTCGCTCTGAGTTCTCACGCCTGAAGCCTGGCTCTGTGGAACGTGTTAAGAAGCTGACGGATTATGCCTTCATCCACTTCTTTAACCGTGATGATGCCCTAACTGCTCTTGAGTCCATGAATGGGAAAGTTATTGATGGTTCGCCCATCGAGGTGACTCTTGCCAAGCCTGTCAGCAAAGATG